GAAAACTCAGACTCCCACATACTATTCTTTGACCAGCACATACATACTTTGTCACGCCCATGGTCCCCCTATTAAAAAATGTAATAAAACTTAGATCAGCAATGCAGTTAATTTTACTTACTGTATTTAATTAGCACATTAGACCTGCAAACTTTTTCTTTAGTAGCAACCCCCTAAGGCTGCTGTGCAGGGTTCTTGTTGCTGGACTCGCTGTTTCGTAATCCAGACTGTTTTACATTTCATAGCAAGAGGATCTCTGCACGCTGTAGTCACATGAAGGATAGTCTCCCTGTGAGACGGGTCCTTTCCCATGCTCTTTCTCTCTGTGAAAATTAGAGGCCCCTCTAGGGACAGCTGAGTGCCACTTTCAAACAAGGCCTACTTCCTTCCCTCAGTGTCCTGTAACATTCTCTGTTCATGCTAGGACTCCAGTCAGAGTTCCTCTCGCAGGCACGCAGGGCTGCTGTGCACTATGACTCTAGCTGCTGCTGTTGGAAAATACTGTGCTGACATCTTTGGGGGTCTTCAGGAATCTTCCAGGTCACAGTTTTAACAGTTTGGGGGATTTGCCATTTATTCATGCATTTTGAGTAACAGCTTTACCTCAAGCTTGGTTTGCCTCTTTTCTGTGGCCTGAAGTTTCAAATACACAAGCAGTGCGAGTCGTTCTGTGACCCCGCACCCACCTCTTCTCTGTAGATTAGTGAGTGATTTCCAGATGTAAACTAAGCTCTTTCTCCTCTGTGACTTTATTGGAAAGTTGAAGTGCTGTTTGAGTTTCTTTTTGCCCTCAAGATATTGAGCCTGTGGCATTTTGCCTGGGATCCTCGTCTGTTAAAGGCAACAGGTACCTAAACGGTTGTGCTGCTCCGGGAGAGAAGCCTGGCTTGGTGAGGAAGGGCTGTTTGGTTACTCAGCCTACTGGTTTGTTATTTAAGTTAATTGTGGTTTTTGGACCAGGGCCTGGTTAAGAACAAATTCTTTCCCTGAGCAGGCAGTAGAGAATGCATGATTCATCATCAGATGGTGTGCCCATGACTGTAATCTTGGATTCTGTGTTTTAACATAAATTGTTACACTTCAGCCCCATGAAGTAAGAACTCCTCAGAAGAGGCCCAGTAAGCACACCTCTCTTTGACTCGCACACCTGCTTGAAGGACAGGGTGAAATGCCTTATCAGCTCCTGTGAGGAGAGTCACTGGAGGCTCTTGCCTGCTCCTAAGTTCATGGGTTCCCATGACTGCAAACCTCACCTGGTAGCTCACACTGAAATGGGTCTTCCACATAACAAGCACAAGGGCAGCTTTTCTTTAACTTTGTTATTGTTGCCATCATTTTATTTAAAGTTGGTGATGTGGGAATTTTCCAGTCTATCAAGATAGAGGCATGTGCAGCTCTCATTCAGTTTCAGCAACACTCCATTCATGACCAGGCTTGACTCCGCTGTCCTCTGTCGCCCCCACCTCCACCTCCAGTTATTTTGAAACAGATGCCAGGCTTCATACCATCCCATCAGTTGGTTTGGAATCGCTCTAGAGTGAGACTTGGCTTGCTGGTGGTCACAGAGTGGAAGAGGCTGCTGTTACTGTCCTCCTTCTGTTTCCTTTGACTTTCTTGGATATGTTTCATTTCTGTTGATAACCACCGCTACCAGAGAGAGTTTGCTGTGTCCATCATATTGAGCCAGTTTTGTTCAAGTGTGATCTTTGAAGATGCCTGTGAAAGTTGAATGTACAAAAACGTGAGTGTTATGTGGGGAGGGGATATTTTGTGCTCAGAAGTGTTGAATTTGGCCCAGGGTGGTAGCTAGTTGGTAGAGTGCTTGAGCCTTGTAATGTAAATAAGTAAATAATTAAATACAAAATAAGTTAACAATCCTACTTTTTTCTTTTTGCTGTGTGCATGTACATGCAAGTAGCCTAGAATGGCCTCCAACTTGCTAAGCAAAGCTGGCCTTGAACTCTTGATTTTCCACCTCCGAAGTGCTGGAATTATGGGAATGCAGCACCATGCTTAGATTAAAAAAACAAAACAACAACAAAAACCACATTTATCCCTGTGTGTATGTGTGTGTGTGTGTGCGTGTGTCTTGTCTGTCTGTCTGTATATCTGTATATGTGTCTGTGGGCATGCATGTGTAGACCACGAATGTAACGTGAAGGCCAGAGGACAACTCATGACAGTTTTCCATCCTTACATGTGGGTCCCAGGGATCAAATTCTGCTTGGTAGTTGCCAATGTAGCCATCTTGCCTGCCCTTTCCCCCAAATTTAAATATAAAATCTTGGGAGCTAGGGAGATGGCTACGTTGATTGTTTTATGCTCACTGTGTAAGTGTGAAGACCTGAGCTTGGTCCCAGCACTCACATGAAAGTCCCCTTGCAGAGCTGGAGGAGGGCAGAGGAGGCTCCCTGGGCTTCCCTGCCAAGCTCCCTGTCAGCTGAGTCAGTGAGCTTACTGCCTCACAAAATAAGGTGAAGGGCTAGCAAGGTGGGTGGCTCAGCGGCCAAGCAACTGCATTCTGTGCGAGCCTGCAGACCTGAGTCCCAGGGGCCACTCGAGGTGGACAGAGAAAACCACCCTAACAAATGTTTCTTAACAAATTCCGCATGGGCTCCACGGCCTAAATTCCACATACTATGTGTACACACGGAGTAATACACTGAAATGATGTTAAGGTGGAAAGTGTGGACCTCTGGTCTTCACACCCCTGTGCACATACATTAAGGATACACAATAAGATAAAGCCACGGCACATACTTTGGTAAAGTGTGATACTTATTCTTGTTGTATATGGTGCTGGGGATTGAACCCAGTGTGTTACACATGCCGGGCAGGTACCCTTCCCTCTCACCTGCATCCCTGTTTACCCCCAAGAGCAATGTTCCTCAAGCTTCTTGACGCTGCGACCCTTAAATACAGTTTCTCATGTTGTGGTGACCCCAAACCGTTAAATTGCTTTCATTGCTTCTTCGTAATTAGGATTTTGCTGCTGCTGTGAATCATAATGTAAATGTGTGTTTTCTGATGGTCTTAGGCAACCCCTGTGAAAGGGTCCTTCAGCCCCCAAAGGTTGGGACTCATGGGTTGAGCACCTCTGTCCTTTATTTCATTAATTGCTGTCAGTCCCCTATTTCCAAAACAATTGTTAGTATTTCCTCCAGGTCCTTTCGGAACAGCCATGTGTAAAGCCTTACTAATGTGAATGTCTGACGTTTTTCTGTTTCTTTAAAGCAGGCAGACAGAAATTGACTTTAACTTTGGAAAGAGTAAGAAGCGTGTTTTGCAGGGGTTGAGAGGGGAGGCTGTGCAACCCTGCTGTCCAGGTTCTATTGACTGAACATTTGTTTGCTGTTGCTAAAAGGAGCATTGAACAGACTCCACACGCAACAGCAGCTCTGTGGGCCTGTAAAAGTCGACACTAGTACTACCTCCTAGAAACAGAATGTGAGCCACATACATGATTTTAAATGTCTTAAGAAAAAGTGGGGAGGGGGGGATAGGATTGGGAGGGGATGAGAGAGGGGGCTACAGCTGGGAGACAGTGAATAAACTGTAATTGATAAAAAAATTAATTAATTTAAAAAAAAAAGAAAGAAAAAGTGAAGCCAAGTGGTGGTGGTACATGCTTTTAATTCCAGCACTTGGGAAGCAGAGGCAAGTGTATCTCTGAGTTTGAGACCAGTTTGGTCTACGAGCAAATTTCAGGATAGCCAGAGCTACACAGAGAAACCCTGTCTTGAAAACGAACAAAAACACCCCCCCCAAAAAAAAAAATAGAGGAAAAAAAGAAAAAGTGAACTCAGTCTCAGTACAGCATTCTCTGTAGTGAATTCTACCCAGAATGTCATTTGTTCAAGGCACCAGGTGTTGGGCTCAGGGTCCTGTGAATGTTAGGCAGGAGCTCTACCCCTGAGCTGGCTCAGCCCATTAACTTCCTATTTTGAGACAGAATTACAAAATTGCCCAGCCTGGCCTGTACTTACACTCTACCTGTACTAGCAGGCCTGGCTCCCAGAATGCCGTTGGAATATCTAGTCAGTATACAGCAGTGAGAACATCCTTCCTCCTGAGTTTTGATAGTCTGCTCAGAGCCTGTGCTCTGACTCTTCAGCACATGTGGACTGGCCAGCTCAGCCCTGTACAGGGCAGCGTTTTTTTTTTTTTTTGTTTTTTGTTTTTTTGTTTTGTTTTGTTTTTTGTTTTTTTGTTTTGTTTTGTTTTGTTTTCAGAAGGCAGAAGAAAGGGGTGGAATATGGTTTTCATTTTGTTTTTTATTATTTGTGTGTTTTTTACTTCTGGGATTTGGTTTCATGTGCACAAACACTTGTCCTGGCTCTATTTTTCTTCTCTTGGTGTTAATGGGCAGCTCTGGCCTAAATGTTGTTATCATTAATGTCAGTATTAAAAGGGAGCGGGGCTGGAGAAATTGCTCAGTGGTTAAGAGCACTGGCTGCTGTTAGAGAGGAGCCAGGTTCAGTTCCCGGTACCAACATGGCGGCTCACAGAGGATCAGTGCTCTTTTCTGCCCTCTACATACACACAATGCAGGCAGAGCACTCAAATAATCCCAGCACCTTGTATCCCAGGGTCTCTACAGTGTAGCCCTGGCCGTCCTGGAACGCACCCTGTACACCAGGCTGGCCTCCGACTCACAGAGATCCACTTGCCTCTGCCTCCCGAGTGCTGGGATTAAGGTGCATGGCACCAGTTACTCATAAATCTTCAAAAGACCAAATAGTGAGCAGATGACTTAGCAGTGCTGAACAGATAGCCGAGTTTGTGCCGGGATGCTCCTGAGTGAGACTGCATGCGCGCACACCAGCGTGCACTGGCATGAGGGTGAGCTGTTGGGAAGAGGTGGTGACAGCGGCTTTTTGTTGTTTTTGGCAGGGCTAGAGACTGAAGTTAGGGCCTTGTGCCTGAGAAGCAGGGCCTCTGTCAATGATTTATGTTCTCAGTCAATGACAATGGTTTTAAGAGCACTTTTTCTTTTTCAGGAGTTGCAGATGGCGTTGGAGGGTGGAGAGACTATGGAGTGGACCCGTCTCAGTTCTCAGGGACTTTAATGCGAACGTGTGAGCGGTTGGTAAAAGAAGGACGCTTTGTCCCCAGCAATCCTGTTGGGATTCTCACCACGAGCTACTGTGAGTTGCTGCAAAACAAAGTACCTTTGCTGGGTGAGTAGACAACTGTACCTCCTCCTTAACTGCACCCACTAATGGCTAAACAAACGAGATTTTACCAGTAATCCAGGCTGGCCTCAAACTCAGAGACATGCTGCCCTGCCTCCTAAGTGCTGGGGTTAAAGGTGTATACCACCAAGCCTGGTGTGCTTTTAACTGAGACCCTTTCTGGTCACTAGAGGCCTTCCTTGCTCACACCTACATTAAATGAGCTTCTGCTCAGTGACACAAGATGTCCCTTGCCTTTGGTCTGAACCGTTCTTCTCAGAGGTTCTTTTCTCATTGCCCTTTGGTCTTCCTCCCACCGAGAGCTCTGCTGGCTTCAGCATGGTACTGCTTTTCTTCCTTTTAAAGTTTTTATTTTATTATCAGTAGTGTATGTGCATGCGTGGATGTGGAGGTCAGAGGATGACTCAGGGGAGTCCATCTTTTCCTTTCCTACCTGGATCAAACTCAGGGGGTCAGCCTTGACAGCAAACACTTTTCCTGCAGAACTGGCTCAGCAGTCCACTGCCCTCCTCTTATTACTACATTTTTAAAACGTATTTGTTTTGTGTGTGGAGTCACTTGTGCCACAGCACATATGTGGAGGTCAGAGGACAGCCTCCTGGCATAAGTTCTCTCTTTGCAGCACTCAGGTTCTGGAGCTGGGGGACAGGCTGGCAGGCCTTTCCTGTGCTGGCCCCTTGCTCCTCTTGGTCTTAAGTTGGTGAGACATTCTAGATTCTGTTTTAGTACCTCTGTGGGTGCTGTGTGATTATGGGAAAATCACTTAACATTGGATTGGAAAACAGTCTCCTAGACAGTTTCCAGCATGTTCTGTGGGCAAAGGGCACAGGGCAGCCAGTTACAGCGCAGAAGGTCTTACTTTATAGCTGCCTAAAAGGTTTGAATTGGTGATGTCATTTTCTTTTCCTTGTATATTTTCTTTCCTTCTAATTCACCTCCTGTAACTTGGAGATGGTAATAAATAAGTTTAAGGACATACTCAAGGTTTACTTACAATATTAGGATTACCGTTTCTTCTAAAACCCACTGAAATAACCTTTTGTTGCCATGTTTGGCATGCGCACACCTTCCCAACCTAAACCACACACCTCTGCAGCCTTTGTAACTAACTTGGAGCAGATATGGCAGACTGCTGAAGTTATGGAGCCATGGTTGGGTATAGCTGTAAACACAGTGGTTGGACTGTACTTTTAGTTTTTAAGAGTCGTTTGCTACTTTTAGTGTATGAGTAAATGTCATACATGTGCATGCTCATGCAGGCCAGGAGAGGCCTTGGAGCTGGTGTTGTGAGCCACCCTCCTTGGGTGCTGGCGATGGAACTCAGATCCTCAGAAGAGCAAACTAAGGTGCTCATATCCACTGAGCCATCTCCCTGACCTGTCTTTGCTTTCTAATCCAGCAATGGCTTAAAAAGCTTACCAAGCAAAAATACTCTAGAGGGTAAGCCTTTGTTGTTGACATAAAGGTCCCCAGAAACCCTTAAATGCATTAATAAGTTCTTAAGAATCCTAAGGGTTAGGAGGGAATGAGAGAGGGGGCTACAGCTGGGATACAAAGTAAATAAACTGTAATTAATATAAAAAACAAACAAACAAAAAGAATCTGAAGGGTTGCTGCCATGGTGGCAGTGCCTTTAATTCCAGTACTTGTGCTATAGAGGCAGGTGGATCTCTGAGTTTGAGACCAACTTGGTCTCCAGAGTTTTAGGCCAGCCAGGGATGCACAGTGAGACCTTGCCTTTTTTTTTTTTTTTTTTTTTTTAAAGACCTTGCAGCTAGGTCTCTAATATGCTGGTAGAGCATAGATCTAGCATACACAGTACTGTTCAATCCTCAGCTCCACAAAAGAAATGAAGCTGAGGGATCAGGCTTAATAAGGTTAGTTAGCTGTGCTAAAAATAATTCCACTTTCACCTGAGAGATTTGCCCAGGCACCTGCCGATGTGGGTCAGCCACCTGAAGATCCTCATCTTCAGCCTCTCCTCTCCTGCATAATACTGGGGTCACTTGAAGCGGGGAGGAGCGTAAGCTGCTAAGCTGCAGGAGCCTTCATTTTTTGTTCCTGCTTTGGCTATGAAAGTCCCATCAGTTGCAAGGACTGTGTTGATTCCACAGGGGCCCGAAATGGTGGCCTGAGGTTGTCACAGTGAGTCACTGGGGTGTTTCCTCAGGAACAGCTCCAAGGCTGTGTCGTTTCTCACTCTCAAGATTTAATTCCATTAGCTTCCAGAAGATCTTTTGTGTGGCTGTTTTGTAATAGTGAGTACTTAAAGGCATTTAGGAAAGAAAGCTGACTCCACAGCAGATCACGGAACAGGTTCTGACAGCACCTCTGGCTGGTTGCAGCATCCATATTTTCTCTTTTGTAGGCACCAATGGGATGTCACAGTTATGTTTTAGTCAGTCTGCTTCAGATAGTTAACAAGGAAGCTGAATTGCCAAACCCCAGTTATGAAAGATGCTCATATTCTCTACATTAAATTATACATTTTCATATGTTTATTTGTTTATATATTCATATTTTATGTCCATTGGTATTCTGTCTGAATATATGTCTGTATGAGGGTGTCAAATCCCCTGGAACTGGAATTACTGACAGTTGTGATCTACCATGTGAGTGCTGGGAATTGAATCTGGGTCCTCTGAAAGACCAGCCAGTGCTCTTAACCACTGAGCCATCTCTCCAGCCCCGAAATTATGCATTTTCATTAGGACAAAATAATAATTACCTAGAATCTCAGCAAGAGAACTGTGACTATCAGTCCCCATGCTCCTGTTTCCTCTGTTGCATCTGGGCACACGGTAGTGGCACTTGTCTTTAAGTGTGCTCTGCTGAGGCAGGCACAGAAGAGCACCTCTTCACAGCTGGCTAGGAAGGAACTGAGGCAGGGAGAGGCTGTGTGGCCTGAAGGCGGTGCCCTGGTGTTTGCTTGAGTCTGCCTTTTTTTGTTGTTTTTTAAGGTAGGGTCTTATATAGCCTAAGCTGGTCTCAGACTCTGTGGCCAAGGATGACAGTGGATTTCTTGGCCTCCTGAGTGCTGAGGTCGCAGTTGTGGGCTACCTTATCTGGTTTATGGGAAGCTGGTGCTTGACACGGGACTTGCTGCATGCTCAGGGCAGCTAAGCTACATCTCAAGCCAGTGCTGGTTTTCTGCGTAAATTATTTATTTATCTTGTGTGAATGTGTGTATGCCTGAGTATATGTGTGTCCACAGAGGCCAGAAGAGGGCATTAGATGGATTCCCTGGAACTGGAGTTACAGATGGTTGTGAGACACCATGTGGGTGCTGGGAATTGAACCTAGGTCCTCCAGAAGAGAAGCCAGTGCTCTTAACCACTGAGCCATCTCTCCAATCCCCCAAGACTCTTTTAATCTACTTATCTCACTTATCTTCCCTTTCCAAGTGTATTCTTTAACACAGTCGCCTAGTGGCTAATCCAACTTTAAGCATTTGCCATGACTTAACTGGTTTTCTCCTCATGGGTCTCTCAGTGAGGGGTTTTCTTTTTTGTTTTTTCCCCTTGTATTTTTTTTTAAAAAAATTTTTTATTACACTTTATTTACTTTGTATCCCCCCCTGTAGTTCCCTCCCTCCTCCCCTTCTAATCCCTCCCTTCCTCCCCCTTCTCCACGCATGCCCCTCCCCAAGTCCACTGGTAGGGGAGGTCTTCTTTTCCTTCCTTCTGATCCTAGTCTGCAGTTCTCAGGTGTGGGGCAAACCAGGATGCTCCTACAGAAACCAAAGATTCTAGTCACAACTGCTCCCTGGAGTTGAATGATGATGGGCACAGCCCAGGGGAGACCTTGAGCAGATGTCCGTGTTGTTTGTAGGTAGCAGCACAGCCTGCATCGTGGTGTTGGACAGAAGTAGCCACCGCCTGCACACGGCGAACCTGGGTGACTCAGGCTTCCTGGTGGTCCGGGGCGGAGAAGTCGTGCACCGATCTGATGAGCAACAGCATTACTTCAACACTCCATTCCAGCTCTCCATCGCTCCCCCTGAAGCTGAGGGGGTCGTCCTGAGTGACAGGTAACCTTGCAGCCCTTCCTCAGAGCAGGATGTAGCTTATCCACGCTCCCTCCTGTCCTTTTGCGGTAAGAAACTGCCTGTCCACAGGACCAGCTGTTGGGGCCTTTGCAAGGGGTATAGGTCAAATGGGAATCACAATTGAGCCAAGTTGCCCTAAACGCAGTCACCTGAAAGTGTGTGCAAAGGCCACGTCAGCTTTCTGTCGTATTTTCACGCACTGTGAGTGCATGCGTGGCCACTGCAGTAGAAGCTGAGTTGCCCAAAGGCCTCTGCTGGTGCAGGGTTTGCATACTTTTCTAAGGGGGCTCTGTCAGAGGTCTATCTTATCTGTCAGAGGTCCTCTGCACGCATGCACCCAACACAAGAGAAGTGCAAGGCCTGCTGCCATCCCTAACGGGGTCACTAGGGTGTTCTTCTTTTCTTGCTGATGGCTAATGTCTCCTAGTTTATTTTTAAACTTCCAGGAACCTTTCAAAACAACTGGAACACTTTAAAATTAATTTTTAGTTGTTCTTTTCTTAGACTAGAGTAAGGCTAAGGCTTGGACTACACTTTGCTCAGCCACCTTACAGGGGCTGCACATGCTCCCCAGCAACCCCTGAGTGAGCGCTTTAGTGAAGAGACGCCTAGGAAATGGTCTTTTTGCTTACTTCTTTCTTTTCTACCTGTTACCCCTAGTGAATCAGAGCTTAAGGCCAAACTAACATAAACAGGTATTTCTGCTGTCTTTGCTTTTGGAATGAGGATATTATATAATTAGGTGTTGGTGTTTTCCATTTAAATAATCTGCATGGATCCTGCACCTGTAATCCCAGCACTCGGAAGGCTAAGGCAGGAGGATTACCAGCTTCAGGCCAGCCTGGGCTATATATAACAAGACCCAGTCTTAAAAAAAATTAGGGCATTGCTGAAAGAGGGAAGTGCTTCCAGCTCTCAGGTCTGCCGAGTGCCTTAGGTGGGAGAGCATCTCAGTGGACAGGACTGTGTTTATAAACGTTTGTTTCATGTGTTTGGTGGAGGTGGTGTGTGTGTCATGGCACAGGTGTGCAGGTCAGCTCTTTCCTTCTAGCATGTGGGTTCCCAGGATCAGTGTCAGGTTTGGCAGCAGGTGCCATCCCTGAGCCATCTCATTGAACCAGCTTTCTTGTGCTATTGAGTGGGCTGTGATACACTGTAGCCATTTGGAGTGAAGACCTCGGTGGATACCAAGCTCGGCTGACAGCTTCCAGGTCACGGTGCTTCCTTTTCCTCGCTGGCTGCTGCCTCTTTTGGCCTCCTGAATACCAGATGCCCAGGCAAGCTTTGGGACAGGCAGGCTAGCGGCACAGTCTGCTGGCCTGATGTGAGGTGGAGGTGGCCGCCCGTGGAGCCCAGCTCGCCAGCATGTGACTGTGGCTCGTGTTTCAGTGCGGTCGAGAGTTTCCAGCAGCACAGGGTGTTCAGTCGGAATGGACAGAGCTGCAGCTGGCGGAACACCAAGCTCGTGGGTGGGAGTGTTAGCAGAGCACGGACTGGCCAATAGGAGGAGGCTCTCACAGGCAGAATGGCAAAGGCTTTCGTGGGGAAAGAAAAACCTCAGCATAAAACAGAGCCCCCATGCCAACCTGGTCGTTAATCTGCACTTCTCGAACCTGACGTGCTTGTAAAGACAGCAGGCCAGAGTCTTGCATGTTTGTCTGGAATTTTGCAGAAGGAACTAACCAACTTTCCATCATTATGATGGTGGTTTTCTCTTCCTGCTGCTTGTCCTTAATTGTCACTTTTATCTATATAGATGTGTGCTGCCTCGTTCGGCCCTGTGAAGTTAAGCCAGGAGCTTGCTCAGGGCACTGTGTAGATCCTCGGGTGTGTATAAGCTTACTCTTGAGTTTTTTTCTCAGTGTGTTTTCTATATTACACAGGTGTAGGTTTTCTGTTGGGCCTAGGATGCTCTGGCTCTAGCTCCTCTCTCAGTCAGTGTCTAAGGTCTTCTTTCTGTTATTTTTAACCTTGGGGTCAGGCAGACCATTAGCTGTCTCCTCTGCCTGCCCTTTCAGACTGGGAGGCAGGGTAGGTGGCCTTCAGCAGTGACTGAGAGCCAGCTTCATGGGGTTATGAACTCCTGCTGCGTCTCCTCAGTGTTAGATCTGTTTCCTTCAGGTTTTGCCAGAAGAAACATCTGCCTCTCTTTCTTTAAAAGTTGTACCCAGATTGGGTATAGTGGCACACATCTGTCATCCCAGCACCCAGGAGGCTGAGACAGGAGAATTATGAGTTCAAGGCCAGCCTGGGCTACATGTTGGGACCTTATCTCCAAAACAAAACAAAAGTTGTACCAAAAAAAAAAAAAAAAAAAAAAGAAAAGAAAAAAAAGACAAGCAATCTCCTCCCTACCCTGCTGCAGCCACACAGTCTCTGGGGGACCCTGGCACTAGGTTCTCTCCAGATAGACATTCTGAGCTCAGGCGTCTCTGTGTGTCTCTTCCTTATAGAAGTAGTAGTATCTGCTACAGACTCCTGCCTTTTCTGTTTAACCTATTACAGCGTTTCTCCCAGTCGGGAGGGTTACTCTGTTTTTGCAGTGTGTCATTTAACATGTTCCTTGAAGCTCTACACAGCAGGCACACTTGAACAGGGTGGGAGATATATAGTCCTTAACTGTGCTAAAGGCTCTCTGGGTGCCTCCAGGTAGCCCTTCCTACAGGGGCTCATGTTCTCTGTGGGTGCCAAGTCTCCTGAGAGCCAGGGGGGCTGCGGTGGTACAGATGGGAGAGGCTGGAATCTGAGGCTGCAGACTGGGCAGGAGAATACAATTCCACAAAAGCTGAAGTTAGATCTGGCTCAGGAGAGAGCCTTCCTCTTGAGCCATGTCATAGGACTGGCCTCACTGCCTGGGCAAAGGCTTTTGCTAAGCCTTTGACACTTACAGATGACACTTTCAGCTAATTTTTTTCAAGAATGGTATTTTAGTATGACTTTATGTTGTAAGATGGGATTCATACTGTGGAAGGAGTATGGAGATCATAGGACACCTATGGGAGTCAGTTCTCTTGCTTTGACATGTGGGCTCTTTGGTTGCAGAACTCAAGTCAATAGGCTTAATGCTGAACTGAGATGTCAGTAGCCCAACTTTGCTTTAGTTGATGCCATTTTAAAAGCCTCATTACATTGTAAAATGCTGGTAGTGGGACCATTGACACATCTACAGGGCTTCATTCATCTTGCTGTCCCTCTGTTCTTGCCACAGCCCTGACGCTGCTGATAGCACTTCTTTCGATGTCCAGTTAGGAGATATCATCCTGACTGCAACCGATGGGCTCTTTGACAACATGCCTGATTATATGATTCTTCAGGAGCTGAAAAAACTGAAGGTAATGAACTCGGAGCCTGGTGAGTGGGTAGTCCCTGGGAGCTATGGTCTCTGCATAGACAAGTTGTATAGAGCCCGTTGCATTGTCCCTTTGTTAATTTGTAAAGTACTATTTTTTTGAACCTTGGGGAAATAATGGATGTAATAGTCCAGTAACATTCCAGGAACATTGGGAAGAGGACTGGGGGAAAGCCCTAACCCTTCTCCACATGGTGATTCAGGGGGAGGCAAAGGGTGCTCTTGTTTTCTGCCTGGTGTTTTATGCATGTGCTTATCCTTCTCTCCTTTTATTGCCACACACACTGCAGGCATGGAGGCTGGAAGGTCAGAAGGAGTTAGGCCGGAGCCAGTCCAGGCAGCGAGGGCCTGGGTGTGGCCAGAGCTGCAGTTGAGGGAAGAGTTTGGCTTCTCCCACAGAAGGGGGCAGGGCCAGAAGCTGGACTTCCCAGATTCTCTCAGCCCAGTGAAAGTACTGGCTGGCAGAAATGGGCCCTTTTGCTCTAGCGCCTCACCATTCTGCTTGGGATGTTTCTTCTGCTGTCCCCACAGTAGTTCTGTGTCTGTAAATGGGACATAGGAAAGGTCTTGTCCTTCCAGGTGCCAGCAAAAGTAGCCAGAACCATGGGAAGGGTGTCCTGACACCATGCCTGTGCTCACATGTAGTGGGTGCACTGTGTGCCGACAGTGCTAAGGAGAAAGCACTCAGGTCATGCCCCACCTTGGTGGGGGTACTTACAGTCTGGAGGAAAGTGCTGGTAAAGAGATACACTATCAGCTGATGGCAAGTGAAAAAACGAGAGAAATAAAGGGGAATGCTGCCTGAGACTGGCTTTTAACTTTAATCTCTGTATAAATTTTGTTTATTTTTATCTTATGTGTATGAATGTATGCCTGGTGCCTGTGGAGGCAAGAAGAGGTTCCCCTGGAACTAATGGAACAGTCATGTGGATGCTAGGAACCAAACCTGGGTCCTCTTCGAGAGCAGCCAGTACTGTTAACCTCAGGAGCTATGTGTCTAGTGGTTGACATTTAGACTGAAAGACTTAGAAGCTTTGAAGTCAGGGCTGCGGGGTCCTTGTCCACCCATGCCCATTTTATAGACAAAGTGGAAGCGGCTAAGGTCAGGGCACGGGCAGAGAACACACAGCAAGCCCGAAAGGCGTTCTCAACCAGCAGGCTGCCTCTTGCTTGAAAAGTAAATATGGCTAGCAAGGTGTGTTCACAAAACACATGGGGACTTCTGAGGCACCATGAAAATGTAGCCGGAATCCATCTTTTCAGACCACTCCATTTCAGATGGGAAGCAAAAAATGAAAATCTTAAGGAAAAAAAATACCTACATTGAAGATCTAGAGCCATTTCAACAAAAGGTTTTTTCAAGCAGGGCTCTGATGGGCTTGTTTCCTCTTCCACTCTCTCGATGTCTTTTCTAACTAGAATAAAACTTACGTGTTAGGGGGAAATGTTCAGGTAAATTTTCTGCCTTTAGTGCTGTCTGCACTAAGTGTTCTCATACGAAGAAACCACAAGAGGCATCGTGGTAAAAATAACTCCATCCTTTCATTTTAGAATTCAAATTATGAGAGTATACAGCGGACTGCAAGAAGCATTGCTGAGCAAGCACACGAGCTGGCCTATGACCCAAATTATATGTCACCTTTTGCACAGTTTGCATGTGACAATGGATTAAATGTAAGAGGTAAGCATTCTCTGGAAGGCTCTGAGCTCCAGTGAGAATGTTTAGGTGTCCTTCCTCTCTTAGCAAGGTCAGGAAGGTGGCAGCCGGTGTGTGTCTGAGGTGCCCTTCAGAGCCAACCTTTCCTGGGTGAGAGACAGGTGGAACCCAAAGCCCTTTACTCCACACTGCTCTGTACCCTGGGCTCCGTTCCAGCAGCTTGACGTTCTGACCCTTGAGTGGCTGACTTGAAATGCCACTGCAGTCTGGAGAGGAAAGCTGGAAGACATTGCCTTTGCTTGTGATGTCTTTATCCACCTCATGATGTGACTGGGGAATTAGACCAGTCCTAGCTGGGTGACATTGCTATCAGGACTGTGTGGAGCTGCCCAGCTTTTGCTAGTGTGATACTATGATATGCCGAGCACATCTGCGCTCAGGAAATGTTAATGTGGAGAAAAGCACATGCCATAGCTGCTTGGCAGATTAGAATACGGGCTATTCCTAGTTTCCAAACATTGGACACATTTGTCCAAATTAGGGCAGCGCTGGGCTGGAGCTGTCCTGCCAGCTGTCTCACTGATATGACTCTGTGAGCCATCTGCAAGCCATCATGTGGGAAAGCAGCAGGGTGGGTTTAGGGTTGTTGTCTAAAACTTCAGTTGAATCATTTCTTTGTTTTTGCTTCTTTGACACACGGTTTTAGATAACTCAAGCTGGCCTCAAATATGTTGTGATCCTCCTGCCTCAGCCCACCAGTGCTGAGAGCGGAGGTGTGCTTCGCCACGCCCCGGCTTCTTGGTGCTGTTTAGCTATACCTTGCTTGTTTTTATTTTAGCTTTTGGGGATGATACCGTGTAACACAGTCTGGGCTTGAACTCGTGATCTCCCACGCTTGTAGCTTGCAGCTTTAACTCTGTCCACTCCGGTGCACTGGCAAGTCAGACCCACTGAAATATGAGCACTTGTCTCTGCAGCGCTTACCTGGGCCCTGTCTTTGCCTAACTTTTCCTTCAGGCATACTGATGAGTTTCATTTGTGTTTTAGGCGGAAAACCAGACGACATCACTGTCCTCCTCTCAATAGTGGCTGAGTACACGGACTGACTGGACACGCTAGCGACTCCTGCCTTCCCCTTGTCGCCCCACTTTTCCCTGCCGTGTGTGCTGATCCTGCTGGCAGGACCACATTTCTTTGCCACTGATCTCAGTGGTCAGTGATGGATGCTCTGGCCCTTGTTTGAGACCCATTGAGATCCTTGTTGAGAACCACTATTGTCATCCACTAGCCCAGACCTGCTGGTGACTGCCAAGAAAAGTGAGGTGACCTCTTCCTTCTCCCAGAGGTTTTCAAAGCCTTTTACTTTTCAAAAGCAGTTGAAGTTTTGAAAATAAGTAATGTTGGTAAAGTAAATTCAAAATTTCAGTGTGTTAAAGGGATTTTAACATTCAACAAGTAGTAAATAGTGATCCATCTACCAGAAAACACACGATGGTCCCAGGAACGTCCTGTGTCCCAGAGGCGCAGTGTCTGCTAGGACTTGTGCGGCTTTTTGTTTTCTGTATAAACTCGTTTCCCAGGAGCCCACAGTCCTGCTCCTGTGCTGGGCTGGGTTGTGACACCATAGCCCCGGCAGCTTATGTTTCGGTTACAAATCGGGAGAGAGTTTTTGTTGTGTGGATGCAAATATTCTGTGCTTTTTAAAGATGCTTACTTGTGCCCCTGTGATTGAGGCTGCGGCAGTCTACTGATTTGTCCAGGTCACAGGAGGGACAGGGAGGAGACTGCTTACCAAAATCTGTTCATGGAAATACGCAAAAGTTCAAAACTCCTCAAAGCCTGGGAATCAAACGCTGTGGCTGAAGTGGTCCGAAGCCGTCCGTGCTGCCTGTGAGGATGCCATGGGCTTTCCCGGTAGAGTATGCAGGTGCAGCTCTCAGTGGGGTTGGCTGTGGACAGCTTTGCTCCTTCCCTCAGGAGCCTCCCACCCTAAGAGCATGCCCCCCTGCGCTGTGTCCTCAAGGTGACAGCGTGGTGGCTGCAGCTCCCAGAGCCGACAGGAAAGCTAGTAATGACCTGACACCTGCAGTGACCCCAGCTGAATGTGGGGCTCTGAGTCCAGCTTAATGTTTACAGTTCTAATAGCCATTTGCAGTAGGTGACGTTCCGTCTCAGACTTCCCCATTACCTGCAAGCGCAAACTTATTTTTAAGGTTTATGTACAATTGACTGCTGTAAAGATATATATTTTTGAGTCCGTTCTTCTCCTTCATTAACTTGGTGGTAGAAAGTATATATAATTAGAAACCCTTAAGTTAAAGCCGTGTTTTCTGTGCAAGTCAGGTGATATTGGTGTGAAGATCATGTGAACAGCCGCACAGCCCTTCCTCTGCAGGAGACACTGGCTCCCTGGTTACTGCATTGAACTTGTGTTTGAGGTTACCTCAACTTGTTTTTAAAAGATTTTGTCTGTGAGTTTGTATATTGCGTAGTTGTCTCTTGTTTTATTTAAATTGTTTACCATGTACCATGTACATGTCATTGCTCTATCTCAGTGCATCATGCTTGTAACAGGCATTTCATTTGTAAGAATGAGTTACTCATTTGTAAGCTGTTCAGTAATTTATCTACTATTCCTAAATTGGCATAATGTTAGATTCCTATTTTGAATCACCTTTAATTACATGTCAGAATGCCTTAACTACCCTAACCTGACAACACTGAGTTCTTTGGGAAGGAGGTACAGGGGCCGGGTATAGAGGGAGACTGGAATAAGGAGATGTCGTGCTCTATTGATCCCAGAGCATGAGGACATGTGGTGGGTATTTATTTTGCACAAACTCTTTGCAGTGTCTGTGTTTAAAACAGTAAGGTTGCATCCAGACGGGGTGTGTGACTCTAGGACTGACTACTTCAACTCTTCTGTGTGCTTTGTAATTAGTTTTTGGTCAGAGGTATTGTAGCCTTACAATCTGGATATATTTTGCATTAATTCTCCAATGCCGACATTTAATTCCTGCCAAGAGCAGAGCTGGTCAAGTCACTGGCTTTTTTTTTTCTGCTCTCATTTACCCATCAAGCAATCTTTGTAAAAGTAGATTGGTGTGTTTTATACAACTTTTAGTCAACTCACTTTTCTGAGCAGTGATTGTTAGAAACAGACAGACAGTGAGGCTGTTCTAGTACATTGAAAACTATAGGACAGGCGTCAACATTCAGAGTGAAAATGACTTTGGGCCTTGCGCGTGGACTAGTGACATCACATACTCCCTTTGCTTCTCCCCTGTCCTTTTTGTTACACTTAATTTTGTGACTGTCAGAGGTCAGGTGGAGCGAGTGCTGCCTCATCCTCCCCATGGCCAGAGGCTCTGTCACACACCCCTTGCTAGGTCCAATTTGGAACCTGGTGTGCGCACGCATTGTATTTTAAATCAAGCAATGTAAGCGCTCATATTTGTCTCATGGAGTGAACTTTTATAACAAAAGAGAAAATTTGGGTTTTAATTTACAAATGGCAAATTATTTATCCCTCTGGATGCACCAAAGACCAGTAAAGTTTATAGCTTTTCCATCTATATTTATAAGCAATACTGTATTATAAAAAAATCACTATTTTTATCACATGCTTGAAATTTTTATTTTGTTCTGTTTTAAAAATGTGCACTCTAAACATATCAGAACCTTATTTCTTCCTATGAACTTAAGCTGCCTGCGCACAAAAAATATAAGATTACCAAATGGAGATGAAGTAGCTAGAGTCCCTAGGCTCTTAAAAAACTGAAAGAAATGAGGGCGAAAACAAGTTCTTTGTTCCGAGTTACAGTACGTGCTTGACTTGGTCGATAGGTTACTAACTCAAAGAATCCATTCCAGGTGTGTGTGTCTGGGTTGGGCTGTGTCTGAAGTAGAGAATGGGTATGAGCTTTCTGAGGCAGGAGAGTGCCCTTTTCTGCCGCTGCCCTTGTTCTGGATAGAGTAGCCAGCAGATGGAAATGTCACAGGGCTGCCGTCCCATGAGTGTTCTGGAGGTGGCTGGCAGGATTGGCTAGGGCTGTACGTGTTTGTACTTTTGGGTAGGTCCGTGGCTCCTTGTCGCTGCACCAGCTCTCTTAGGCAAAATTACAACACTCAGTTTCTCTGGAGACTGTCACATTTTTGCATTTAAAAAATTTTGCGATGCCAAAAAAAAAAAAAAAAATCTGCTTATAAAACAAAATATGAAACAGAAGACATTTGGATTCTGTTTCTTTCAAAAAAGTAAATTTATCACAAGATTGAACTTCTCAATAAAGCAGTGTCCATGTCAAAATGTAACTGTTAGCAGGTAGTTTGTGGCAAAGATGACTAAATGATGAAGCAAATCTGAGTCTGTGTATACTAACGAGCTGCGTTTTCTGTTGAGACTATCATTGTTTGTCCTACAAGAGGCAATGACCCGAATTGATGTCTGAAATATAATTTATGCAGGAATAGTTCTGTAAATACATTTAAATAAACTGTAAAGATATTTAATAAATATAGTATTTATACTAACTGCCACTCCTTGGTTTGAATGGTTAGGGACTGAGACCCTGCACAGCACTGTCTTTATCACGTCCTCAACCCCAAGCCTCTTGGTCTTTCCACGGTGAGCAGCCCTTCAGAGCTTCATCTTCTGTCTATACCATCTGACCCGGCATGGCTAAACAGCTAGTTTTTTGTCCTCAAAAACGCACCAGAATGGACTGACAATTGGGTGTAAAGTAGGTTGTTTTTGTTTCTCCAGCCGGGGTGTTGTGCCTTCCAGACAGTGCTGGCTAAAGCTACCAAAACCTGCTGTGAGGGCCGGGGTTTGGTGGTGGAGTGCTGACCTAGTGTGTGCAAGGCCCTGGAGCCCATGCCAGCACCATACGCACCCACGCAGGCAGGCAAGCACACACCGCTGCTGTGCGGGCTTTCCAAGCCCTGAGTGCTTCTAGTGTAACTGCCAGAGTAGGCTGCTACTGACCAAGGCAGGTGCCTTGGGAGTCATGTTGGTGAGTGAACCCTGGCATCATCCTCAGCAGGGCGAGGATAATGAGAGTTGCTCTGCAGCCATCTTCATCGTTAGGAGTGTCAGAAATCCAGTTAGTCATCAGTGTAAACATGAGATGAGATTCATAAATCTCAGCCTACAACAGAGGACAGGGCTGAGATAGGTGGGCATTGCCAGTTTCCACAAAAAAAGCTTGGTGAAAGCCCATTTTCATTCACAGAGGAACGTTTCAGAATGAAGCTGGGTTTTTATTAGGTTACTGTGGGCAACTGTGACTCATGGCTGAGCTACAGGAACCAAGCCACTCTGGTTTCAGCTGGAACTCTGCTCACACTTCTAAAGCATGCCAATCCACTTAGGCAGTACTTGCAGTCTCTCAGCCTCTGAAGTTCAGTGGCCTCCTGTTTGATACTTCCTTATGGCTTGATGGTTTTCCAAAGACTTAGCAATAGCATGTTACCAAACGCTCCTTTGTTGGCTTGTAACTGAGTGTGAACAGGTTTGGGTGAGAAAGACACACACTGTACGTAAGATGTTACATAACCTTGCTTTTGCACCAGGTTTTTAATCTGTTGTGCAGGTAAGCAGCTGGATCTGAGAGGAGCAATGGGCAGGCGTTTGTCTCCTGCGTACCTCACTCCGCTGCAGGCAGAGCTTAGGGGCTGCTGCGTGTGCTGATGATCCTGACTTACTTGCCTTCACTCCTCTACATGCTTTCTGCACCCCACTGCACAGCATGCAAGAACCAGAGCAACCGAAGGCTGGGAAATAAAATTGTATGATATATATATAATGACCACAAAGTGGAAGACTAACTGTAGAGTTTTTTTTATTCACATCCTTTTTTCTAGTCTGAAAAAAAAACAAAAACAAAAAAAAAAAACAATGAAAAATACCTGCCAGGTCATTGCATAAGAAAGGACTGTATGACTGCTGTCTACAGTCAGGTACAGAACTCCACCAACCCCGATGCTGAGGAAAGTCTGCTTTGGGGGCCGGCCAAGGACATGTCAAGGCTGCAGAATAAACAGGCGTCTAAACCCTAATGGCTAATTCCTGTGCCGCCAGCTCTGTCCCCTCCGTGGCACATGGATTTTAGTGCACTGTGGTACTGGGAAGAGCAGAGGCACGTACATCTCCAGGGCAGCCTGGGACAGTGTGCTCCATTCTCATTTGGCTTCAAGGAGCCAGGCCCAGCACCCAGTACAGCTATCACTGAGCCTAGGCTGTGGACGTGCATCCACCTGAGTCCTCCTCACTGTCACTTGCTTTGGCGAGGCTGTCCAAGGGGTGGCCAACATGTTCTTGCTGTTCAGAAGAAACTGCTCCGAAGAACATACAGGAAAACTAGAAGAGAAGAAAAAAGCTTGCAGTTTATGCTGAAGACAAAGCCTGCAGACTGAGGGCCCCAGGTGCTGCTACTGTCTTTGATGGTAGTGAATAGTGGACACCATTATCCACATCTAGGGCCAGAGTCTTTTCTGCCCTCATCAGCCCACGACTGGGCCTTTGTGAATAGTGGTCCACTGTGACCTCTCCTGGAGCCACAGAAAAGTCCACCATGAGGCAGAGTCTCTCATCAAAGGGGGTCAATAGTTGGCTCCCCTCCCCTCATATTTGCCCTCACAGGATGAAGCTGACCCCCAACCCCAACCCTCTCATTACGGAGAGCCTTCGTTTTGCTGATGTTTAGATGTCTCATCCTCTGCCCTCTCCAGCTGCTGCCCCTTCCCTGTCACAGAGAAGTGCCTGTCTGTCCTTAGAGACTCTCATCCTCCTTCCTACCCTGTTTACGCTTCTGACCTCAGCACTGCCCGAAACGAGCCCTGTGCCTGAACCAGCGTCCTGTAGCAGACAGAAGACATAAGCGAGGTCAGCGACAAGACCTGCAGCTTCTGATCCCTCTTTGTGGTTTTGGTGAGGACAGTGACACCGCCACAGACTAAACCCTAGAACCCCATCACACAGGTAGGTAGGGATGGGATCAGGTTGCAAAGATGGCATTGCCAGGCAGGCAGGCTAAAGACTTTGACTGCCTGGCTTGGGTTATAGAAGAAGTGGACTTAAGAGCCTGAGAATGCCAGGTGCCAGACTCTGGCCACGGCGGGAGACTGAAGGGAGCGGGCTGAGAGACACCCTGATGTTTAGTCCTGAGAGAACCAGTTCACACATGGCTGCAGTAAAATCTGCGGTTACCTGTTAAAAGAGCAGCACCTGGCTTCAGCTCAGCTGGAAGCAGTGTGTATTGCTTCTAAGTCTGGCCTTGAGCAACATCAAGGCCCTGAGGCTAGAGATGACCCTGGGCAGCCTCTTCTGTCCAAGGTCTGGCCCGTGTAGTACTTCTCGGTAATTAGTGTTCATGGCATCCTCTGAAGCTGCAGAGCCCAGGCTTATTTTGGTGTTTGAGCATTGCCTGATTTTGCCCTGGAGTGAGCACTAGTAGCCACCTGCTCTTGCTCCTGCTGTCTACCTGAGCTTGAAATCTGGCTGGCCAGCAGCCTTTGTGATATCAAGCAGGGATGATGCACACAGTAAGGAAGAAGAAGGTTGGGCTGCAGCTTAGTGGTAGAGCACTCTGCTAATGTGCCAGAAACCTGGGCTCTGTCTCCAGTACCACAAAGCAAAAGAAGGTAAGAATGCTGGCCCTGGGTCACGGGGCGACCTGTGAGGCACAGGAGCTGCAGAGATGGCTCAGCGTTTGAGTGTGTGCTGCTCTTTCATAGGACCTGAGTTCAGTTTCCAGGACCCATACTGGGCAGGCTCACAATTGCCTGCAACTCAGGCTACTGGGGATCCAATAACTTCTTGCCTCCATGAGCACATATTCGAACAGTCTCTCTCTTATACACACAGACGCATTAAGAAAGCAATACTTGGATCACATCTTCCTGCTAAGATGATGAGGAAGCAGGATGCCTGGCTCTGGCTATAATTTAGGACACAAGAGCTCAACGATTGGCACAGAGAAAAAAAATTAAGGCCATTTCTATTTGATGATGACTGCTGGGAGAACCTAACAAGGTGAAGAAGACAATTCAGCAGTTGGACGTGGTGATGTACCCCTTTAATCCCAGCACTCTGAAGGCAGAGGCAGGCAGATCTGAGTTCAAGGCCAGCCTGGTCTATAGATCAATCAAATTCCTGGACAGCCAGACAGCCAAGGGTATTCTAGGCAACCTAGAAGTAGGCTGCCTATATGCTAACAAAGGGTACACAGAAAAAAACCCTGTCTCTAAAAAAAAAAGAAAGAAAAAAGAAAAAAGAATTCGGCAAAGTAGAGAGACATAGAATCACAGCTGTACACACAAGTTACACAGAAAACCCATCTATAGCAGCAACAGTCACACAGCCCAAACTGGCGTCAGACCCACCGTGTGCACCAGCACACAATGCTGGGGCCCAGCCCAGACCTGGGCACCCAGGCAAGCATTCTACCAACTGAGCCAGACATCCCTGGCCCCATGCCTCCTGCCCTCCTTTTCATTTAAAGTCAGAGTCTCATGATCTGGCCTCACCCTCACAGATGCTGTAATTCCTAGTATGTACCCCATCCCCAGACAAGAGTACATGTAACAACAGACACCCAAACCCCTATGAAGAGCCTGGATATGGACCCACTTTGGCCCTAGCACTCAGAAGGCATGAGGATTGGGAATTTCTATCTGGGCTACATAGTGAGATCCTGTCTTCAATGCTCTACCTCCCACAGGGAAAAGCTGGGTGTGGTAGTGCATTCCAGCCCTTGGGAGATAGAGCCAAGCGGTCCATCCTCAGCTATAAAGGGAATTTGAGGCAAACCTGGGCAACATGAGACCACGTCTTAAAAAAATTAAATCCCAGCACTTGGGAGGCAGAGGCAGACGGAGCTCTATGAGTTCAAGGCCAGCTTGGTCTACAAAGTGAGTTCCAAGACAGCTAAGGCTACAGAAGACCTGTCTCAAGGACCAAAACAAAATTTTTAGAAGTCTGAATTCTAAAACAGCCCTGAGAGACATAGGTGGTCTTAAAGATAAAAACATCACCTGACTACAGGGGGTTGATGTAATAGTGCTTTGCCCAAGTGTAAAGTAGTTCAGATTCCAACAGACGCTTTTTATGGGCATGAGTGAGTTGTTACTAGTTTAAGTTACAAGTAAATGTTCATGGTATAAAAAGATAAGTCTACCAAAAGCCGCTGATGAAGTGGCAGTGGATAAGGAAGACACTAATGGGTCAACCACAGCAAGTCCAGGGACTGGCACAAGTGTGCCAAGTTTATAACATGGCATAGGAGACACCAGAGCCCTAGGCAAAGCCAGGCTATAATTTTAAAGACTTCTGGGGTAGCTGCAAAGACAAAGTTAGACCCATAATTTACAACATGCACGAAGAGAGACTCCAGATGGCTTAGTGAGTAAACGTAAGAGGAAAGAGGTGGATTTCTTAACCGGTGTAGGAAAAGCTTTCTAACTGACTCAAAATCATTTGAAATTTTAAAAATTTTACTATGTACAGGAAAAAGACTTTGCATGGCCAAAACAACAACAACAACAACAAAACAAACAAACAACTACAATAACAAAAACCCATCTATAAGATATGTAGGTGGGTACAGCACTCATCATAGACGGTGGATAACAAGCCTGTGTGTCCTGTGAGCACACACGCAAAGGGGACAGGGCTATAGACTGTGCAGTGGATAAGACCATTTGGTATTCTTCCATAAGACCCAAGTTTGGTCCCCACTATTCCACTTCACTCACCACCGAGAAATGCAAATTAAAGCCATGCTGAGAGAGAGTGGAGACACAGATGAGTAGTTACACACTCTTGCAACCTCAATTCAGTTCCTATCACCCAAGTTGAGTGGCTCACAGCTGCCTGTAATTCCAGTCCCGGGGATCTGACACCTCTTCTGATTTCTAGGTACTACACACACGTAGCAAATGCATAGACACATAAAGGCAAAAAGTCTTTAATTCTAGGCCGATGGACCTATGAGTTTGAGGCCAGCCTGGTCTACATAATGAGTTCCAGAACAGCCAGCAATCTGTAGAGAGAGCCTGCCTCAAAAAGAAATGAAAAAATAGAACTAGAGAGATGACAAGTTAGAACACCAGCTGCTCTTGCAGAGGATCCAGGTTTGGTTCCCAGCACCCACATATGGGCTTACAACCATCAGTAACTCCAGTTCAAAGAGATCCAACTCTTGACCTCTGTGTGCAGCAGGCACACCCACGGCACACATGCATATATGCAGGCAAACACTCATATACATAAAAATATTTTCAAAGCAAAAGAAAAGCTTCTGAACTCTAAACTTAGCAGTGACTTTTAAGTTTGGCAGTATGCGCTGTTTGCGGCCTTGGGGAAACTGTCACTCTCCCTCACCGCTGCAGCAAGCAGACACTAGCAGGATCTGAAGAACATCACTTAGTTCACACTCTGAGGAAGGATTTACCTAAGGCCACAGTTCTACTAATAGGAGATACATATGTGACCCAGTTTGTTCTTAGAGCTTTTAATGATTTTACAACAAGGTTTCACGAAACACCCTTGTTGGCTTAGAGCTATATAGACCAGACAGGCCCTGAACTCAGAGATCCTCCCGCCTCTGCCTCCCGAGTGCTTGTGACACCTTTTGTAATTGCAGAATACCGGGGGAAAATAAAAAGCAATGTAGAGCGTGTAACTCACAGAGGACGACACAGCTGCTGTGCGGAAGGCAGTGTTATCTGGCAGTGTTATCTAGCAGTGGTAAGTGCAGAGAGTAGCTGGAAAGCAGTGTGAGAGAAAACATGTGCAGCTGCTCATTTGTCGAGGAAGGAAACAGAAAGTGCTTGCCGCACAGGCATGAGAGTCAGTTTGGATAGCATAAAAACCTGGACAACGTTGCCTGTTTCCCCAGGGCTGGGCTTGGAGTCAGGCAGATCTGTGGAGCTCTTGGTCAGCCAGCCTTGCAAGGAACGAGTGTCAGGTTCACTGACATGTCTCAAAAAGTAAAGATGGACGGACAGTGAAATGGCTCAGTGGGCAAAGACTGTATGCCAGGCCCCACATGGTAAAGGACATAGCATGGGCATGCACACACACAAATGTAACTCTAAAGCTGCCGATTCTTTTTTCTAAATATTTCTCTGTGTGTATGCCTATATGTGCTCATGCATGCAGGTGCCTGTGGAGGCTGGAAGAGGGTGTAGGATCCTCTGGAGCTGGACTTGCAGTTAGTTGTGAGCTGCCGACTTGGGTGCTCGGAAGCAAATTCCAGTTCTTTGCAAGAGCATCAGGACCATTTAACAACTTAGCTATTTTGCCAGCCCCCACAAATATATTTTTAATTAAAAAACAAACAAACAAACATCCAGTGTCAACAGTGAGCCTCCACGTGCCCACATGTGCAGGCACAGGCACAGGTGCTCACGGCAGACTGTTGGGGGCTGGCCTAGTGCTGTGTGTTCTAACGCTAAAAGCTGGCCTGCAGCCCTGGCTGCAGTAGAGACACAAGTACACCCTCTGCTGTGGAAACTTTGCTTTACCTAATTTAAAGTTAATTGGTTAACTTAGGCCAGGGTCAAACAGAAAGGGAGGAGGACCTCCCCTATCAGTGGACTAGGGGAGGAGCATAGGGAGAGGAGAGAGAGGACAAGTGGGTTTGGGAGGACACAAGGGAGGGGGCCACAGCCAGGATACAAATTGAATAAATTGTAATAAATGATAATAATAATAATAAAGAAATAGAAAAAAATAGCTAGAAACCTTTAACTAGACAGAAGAGAAGTAGGCAGAGCTTAGGTTCCCAGGCTTGGAGTCAGAGAGGAACCACAAGGCCAGGAGAAGTGAGGAAGCAGAAGAAGTAGCAGGAGGAGAGGAGGGTGGAGAGAAGGAAGTCACCATGGGGCGTATGGACCATGAGCATGGGCAGTGAAAGCTAGCCTGACAGGACAGAAGCAGCCCAGGCAGGAACAGTTATGGCAGGTAACGGGGTGTGAAACTGGGGAACAGCAAAAAAGCTTAGAGGGTTGATACCTGCCCAGTTAGGGTGCCTTAAAGCTTTTATAATTCTAAAAGGTCTTTGTCTCAATTATTTGGGAACTAACTGGGGTAGAGAAGCCCTCTAGAATAATATCCCTTCAACATACAATGCCATACATACACAATACTTTTTTTTTTTTTTTGGTAAGGGGCACTTGCTGACAAGCCAGTGAGCCAGATTCAATCTCAGAGACCCACAGAGTGCAAGGAGAAAACTGATTTCAGCAAGTTGTTCTCAAATCACCACCCTGTGTGCTGTGGTGTGTGTGCACACATATACACACAGATTTTAATTAAAACAAATATGAGCCAAGACTTTAATGTAAACAGAAACAGTGACATTAGGAGAGAACACAGGTGGAACCCTTAAGTTGCAGGAAAAACCAAGGGCTGTGAAGGGGACTGCAGTCGCTGAGGGGAGAATACCAGGAACTAAGCACTGGCACTGCCTGAGTAAGACGCTTCTACACAGCAAAGAGCAGTGACCGAGCGGGAGCCAACAGACTGGGGTAAAAGCTTAGCTAGCTTTGCATCTGACAGAATCGGTATCTACAATGTATAAAGAACTCAAAAATGAAATATCAAAAAACAGAACAAAACAAAAAACAAGGGAGCTGGTAAGATAGCTCAGCACATAAAGGCACTTTCTGCCAAGCCTGATGAACTGGGTTCAATCCCACATGGTAGAGGGAGAGAACTGACTCCTGCAAATTGTCTTCTGACCTCTACCTGTGCATGCATGTATGTGTGCACAACACACACACAGAGACCTCAAATGTTAAAACAAAAACCGGGTGGCAGGAGAGAGGGCTCAGTGTTTAAGAGCACTTGTTACTCTTGCAGAGGACACATATTTAGTTCCCAGAAGTGTTATGCCTGACCCATGGGATCTGATGACTTCTAGCCTCCATGGCCACTGCACACATTTGGTACACATACATACACTCAAGCACACACATACACGTAAATCTAAAACAGAAAAAACTCACAACATTTGCCAGCAAGGGTGCTGAGAAAGAGAAACACTGCTAGCAGGAATGTAAATTCATCCAGGCTCTATGGAAATCAGTACAGAGATATGAATATATGCTAAGAAATATGAATATATGCTAAGCATGGTGGCACATTTGTAATTATTATGTGGGAAACAAGTCAGGAGGATCAGGACTTCAAGGATAGCCTACACAGGCCAGTGTTCAAGGTCAGTAAGGACTAAAAGAGACGCTGTCTGAACACCAAAAAAGAGCCAGCTATGGTGGCATATGCCTGTAACCCCAGTACATGGGAAGAAGAAAAAAAAGTATCATGAGTTTAAGGCCATCCTTGGCTACATAAGGAGTTCAAGGCCAACCTAGGCTACATGAGATTCTCTCCAAAACAAAAGCCCTAGAAATGTCTGTCACCATATGACTGTCCCAGCTGTATCGCTTCTGGCTACTGATGACTGTACAACCATAGGACATACGCCAGGAGATCCCTGCCCATCCACTTTTATTGCACTCTTTTACAGTAGCCACATTATCTGTCCTTCAGCAGAAAATGGCTAAAGAGACTGTGGTATATCTATACTTATTCAGGGGGACTGGAGAGATGGCTTAGCAGTTAGGAACACTGAATGCCCTTCCAGAGGACCTGGATTCAATTTCCAGCACCCACATGGCAGCTCACAACTGTCTGTCATGCAGGCAAAACACTAATGCATATAAAATAAAAATAAATTATATAAAAAATATTTATATTTAGTCATAAAGAAAATGAAATGAGGACTTGGGGAGGGGCATGGGAGGAGATGAGGGCGGGAGAGTAGGATTGGGAGGGGACGAGGGATGGGGCTACAGCTGGGATACAAAGTGAATAAACTGTAATTATAAAAAAACAATAAATTGGGGGCTGAAGGGATGGCTCAGTGGTTAAGAGAACTGGCTACTCTTCCAAACGACTCAGGTTCAATTCCCAGCACCCACGACGTGGCAACTCATAATTGTGGCAACTCTAGTTCTAGGTAATCTGACATCCCTACACCAATGCACATAAAATTAAAAAAAATTAAATAAATTATTTTGAAAAAAAAAGATAAATTTTTTAAAAGTAAAAAAAAAAAAGAAAACAAAATGATGCCATTTGCTAGACAATGAATGCAAATAGAGGTCATCATAGTAAATAAAATAAGCTGGACTCAGAAAAATAAGTATTACATGTTTTTACTTGTGGATCATATATAGATAATATGGTAAGTATGATCATATATAATATATACAAATGTGAAAGCAGAAGGGAGGCTTGAAGTAAAGGAGACTAGCAGGAGGGAGGAGAAGGAAGGGTGGAGAAAGAGGACAGTAGAAGGGATGAATTTGCTCAAAGTATAAACTTGAAAGAAATAGTCTTCATGAAACAGGGTGGCCAGGCCAGGACTACATCAAGGCGGATGCTGAGAATTGGGCCACTTTGGTCAACCTCAACGCTGCTCCTTTACCTTTCTGAGGTGTGAAGGTTCTGGTTCTTTCTCCATGTCACTGACAATAGTTTCAGGCACTATGGAGATGTCATCCTGGTTGGTGCTAGCTCTCTTGATCTCTGCTGCAGAGCTGCTGTCCAGCAGCTCCTTGGGAAACAGCCTTTTGGGTGCTGCTCGAGAGATGCTCTCTGGGGCCTGGCAGGCTCGGCTTTTACTCACCTGAGCATCTGACTGAATGGGGTCTGACCTGGAATATTAAGAGGAATTCGATGGAGTTGTTTACTGGAAATACATTCTTAAGTAACTGAGAGAGCAATGTGAGATGACAATGAGAGCTATGGATTAAGAAGTTTACAAATAGCCAGGCACAGTGGTACAGGCCTATAATCCCAGCACTTGGGAGGCAGAGGCATGTGGAGCTCTGTGAGTTCAAGGCCAGCCTGGTCTACAGAGTGAGTCCAGGACAGCCAAGGCTACATAGAGAAACCCTGTCTCAAAAACAAAAGAAAACAAACAAAAAACTGAAGGGGAGGGGGTAAAAGTCTACTTCTAGAAGTACTGTGTTCAGAGTTTAGATCAATGTACACAGTCGTCTAGAAATCCCTGGACAGAGTTGAGGACAGCAAGCCAGTACCCAGCAGACGTGGATTGTGCTCAAGGGATCTGTGATGGTCTGAATAACAGCCCCCAGAGGCTCATCTGTTTGAGTGCCTGGTCCTCAGCTGGTAGAACTGTTTGGGAAGGATCAGAAGAGGTGTGGCCCTGTTGGGGGAGGTGTGTCACAGCAGTGGCATTGGAGGCTTCAAAAGCCTCCCACCATCCCGAATGCACTGTTTCCTGTTTCTGGATCAAGATGTGCTCTATCAGCTGCTCCTGTGGCCAGGCCTTTGCTCTACCATCATGGACTCTTAAGCCTTTGGAACTGTGAGCACAATTAAACACTTTCTTTTATAAGTTTCCTTAGTTGTGTTTTATCACATCAATAGAAACGTAACTAAGATAGGATCACATCAAACAAGTTCTGCTATGGGCCTGCAAAATGGCCCAGCAGGAAAAGGCACTAGCTGGCAACGCTATGACCTGAGTTTGGTCCCTGGGATCCCGACTGCATGTGTGCCATGGCAGACATGCACACACACACACACTCTCAGACATAATGTGTGTGGACATCAGAGGCCAACTTTCAAGAGTTGGTTTCTTTTCCTTCCATCATGTGAGTCCCAGTGATCAAACTCAGGCCATCATGCGTGGCGGCTGGCATCTGGAATCCCAATGCTCTAATGTCAGAGGCAGGAGAGCCCCAGTTCACAGACTAACTAGCCTGCATGTGCAACTGTGAATGGGAAGATGCCTTTTGTCAGGAAAAGCAGAAGGCAAGGATTATACCTGAGGCCGATCTCTGATCTCAGATGTGTGGTGGCACATGTGCCATTCCCCAGATAGTAAAAAAGAAGAAGCAAACGCCTCCAGCCTCACCTTTGTGCCTGGGAAAGACACAGCGACTGTGGTGAAGACACTCTACTTGGGTAATCCCCTAACGTGGCCAAGATGAAGTTCGCCTCCAAGAGCATGTCGTCAATGCTCAAAACGACCGGTCTAGAGAGACAGTCAGCACAGACATGCTCATTTCTGTTAGGAACGTGCTCAGCAGTTGCTAAGAACACACTAGCGAGCACCAACAACTTAAGGATAAAGACACAGCAGGTGCTCCTTCAGTATTCCCACAGCTCAGCAGCCCTGAAAGCTGGGAAGCCCTTAGCAACTACAGGAAGCCCTGATTCAGTTTTAGTCCAGAACTACATTAAAGGTTTACACACACAGAGTTCACATGCTTAAGCCATTCGTAATTTACTCAATAGAGACAATCTTATCAGGAGCCAGTCAAATGTTTCACGTTGCAGATAGTCAAAGTACCAAATTACTTATAATAATCCTCATAATAAAATTATTATTATTTATTATTATTATTAATTTGGTTTTTCAAAACAAAGTTTCCTTGTATAGTCCTAGCTGTCCTGGCAGTTGCCCTATAGACCAGGCAGGCCTTGGACTCAGAGATCTGACTGCCTCTACCTCCTAAGTTCGGGGATTAAAGGTGTACACCACCAAAGCCTGGCCCAAATTACTTATTTTTGCTTTTTTGAGGCAAGGTCTAGTAGCACTTGCTGACCTCAAACGCACTGTGTGGCCAAAGCTGGCCTTAAACTCCTGACCCCGCTGCTTCAGCCTCCCGCGTGCCAGGACTGCAGACATGTGCTGCCACATCTGGCCAAATGATCAATTTTAAAGCACGATGTTATGGCATCTTTCAAAATTTTGGCTTGATAAATATGGCTAATAAAGTTGAGGAAGTTCTGGGGTATAACATCAACTTCACCTCGCCCCTAAGGCTTTTGTTATGGTGACAAAAGGGAAGACAAACTCAGAGTTCTCAGAGACTTACTTCCCAGGAAGGTCAAAGTAGATAGCTAAGGGAGAGTGTGTCACTTCCGAGAAGGCAAGGATGCCCTGCAGGGAGAGGAGAGGAAAGGGGAAATCAGCCTTTAAAAGTACTAATGAAAAGCTGCCTCTGACTCCCACGTTAGCGTTTGCTTACCTTCAGTTCTTTAAAGCAAAATGTTATTTCGGTATCAAATCCCACCTGAAAGAAGTCAAACTCTTCCGGGCCAAAAGACATCTCGCTGTACACAGAACTGGTTAAGTCTGTTTGATGTAGAAAAATACAGATGAAAACAGAGACATAGCATTCAGCACAAACAGGTAACCATGAGTTCTGCCTTAAAGGTGGGGCTTAAGGCTCACCCAGCCCTTGCATCTGGGTAGCCCTGTGACTGATCTAATCAATAGAAAAAGACCAAGCCAGGCCACTGTCTGTACCAAGCCATTCCCAGCACCAGCATGCCCTGTGCGCTGCCTTTAGACCTTCATGTGCTTCCAGCTTGCCTTTGTCTAACCACAACTGATGAGGCCCCAAGTGGTAACCACCGATGAGTCCCATCGGCCTGCAGAGTCCCGAGGGTTAAGACAAGATTGTCCCTGCTACTATGTTTTGGAATGACTTGCTGTCAGCAATAAATAACCAGAATACTGTATCAACTAAGTTTATTTATTTATTTGTTTGTTTATTTATTAAGTTTTTAGTGAGACAGGATCTCAGGTGGCCCAGATTGGCCTCAAAATTGCTATGTGTAGCCCTGGCCATCCTGGAACTTGCTCTGTAGACCAAGCTGGCCTCGAACTCAGAGATTTGCCTGTCTCTGACTCCCAAGTGCTGGGATTAAAGGCATGCACCACCACTGCCTGGCTTATTTTTAATGTTTTGAGCAACCTTCAAACTGGTTTCCATATGGCCATATTAGTTTATACTCACACCAGCAGTAAATAAGGGTTCCTCTTTCTCTACATCCCTCCAACATTTTTTGTTTGTTTGTTTGTTTGTTTGTTTGTTTGTTTTTTGAGACAGGGTTTCTCTGCATAGCCTTGGCTGTTCTGGATTTTGTAGACCATGCTGACTTCCAACTCACAGAGATCTGCCTGCTTCTACCTCCCCAGCCTCTCCAACATTTGGTTTTTCAAAACAAAGTTTTCTTGTATAGCCCTGGCTGTCCTGGCAGTTACCCTATAGACCAGACTGGCCTTGAACTCAGAGATCTGACTGCCTCTACCTCCCAAGTGTGGGGATTAAAGGTGTACACCACCAACATTTACTGTCTTGACTACCTTGGCTGCAGCAATAAATTTGTCTTTATAGTTTTTTGTTTATATGTTGGTGTTTTGAGCTTTTCATTACAAAACTGCTTTAGCTGGCTGAATGTGGTGGCTCAACCTTTAATCCCCAGCACTTGGGAGGCAGAGGCTGGTGGATCTGTGAGTTCAAGGCTATTCTGGTCTACACAGAAAGTTCTAGGCCAGCTAGGCCTAGATACTGAGACCCTGTTTCAAAACAAACAAAAAGACTACTTTAGTAAAGCTCCATGCTACAGGGGTCTGGGGAGAGAAGCATATTTACACAGAGAAGACCCCTTTTAATATGGCTTCGTGCTGCGATACCTTCCCCAGGCTCCTGGATCATGCAGTGTCAAGTGTAGAAGATGCTTTACAGTTACCCCAACAGCTCGAATCATAGCAGAGGAAACGCCATGACAAGCTTAGGTAGTGGCCAGTCAACAACAGCTCTAGCACTCATTAGAAAGCTCCTCTTGGGCAGTGCTTATGGGCTACTAAACAGCCACTTCCATTCAAGCAGACCCTTTCACCGCCATGTGTATCTTTTCCAGGCCATACCTTCCTGAGCTGCACACCCAAGGGACGCCATTACACGGTACACTGGTAAGGAGCCATCCCTGAAGCCTGCACATCTACACCTTGGGCTCACGGGTGACTACCTATGAAGTGTGACCCAGGCAGGCCACATGGCTCCTCTGTGCTTCCACTATTCTTATGTCAGTAACTGCTGGGTTCACAGACCAAGTGACTCCTGACTTACGCCAGGTAAACACCACTTCATTGGACCCAGTGTAAACCCTTCACCTATCGGCTTTTCACCTTAAACGCCTCCTGACCTCGCACAGGGCTCAGCAGTGGAATGCTCATCAAGTGTGCAGGGGTGTGGGCACGAGGCTCACCACAGGGTAACCATGCAGCTCCTCTCCCTCCACTCTCCTACCACAGTCACAAGAGGCAAAAGATCCCTGGGGAAGCCACTGCACAGATCAAGGTATCCCATATGCGTGTCTCTTCTCCAAACCTCATCCCCCAAATTCCATGCTACACAGCCTTGGAGTGACTCAGTCTTAGGGAGTGTTCACGTGTGCCCTGTGTGCTTGCCATCTGTGATACTTTAAAGTTCTAACTTCAAGGCACTGTTTTTTCATATGTAGTCAGAGTCCATCTCAGTCAGATTGCTGGCCTCGTAGGGCAGTAAAGGATGAGACCCAGACCTTGAAACCTTACCCATATCTGGATGTGTTAGAGGGAGCCTGCAATCCCATCTACTTGGGAGGTTGAGGCAAAAGAATTCTGAGTTCTAAGCCAACCTGAGCTACATAATGACACCCTGCCTTAAAAAAAAATAATAATAATAATAATAAAAAGGATGGAAGGAAAAGAGGGAGGGAAAACAACCGGAAGTCAGTCATTACATTCTCAACCACTCATTTTAAAGTAACCTGAAAATTCAAAGCCATACACTTTGTGAATTGTATAAATTTCCCAGGCTTGTCCATCATTTTTACCATTTTTCTACAACTTGCTGCTTCTCAGACAGCAACTATTACACCACAGACAGCACTCTCTGTGGAGCCAAAAAGAAGCAGGAAGTACATTCCATACCATCGCAGCATAAGGCAGACATCAGCCTTACCGAGTGATTCCCCACTTGAACTCTTGAGGCAAAAGTTCCCTGGAGTAACGGAGAAGGTGACTTCCTCTTGATTTGATGTTAGAAGAGCAATGGCCTCAGCCAGCAATCTGTGAAATGTGATGAAAGGTATGGATGTTATTTGAAAAACAGCTATAATCTTACTGCTATTCAAGTCTTGAATCTGGTAATAAACAGGCCTATTTATTATTTAGGAAACTTCCTCCAAAGGTCTTTTTTTTATTATGAGTATTTTTAAGTTGTACCTTCCTTGGCAAGCCAACTAAGAGAGCTCGGAGATGAAGGACATTTGAAATGACAGTACTGCCTTAGGGAACATGCAGAAGCTGCAGTGTGAGCTGGGCGCTGGATACTACCTTCCATTCTCATTCCGTGCCAGAAAGGGAGACAGTGGAAGATGCTACTGGAACACCTGGTGCAACAAGTGGATGAGGAGTTTTCTCCTGACAATGATAATGATGTCAAAGAAGACCCTTTGATGTCAAGATGACTGCTTATGTGCTGCCCTTAAGGAAGAGTGCTGCTTTTACACAGATTATACTGGGATTGTAAGGAACAGCGTGGCTAAGGTTAGAGAAGGCTTAGAAGAGAGAAAGAGACAGAGAGAACAAGAGGAAAGTTGGTTTCATAATTGGTTTTCAACATCTCCCTGGCTCACCACCCTTCTTCCTTCAGTCTTGGGACCCTTGGTAGGTTTCCTTCTTCTCGTATCTTTTGGCCCATTGGCCATTAAAAGACTTACTGGCATTGTAAAACAGCATCTAAACCCTTACAAGTTCATTATCACAGACTTGATTTGGCTGACAGAGGCTTAGCTGAGCCGGAGGAAGACTGCTGACACGGGTCTTGACTGCTTATGTTTGGCTCTCATGAAAACAGCATGAAACTCAGATAAATGCTTTCCTGGGTACCTGTAATGGGGTGCAAGATGACATTGCAAGGGGAGGGCCCAATTGCCTGCTTCTGAGTCCCCTGAGAAGCAAACCTGATTGCATAGAGGTTGGTGTCTTGATTACCCCTAACCACAACCTGCTGGGGATGCCCTCAGGTGTTAATAGGGTCTTCCTCTCCTCCCCAAAAAGGCACCCAAAAAGGCTGCAAAAGCCTTGGGAGGATCAGGTCACTACTTCCCCCCCCTCTGGTTAATGCCCACCTTCTGCAAAAGACCTCATGTTCAAAATCTACCTGCTAGCCTCTTAAATTGTTTAAGAAGGGAGGAGATGCCGGGAGCCAAAGCTATTGACTGAAGCCAAAGTCAAACAGTGAGCCAAAGCTATTTATGGAAGCCAAAGTCAAAGCTATCTAGTAGAGACAAAGGTATCTACAGAAGCCAAAGTCAATTAGTGAGCCTAAAGCTATCTAGTGAAGACAAAGGTAGTTACTAAAGCCAAAGCCAAGTAGAGAGCGAAGGTCATTTAATGGAGACCTAAAGCTACGTAGTGAAAGAGTTATCTAGACCCTAAATCATGGGTGATAGATTGTGAGGACATCCTTTGTTAGAGCATCCGTAAGATATCTTTAGAAACCATCCTTATGGTATCTTGCAGGTACAATAGTTAACCCATGAAAGCACTCTTCCTATCTCCTGCAGCAGTAGATTAACCTTCCCCTTTCCTGCCTTCTCCCTATATAAGTTGGGTAAAAATTTCTAATAAACAGAAGTCTTGATCAGACGAACAGACTTGGCTCCATTCCTGCGTCTCTCGTCCCTTTCCCCCCATTCCTTCCAATCTCTCCACCTTAGGAACCCCGTTGAAGCCCCGCAGGTCGGGGCGACAACCATCTGTAACTGCAGTTCCAGAGGATCAGTACCCTCTTCTGCTCTCTGAGGGCACCAGACATGCATATTGTGCACAGACATATATGCAGACAAAACATCCATATATTAAAAAAATACCATGTTTTGGGGGCTGGAGAGGTGGATCAGTGGTTAAGAGCACAGGCTGCTCTTCCAAGAGGACCTGAGTTCAATTCCCAGCAACCACATGGTGGCTCACAACCATCTATACTGGGATCTGATGCCCTCTTCTGGCATCCAGGTGTACATGCAGATAGAGCACTCATACATGTAAAGTAAATGAGTCTTTAAAAATATTTATAAAAAGTACATTTTAAATTAAAATTAAGTTAAATTGCATTATAACAAAACAAAGAGAAACTGCAAGGTCTGCCATCCTTGTGTACTTAAGGTGTTGTTAGATAAAAATGACATCCTTAGAATTTATGCAGTCTCGGTTGTTAGCCTGATGCTAGACAATAGTTAGCAGTGTATCTTGATGCCAGAATGCCAGGAACAACTATTAAATTCATCTGGGGACATCTCCCTTGTTTAAAGGGGAGGTGTTATACAGATAAACTTGCTCTGAGCCCACGCCTTGCTATGTAGCTCAGGCTGAACTTGAACTCATGTTCTTTTGCCTCAGCATCCCCTGTGCTGGTGCTCCACATAACTTTTTTCTTTTGTGTTTATAGGTATCAAAGCCAGAGACTTGTCTACATTAGGTAAGAGTTCTATCCCTTCGTTACACCCCAGACCATAAGATACAAAATAAAACTTGATTTAAAAAAATGGCAACATTAATGTGTAATTCAAAGGGAAAGAAAACTGCCAAACATAGCACATGCCAGAGTCCCAGCACATGGAAGCAGAGGCAACGGGACATTTAAGTTCAAGGCTTACTTCAGGTGTGAGACCCTGTCTCAAAAGAGTCTTAAAAAAATAAATGTGAATAAACATATTATTCTCAGACTCACTATTAACAATGAAAATGCAACAATTTTACCTATGTGGTTGTCAAAACTTGTAAAGATTTATTATGTGTCCTCTATTTAGAAGAACTCTTGTAGGGCTGGAGAGATGGCTCAGAGGTTAAGAGCACTGACTGCTCTCCCAGAGGTCCTGAGTTCAATTCCCAGCAACCACATGGTGACTCACAACAATCTATAATGTAATCTAATGTCCTCCTCTGGCATGCAGGTATACATGCAGACAGAACTCTCACATACATAAAATGAATAAATAAACATTTGAAGAACTCCTGCACTGGTGACAATGGGAAGTGACAGTAACTATTCAGGTGGTAACTGAGCTGGCAGAGTACACAGGAATGTAAATATTTATCGGCCTTTGACCCACTAACCCCATTTTAAGGACTCTATTGGGCCGCTTGTACCACGGCCCTAATGATGCCCACTTTCTTTCCCTTAAGTTCGAGCTGGACTTAGACTCATTTCCAAGAGCAGATCACAGGAGCTATGGCTGAGTTCTGACACGAGAATGTAAAAGGCCTGAGGTTTCTTTCTGTCTTGGAGCTCTCTCATCCTCATCTGGCATGGACTTTTTAGGTAGCAACCTGCACCTTTGGGAATGGATCTTCCTGAGCTTCCAGCAGCCATACCAATGAGTTCCTCAGTGTCTCCTCCAAGGTGAGCCTTCACACGACACTGTATAATCCTAGTGCTACCTGTCTTCAAACTCAGGAAAGACCTTGATCCAGGAATATCCAGATAAGGCCCAGCTATTTCAACAGAGTCATAAGTGCCTAATTTGTGAAGGCTCTACATTTGGGGAGAATGTGTTCCACAGCAACAGATAACAGATGCTGTTCTGTGTATTACACAGCATTGTTTCCAACATCGAAAATGGGGCAGCTACCTCAAGGTTCCCTGTATAATCAGTAGACTATAGCTCAGGCACAATGCAAAGAGAAAAGCAATTACTCAAGATTGATGTAACTGAACTGATGGCAAAAGTTCCTCACATCTTCAGTTTCAAAGGCAAGAGAGATGGCTCATCAGGTCAAGGCACTTGATTGTCAAGCCCGATGACCTGAGTTCCATCATCCCCAGGACCCATGTGGAAGGAGAGAACAGACTCTTGCATGTTGTCCTCTGACCTCCGCACATGTGCAGTAGCATGTGCATTCACACACACATCCTGCGGGTTGTCGGGTAGGGGAGATGTATGCTGAAGGGAGAGTCACCAGATTGCTAACAGAGCTGCCTTGCCAAGTGAACCACAGAGGATAGCAGGGGAGCAAGATTTTTCACTCTTTAGTACATTTGGACTTGTTACAGGGCACAAGGATTCCTTTTGTGATTTAAAAAGGCATTAAGATAAAATACACTTTGCTCCAGTGTCATGCTAATTGGTAGTCGAGGCTGCAACCAATGGGAATGGTTAAGCATCCTTCGCTCATAAATGTGGCTCACCCATTACCTAGAAAACAATGGAATAAGAAAATCAATTTGCATAAAATTGTTCAAATGTCCTCAAGCTGTGTGTTCTAGGACTCAAACAGAAGTTGTATAGATGTGAAGTATCACAGTTGATTTTCTTCTTTGGTTGCATTTGAAGTGTGAAGCCATGAGTGGGGCATTTCAGAGCTAACTTGCCACCTTTAAGCAGCTGTCACCCATCTTTCTAAAAGTTTCTTTGTGACAATGTCAGTGATTGTGCTAGCCTTCTTAAATAGTGTAACCAGCGGAGGGGGCTGCAGAAGGGATACAAAGTGAATAAATTGTAATAAATAAATAAATTAAGTAAAAAATAAAAATAGGTAAAAAGTGAATTTGGAATAAAATAATGTTAATTAATTTGTTTTTTTAAAAGTGTAACCAGTTAGAAATCTCTAAGAGGATGTGGGGGCAAGAGAGGGTAATGGGGTGAGTATGACCAAAGTACAATGTACACAGCACGAAATGTCATTTAAAACCCCAGCATTTTGTGTGCTGACTTAAAAATAATCTCAAAAAGGAAAGAAAAGCTCCAGGGTGAGTTGTTCACTGCCTGAGGACGCTGTGTTCAGCAGTGAAAGAGGCATCAGGAGACCCTTTACCTTGGTTTAATCGTCAGGATATTCGCACACAAGCTCTTTTCAAAGAGAATTTTCAAGGGCTGGCTGTCTTGGAAATACACATTGTGAGTTCTTTTAATGCCTTAAAGAGAACAAAGCAACCTCTTAATAACTGTAAGTACAAAATGAACAGGCTTTAAAAGCCTGCCTTTCACAGCTAAATTAAAGCAATAAAATTAATGTTTCCTGTGTGGCAGGTGCATCAGCCTGATGTAGAATGTGGCCTTAATTATGAAACGTGTTGTCGCCCCCTAGTGTACAAGAAGCAACACACCACATCCTCTGGGAAAATAGACAGGTCTCACCCAGAACAGTGCTTTCAAACTTGGTAGCAAAGGATAACCTTGAACTCTGATCCTCCTGCCTCTACTTCCCAGGTACTCGGATTACAGGCATGCACCATCAAGCTCAAGTACTGGAAATCAAACCCAGGACTTCTTGCACTATAGGCACGCACTCTGCAAACTTAGCTATGTCTCTAGTCCCTTACAAGAAACTTAAATGTGTGTGCAACAGTAACTGGTACTACAGGCCATACATCTCAAGTCTTTTTAAATTTTATTTTATTTTTTCTTTTATTCAGACTAGTGTTTCCTTGTAGGGCTTTTGGCAGTTAGACCTCTAAACCTGGTCTGTGATATCTTTTTGCTTTAGGAGACATAGCAATACTATCCTAAATGCTTAGCGTTTCAGGGGCTGGAGAGATGGATCAATGGTTAAAAGCACTTGTTCTTATTTAGGACCAGGGTTCAGTTCCCAGAACCCTCATACAGCTGACCAGTGTTTATAACTCCAGTACCAGAGTATCTGTCCATGCAGGGCACACACATACATACATGCATGCAGGCAATACAGTCATACACATAAAATAAAATGAAAATATTTTTTTTAGTGTTTCTTATTTGGAAGGATTTTTTGGAATGTTTTTAAGGACTTTATAAGTTTATTATCCTAATCTGAAAAATTTGGGGAACTTTTAAATTCATACTTTCAAAGTAAAGTGCTTCGAGCGCATTTGTATGCATTTTACATGCATTCTCCCCCCCCCCCCCCAGCCCTTCAGGGGAGGGAGGGACTCAGTCTCAGAAGAGGAAACTGCAGGCTGGTGAGACTTTTCAAGCTATAGTGCTCTAACAAGTACAGAGCCCATGATGATAAAGGTGGCTGGCTTTCTTAAAGCTAGACTGCAAGCAGCACCATGCAGTAGAAACCAAAAGCTCTAACCAGGACCAGAGAGATGGCTCAGACAGCTGGCAAAAGTGCTGGCCACCAGGTCTGATGACTTTAGTTTTAATCACACCCAATGTACACACACACACACACACACACACACACACACACGCTTTTTTTTTTTTTTTAAGTTTAAAACTGCCAGACATGGTGGTGTAGGCCTTTAATCCCAGCGCTAGGAAAGCAGAGGCTGGCAGATCTCTGCAAGTTCGAGGCCTGCCTGGTGTACATGATGAGTTCTAGGCCAGCCAGAGCTAGTCAGTCCTCATCGCAAATAAATAAAACTTGACATATTTCTCAGCTTCTGTGTTTGGTGAGATTCCTTGTTGTTTTGTTCTACTGAGTAACAAGGACTGACTGACTGACTGGTTGGCTGGCTGGACACTCACTATGTAGACTAGGCTAGCCTCAAACATCAGTAAACCTGTCTTTGCCTCCGAGTTCCCAGTGTGCACCACTGTACCCAGCAATTATTAACTTAATAAATAGCCACATTTGTGTATTCTCAAGTTTTCCTACTTTGGCTAACAGACAAAATTGAGTCTTTGTAACAGCAAACACCTGTTATTTCTCATGACTCTTCTGAGTAGCTCTTGAGGTCTAACCTAGACACAGCTGTGAAGGATCATCTGGGGTGGGCTAATTGTCTGTCTGGGGCCTCAGTAGAAGCAAAGAGGGTGGCTGAGCCATAAGATCTATCCAAGAAGTCTATTCCTAGCTTGTTCTCCACCCAGTAGAGAAGTTCTGAGGCAATGTTAAAGCCAATAGGCTTTAGGAAGCCTAGGCTAGAAACCTCTGCAAACCACTGTTGGTATCAAAGTAATGCCATGGTAAGCTGGGGCTGGAGAGGCGGCATGGTGGTTAAGAGCATTGGCTGCTCTCCCCGAGGACCTGGTTGAAGTTCCAGCATCTACACAGCTATCCCAACCATTCATAATCCCAGGGCCGACGCTGAGATTAGTTATGCAAATGTAGTTATGCAAATACCCTTATACAATGAAGAAGGAGGAGGAGGGGAAAAAGAAGGAGGAGGGGGAGAAGGAGAAGAAGAAGAGACTGAGATTCAAGGTAGGGAGACAGATTCCACCTTTTTGTTTTGTTTTTCCAGACAGGGTTTCTCTATGTAGCATTGGCTGTCCTAGAACTCACTCTGTAGACCAGGCTGGCCTCTGCCTCCTGAGTGCTGGGATCCAACTTTTGAAGTGAGGTGTTACAGATAATTTGGCAACTTTTGATGGCAACCACAGAGGGATGATCTTAGGAGCTTGATGTACTGATAAGAAGAAGCTAGAATGGTAGGCTGAGGTTAGAAAGGGTCTCCCCAGCTTGCTGAGAAATACTAAGTTGCACATAGTAGAATTTAGCTAAAGGAGAGAATGAGCAGTACTGACCATGCTCTGCAGAAACGGAAAGAAGGAAACACTTGTACTTGAACATAATTGAAGTATAGGTTTGCTGAGCTTATGTTTCTGTTAAGAGTGTTCACTAAGTTTGCCTCCAACTAGGCCCTATTCCCATAACAAAAGGAGTCACCCCTAGTGCAGGATGGCCATTAGACCCATGCCCATATCAAAGAGCACACAGTGTGCTTCAAAGTGGGCATTAAATCCAGGGTCTCTTACCAGAAATAGCATCATTCCCCCAGCCAGGCAGGCAACCTTGTTAACAACTGCGCTGGAAGAGCAGCCCTGTATTGCCCCAGGATAACTATGACAATATTTCACAGTGTGGTCTAATCTCTCCATTGTCCAAACAGCTAACCCTTAGAATTTCTGTCTCCGTGACATATGTTTAATTATGCAAATTGTAACTTGGGACCATGTAACTACGTAAGCTGATGGGGTTTTGGTTCAGGACTGGTTCCCTTTTGTGCATTAGTCAGAACCAGTCGCCTGCTTTAAGAGTTTTTCCTTTATTAACCTCTAAACACTGGCATGATTTCTCACTGGGAAGCTAAATTAATTCTGTAACACTAGCAGAGAACAAAGCAGATAAAAATCTGTGTTCTGAGACCTTTTGATTTTTAAAAAATATTATTTATATGTAAGTATGTGAATGTCCAAGTAGGTGCCCAAGAAGGCTAGAAGCAGGCATTAGATGCCCTGGGGTTGGAGTTACAGGTGCTTGTGCTGCCCATTGTGGGAGCAGGGAGACGAATTCTGGGCCACTGAAATAACAGCCAATGCTCTTAAGCACTGAGCCATCTCTCCAGCCCCCAAATTTCTTCAGGATTTGTTGTTTTGTTTTGTTGGGGGAGCACATGGAAGGAGGTCAAATGACTCCTTCCACCATATAGGTTCCAGGGATTGAACTCAGGTCATCCGACTTGGCAGCAAAACCTCTACTTGCTAAACCATCTTACTGGCCCCTCAGACCTTAAGAAACTGACAGGAGTTTTTGGTTGTTGTTTTGTTTTGTTTGTTTTAATTGTAAAACAACAGGCTGTGGAGCTGAACACACACCATAGGAAACATGCAAAGAGCTCTTGGTCCCCAGTCAACAGTATAGACCACTTGAAGGTCACTGGCTTTTCCCTAGGTAAAATGAAAAGATATTTCAGAGTTTTGAACTCTTGAATTCTATAATCAGAGTTCCACCTGCCTCTGCCTCCTGAGTGTTGGCATCAAAGACACCACAACAGGCCTCATTTGGCCCTTTTTGGGGGGAAGGGATCTAGACAAGGTTTTTCTGTCTAGCCTTGGCTGTCCTGAACTCACTTTGTAGACCAGGCTGCCCTCGAACTCAGAGATCAGCATGCCTCTGCCTCCGGAGTGCTGGGATTACAGGTGTGCATCATAGTGCCCGGCTTCATCTGACCCATTTCAAAGAAAGCACTGGGGCTGCTGTTTTGGGAAAACACTAAGCTCCCATGTTGACAAACCTTTCCTACTGTAAAAATATTTCTGCATCACTTATGCTGAAGTTAAGTCTTGGTGCACACAGCAGAAACTGGGAAGGAACCCTCACAGAAACAGCTGCTGCAACAGCTGTCGGGAGATGTGCTTTAGAGTCATCTATGTGAGTTCACAACTTCTCTCAGTGGTGCCAGAGAGCTTGGAGATGAAGAAGCAGTTGAGCCAAGGAGCCACCATTGCCACCACCTACTTTATCTGTGGAGCTTGTGCTTTCAAAGGCAGGGTCACCTTCTAAAGTGCTCAGTTATTCAGGTTTGGTTTTTTTTTTTTTTTTTTTTTTTGGTTGTTTGTTTTGTTTTTCGAGACAGGATTTCTCTGTGTAGCTTTGCCTGTCCTGAACTCACTCTGTAGAGCAGCCGGGGCCTCAAACTCAGAGATCCTCCTGCCTCTACCTGTTGAGTGCTGGGATTAAAGGTGTGCTCCACCACTGCCCAGCTTATTCAGTGTTTTTTAACGAAATTGAAGTTATTAGCACACCTGTAGGCTACCTTGCAACAAAAACCTAAATCACTCCAGCCTCACTTCATAAATATGTGTGCATGAATCAGAGCTTCACTTTCTCCAGAATCACGGAACCCTTTTTAAAGGCCCTATCTTTGCAGGCCTGTCTCAAGCTAGCACAGAACATGGGTGAAGACCACATTCCTCGGGGACACTCTGAACTGTGGCCAGTGCAGAAGGAAAACAGAGGGTTGGGCGAAGCATCAACAGGTGGACTGAATCCTTAGGAGGACCACAGTCTTTTCCTTCTTAGCAGATGTCTATCAGTTACCGTTCTGGGGGCTCTTTGTGGTTAGAATCAAAGAGAGCCCATTGTGGAGGCTCATGTCTGGGTAATTGTTTTCTTCTAGCAAAAGAGCTAAACTGACTTTACTAATTCTTGATTTTTCCCCAAAGTCCCAATCTGTATCTACAGCAGCTAACTGAATTATCTTCTCGGGAGACTTTTCTCAGATGAACTTGAACAATCTTCCTCCACCAGCTGACTGGCATAAAGTTACAAACATAAACTGCAAATCACTGCAGCCTAAACAGAACTAGCCCAGGACTGGGGCAGCATCCGTGTCACGGCTCTTTCTCTGGTCCTCCCTCCCTTCCAGCTCCAGGGCCCTTTGGCCTAACCCTGTACAGTACAATGGGGTCCAGATACGGCTTTTGGCCAAATGGATGACAACACTACCCCCTGGCTACCAGGTAGAGTCCAGGTTGGTCTAGTCATAGCAAAGTCAAGCATTTCTGTCAAGGGATGTACAAAGGAAAGTTTTAGGAAGTTCTTCGTGTGGAAGAAGCACCTAGTCCCTTACAGCAAAGTCACTTTGTTTTAAGTTTTGTTGTGGTGGTACTGATATTATATGCTGTGACTCAAACCCTGTGAAGAAAGAAAAAGGAAACCATGAAGAGGGGGAGAAGGAAGGAATAAAGGGAAGGGGAGTAGGAAGAAGAGAAAGGAGGTAGGAGAGGAGGGGAGAGAAGAGGAGAAGGAGGTACGAGAAACAGAAGCAGCAGCAGTAGCTGGAGCAGCCTAGACTGCAAGGGCCTGTACCATGACGTCAAACTTTCACCCTTACCTGATACAAATGTTACTGGGTTCAATTGTCTGATTTTCCGCTTCTCTTCTTTATATCTTTATATATCTATATATATATGTGTGTATATATAGATATATAATTTTATTTTTTATATTAATCACAGGTTATTTACTTTGTATCCCAGCTATAGGCCCCTCCCTCATTCCCTCCCCATCCCACCCTCCCTCCCTCATCTCCTCCCTGCCCCTGTCTAAGTCCACTGATGGGAGGCATCCTCCTCTTCTTTGTATCTTAAGGCGCCCTACATAATAAAAACACCCTACAAAACTATCCTAAATGAATCAATCACAAATATTTTTGCTTTGTTTTAAGACACGGTCATAAAAAATTTTTAAAAATGCAGGCTCATGTATTCTGGCTGGCCTGGAACTTGCTACGTGGCCAAGAATAACCTTGAACTTCTGATTTACCTGACTCTAACCTCCCCAGGTACTGGGATTATAGGCACACAGTACTAAGCCTAGTATAGAAATATTTACTGGGAATAGCTCTAATAGAGCCATGTTTGAGATACTTCAGATCCTGAACAATTGGTTCTCTGAAATCCACCTGGACAGAAGGGACAGGGAGACTGCGCTAACGTCATGGTTGAAGAGCACTCAGTCTGCATCAGGCCTGTTCCTGTGGGGAAAAAGACCTCACTTTTTTCTCACAGCACCCTGAGGCATGAGGGCAAAGCCAGTGCCATTGTACATAGCAGACAGGGAAGGCTCCTGGAGCTTATGTTCTTCCACAAGGCCAACAAGCAGTAGAATAGAAGTCACAGCTACATTTTGTGACAATCAGCCTTGCGGTCCTTTGAGTACACTCTGTACTTGGTTTGCTGTTACATGGATTTAGATTCAAAGAAGGGAGAAATAATGCTATACCATTTATGTTCATAGAGAAAAATCTAGGACAACCAGGGCTACTCAGAGAAACCCTGTCTCAAAAAAAAATTAAAAATATGATTCTAACAGTTGTATGGAAGTGAACGGAATTACCACCTACCACAAGACCATTCCCAAAGAAGATCTGGGAATGTTACAAGTATGAATTATTTTTTCTGAGGCAGGATCTCACTATAGAGCTGAGAGCCTAAAACTGGCTACATACATGCACTAGCCTCAACTCATGATCCTGTTGGCTCAGCCACTTTAGTGCTATGTTCAAAGATGTGTGCCATCACATCCAGCTAGAAAAAACAATTCAGATTCAACTGAACATTTGTGTAGGGGGGCATGTGTCATGTGCTAGTGTGTGCTAGTGTTGGAGGCGTGGCATGTAAGACAACCTCAGGTGTCATTCCTCGGGGACTGTTGACCAATTTTTTTAAAATTTATCTACATTGGTGTTTGACTGCATAAATGTCAATGTGAGGGTGTTAGATCCCCTGTAACAGGAATTACAGACAGTTGTGAGCTGCCATGTGGGTGCTGGGAATTGAACCTGGGTCCTCTGGAAGAGCAGTCAGTGCTCTTAACCGCTGAGCCATCTCTCCAGCACCCCCAATTTTTTTTTTTTTTTTTTTGTGGTTTGTTTTTTTGTTTCCCTGAATATGGAACCTCACACAGGGTCAAGCTCTTCAAGCAGGGTAGGCTAGCCGGAAGATGAGTCCCAGGAATCTGCCTGTCTCTGCCTCTGCAGCCTTGGAACTACAAGCATGTGCCACCATACTTAGATTTTTTTTTTTCTTACATGGTTCTGGGGATCAAATTCAGATCATTTCCTTGCAAGTCTGACTGATCCATCTCCCTAGTTGGACATTTTTAAAAGCTGCTTTGTTTTACATGCAGGCAAGCTTGTGCCATGAAGGCCTACGGAAATAACAGGGGCCGCCTTACAACACATCTGAAAGGCAGAAGCCACACCCATCATGCTCCAGACCTGTACCCCACCTCACAGTAAGTCTGCAGCCTGCATGCATAAAAACCCAAGGAACACACCGTTTTCAGCTGCACCTACCATGCCTGCAGAAGAACTGAAAGACGACTCTGCCTTTATCCAACCTGCTGACTATGTTGCACTTCTCTACACTCCTTTCCAGGTAATTCAGACATCTAAAGATTGGCAGAATTGACTGCAACACAAACACATTGGAAACACTAAACACACAGTATGGCTGGCCCATTAACTTTTAAAACCCCAACAGATGAAAAGCCTATGTATTCATGAACAGCACTGAGATGATTAAGTATAGCACAGCTGTTATGTCCCATATAAGAGAAAACCAACTGTTTTTACCTTTATTGCCAATTTGCAATTTAAATTCAGTGGTATGTCATCACTCATCGTGGCTGAGGGTGACCACTGATAATGTTGAAAAAACACAGACGAGAACAACACATAGCCATATGTTGAATGACAAGAATTCACAGATCTCAGAGCAAGCTGGAAAAAAATAAGTTAGCTATTTCAGAGAAAACCAACTTCTATCCTGAATTAATCCTACTATGAGTATAATGCAACAAATATAGTCAAATGAAACCATGTGCACTGAATTTGCACACGGTCACCTATATGTATGTATATATATTGAACAAACATTTACAAATTCTATAATATTAAGCTCTGAAACTGTAAAACTAAATGTCCACAGTGACCATAATGCTAATGAATGAAGTGGTAGAAAGTGATAGAAAAGAGCCTTGAGTGACTGACAGTCTCATACCTTGTCCAAGGGGAGAAGCTATCACTTAATTGTCAGGTTTATGAATTTTTAAGTGCTTAGGATTTTACCCACCACCCCTGGCTTGTACTTGGCTCTTTTAAACATCTTCTCTTGCTTTAATATATGATCAGTCATTTAACATTCTTTTAAATTGAATTGGTTTTGGTTTGTAAGACAGCTTCTCATAGTTCAAACTGGTCTCAAACTTGATATATAGTTGGCTGTCCTCTGCCTCCCTGGTGCTGGGATTACAGGCCTATGCCCTTACGCCTGGCTTTTTTTTTAAAGGCCTCCCCCCACCCCTGTTTTCCCCAAGACAGCGTTTCTCTGTGTAGTCATGGCTGTTCTGGAACTGGCTCTGTAGACCAGGCTGGCCTCAAACTCACAGAGATCTGCCTGCCTCTTCATCCCAAATGCTGGGGTTAAAGGTGTGCACCACCACACACAGCTGGCTTTTTAAATGGACTTACTTACACCTTTCTCAGATGGGTCTAGCCACAGCTCATCACTCACTCGTGACAGAGTTTGTATTGCTTTCCCAAATACTATGGAGAAAAAGAAAGATGCTGTTTATAGTTTCTCCTAGCAGTGAAGATAACTTACAAGACTCCTCCTGCATTCACAGGACTCAAATGAAAACTGGAAAGGATAGTGGGATCAACTGAACAACTTAATCATGCCTGTCAAATTCTTCAAGTTGAGCTCTTTGGTACTGCCCTGTGGGTCAGATTGCCAAAACTAGAAATGAAGTGGGTTTTTTTTTTTTTAAAGATTTGTTTATTATGTATATAGTATTCTTCCTGCATGTGTGCCTGCACATCACAAGAGGGCACAGATCTCATTACAGATGGCTGTGAGCCACCATGTGGTTTCTGGGAATTGAATTTAGGACCTTTGGAGGAATAGCCAGTGCTCTTAACCGCTGAACCATCCAGCCTGAAAATAGGGTCTTTTGATATTGCAGAGACCCCATCAACCAAAGTACTAATTATCTGCAAATTGTTGGCAACCATCCTGCCCAAACTTCAAGGCCTACTCCATACCACCTCCTTCAGTCTGGCTCTACCGTTCATCTGAGCTTGATCTTGGGTAAAAGGCTGAAAACTAACCATTTACCAGCCACTTTGATTCATGGGCTATATATATTATAACAGTCAGTTGTTATATTTATTTGGCTTCCAGTATGTTTGGGTTAGACCATAATGATCTCAACTTTGATGCTGTGTCAAAAGTCCTAGCATGAGACGAGTCACCATGACAGAAATTCACCACAAAGTGGCCAAATGTATGTGAAGCCACTGAGTTGGAAATACTGGTTTGAAATCCCTTTTTCCTTTCCTTTCCTTCCTTCCTTCCTTCCTTCCTTCCTTCCTTCCTTCCCTTCTTTCTTTTTTGTAAAGGTCTGACCAATTTCCCATTAGCATTTGACTTTTAGGTTTAGGGCAGAACAAAGCTCAGCTTATACCTCGGAGTTAAATGATTCAGCTGAGGGGGCTGGAGAGATGGATCAGAGGTTAAGAGCCATCCAAAGGTCCTGCATTCAATTCCCAGCAGCCCCATGGTGACTCACAACCATCTATAATAAGAGCTGGTGCCCTCTCATGGCGTGCAGGCAGAACACTGTATCAATAAATAAATGTTAAAAATTATTCAGCTGATCCACAGAGCATTTTGTAGACTAATTTACATTAGGAAATACCATAAAACACCCTTAACATACATAATAAAAATTCATTAAATTTTCAGCGTTGTAAAATTCAACAAAATGATTTCCCCTACAAGCTAATTTCCATGGTAATGCTTTCATTCATTTTCTTCTTGAGTTCTCCCAACACTCTGCGTGGGGGCCAGGAGCGGGGATATCCAACCCAGGGCCTTGTACATGCCAGGCAAACTGTCCATCTACCCACAAACCCTGCCCCCAGCCCAAACATTCCCTTTTATAAGGCTGTGTACAATATAGTACCCTACATTGTCCTATTATTTTTTTTAATAATTTTATGTCATTAGTGTAAAGGTGTCAGGGGCCTTGGAATTGGCATTACCAACAGTTGTGAGCTGCCACGTGGGTGCTGGGAATTGAACCTAGGTCCTTTGGAAGAGTAGGCAGTGCTCATAACCACTGAGCCACCTCTCCAGCCCCTGTCCTTCTAATTATTGAGCTCATTACATGTATTTTTATATCATGCTTACAAGAAACTGTCAACTAAGTCTCATTTTCTGATTGAGGAAACTGAGCTTCAAAGTGACGCAGTAGCTTGTTCAAGATCATGCATTAAAAAAACAACCACAACAACAAATTCTCCGGCATAATCTCGAATAAAGATCAGGTTGTTTTCCCTGAGCTCAAAACAACTTTTGCTCCTCAAGTATTGTTCTCCCCTCAATTTCTCCCCACATTAGCCCTCATCTGAAACTAAAGCCCAATGCCACAATTCATTTCATGGCCACCAAACTAAACACTAGGCGTAAAGGAAAGGAAAGGGACCGGCATGCTATTCGACGCCCAGCAAGGCCCTCATGAGGGGCGCTATGGCCAGGCTTCGCGTCCTCAGCCGTGGCGAAGAATGGCAGAGGAAGCGTAAGAAGACCCGGAGACACTTCACAGACGTTAGCCTTTCCCTCTTCTAAGTGACAAAGCAAGAATGGCCGCTCCACCTTTCACCTGACCGCCCGTCATCTCGCACTTCAGCTTGGCTACCGGGAAAGCAGCCATGGCGGGCGTTAGGGCGCCAGGCGGAGGCGCCCGGATGTTGCCCGCGCTTTCCGCGAGCTCCGCCTGTACCTTGCCCCACCCGCGAGGGTTTTCTCACAGCGCGGGGGCGCTTTCTGACGGCGAAAGAGCCTTACCGGCCCCCGTAGGACAGTCTCCCGCAAACTCCGCGTCTCATTGGTGGAGGAGGAGGAGGTGGGCGGGTCACCGAGGAGCCTGAGGAAGAGGGCGGCGGCGTTCGTGGTGACTGAACGGAGCCCGGTGACAGGATGGTGAGCGGCGGCGGCGGCGGCGACCCGGGTCGGGCCGTGACGCTGCGGCGTCGGGGGTGCGGGGACGAGGAGGATGCGGAAGGCTGCGGCCGAGGCGCGAGCCTGGGAAGGCGGCGGAGGAGGGACGGGAGCATCGCGGCTGGCCGAGGGCGCGGCCGGGCCTGGCGTCGCCGCTCGCCCCGGCGGCCAGAGGACGTGCGAGGCGGACCCGGCCGCTCGTCCTGTCACGAGACCGGCTCGCTGAGGCCGGGGAGGCTTCGGGCCGTCCGCGTGAGCGCACGGCTCTCTCCCCCCTGCTCCGCCCCGTCTTGCTGGACACAGCCGGCCTCGGTGCGGGACGCGAGGCTCCGGGAGGCGACCGCTTGTCCTCCTGTCGCTGCCACCCCCTAGAGCGACGTCGTGGCGATCGTTTGGAGAGCTTCAGCTTCCCCAAACTGCATCAGGCCTTTGCCCCGTAATAGGTTGCCGACCCTGAGACCTTTCTGTACGACGTCTGGGGACCGGACGCGTGCCTGTACCCAGATTTTCGAAGGCGCTCCTTTGCGCTCTCAAGTTTGTAGAGGGTTCCTGTGGGTGTTTGCAGTTTGTGCTGGTGAACGTTAAAGTGAAGGCACCTCTCTGGCTGATGGACATGGGGTTGCGCGTTCACAGAGATTAGTCTTCTGCAAGCGACCTTTGAAAAGGTGGCTTTATAAGCGTTCCGAAGATAGATGCTTGGGTTAGCCGGGTTTTTGCTTTTAAACAGTAGACTAGTTAATTTATGGCATTTTGGAGACACTTCCAGGGGAGAAGAATTTGCTCCTATGATCCTTGTTCATGTTTGTGAAGTCCTTTTGAAAGGTGAACACTTGTGCTTAACAGTAGTTGCCCTGTTATTCGTCACATTTTTTTTTAATCTTATTTAAAATTTTTTTTTTTTTTTTTTTTTTTTTGCATGTGTGTCTCTTGCTTGAGTTCACGTACAAGTGCCATTGGAGGCCAGGGGTTGGGATTCCCCCCGGAACTGGAGTTGCAGGCAGTTGTTATATACCATGTGGGTACTGGGAACCAAATCCGTGTCCTTTGCAAGATCAGCAAGTGCTTTTAATTGCTGGGCCATCTCTGTCAGCCTACCTCAACTTATTATGATGTAACCCTGGCTGGCCTGGAATTCACAGAGACCTGCATACCTCTGATCTTTTCTTGACATTTTCATCACTTGATAATCACATGCTAGTAATATCCTCTGTTACAAATGATAACTTACCAGGAGCATGGTTTTTCACTCCTAGAACTTCAAAGATAAAAAATTATAACCAATGTATCCAGAGATAACAAGACCCCAGTAACCAGAAAATACTAGCTTTAACCTATCCTGATAAATTCTTCAAATTATAAATATCTAATCTTACAAAGAGTAAATAGAATGAGAAATAAGGGGACAGGAGTCTATGTGGAAAGCAAGATTAGAAAATGTAGAATGACATTGACAAATTAAATTTGCTGTCTGTGGGTGTTTGTCCTTTGTTTAAAAGTAAAGTGAGTGGTTCTTTTGAAACTATGTTCATCACAGCTGATTTTTAACATTTCTTTTCATAACATTCAGAAATCATTAACAAATTTTGCATATTTGGTATGTTTTTTTTTTTTTCCTTTTAACCTTTGTTGCTTCCTTTTAACATTGGTCATGTTTCACCCTTTTTTTTTTTTTTTTTTTCATTCCCCTGTCTGCAATCAACTTCTTCATTCCACTAAGGCTGGGCACAGAGTAAGTTTTTCTTCGCTCCTACTAACAATGGTGGTTGGGTGGCTGATAACTGACTGGGTTTCTTACCCTTCCCAGCTCTGTCAAATAGGAAGTAACCAAATCCCCACGCTTTGTTTGGGTTGTTCCTGTAGATGAATTTAACAAGACTTCAGTTTCTAGATCTTTTGCTGCCTCTACTGTCTGTCTAACCTGATTTGTCATTGTGGAATTTAGGCAGGGGCACTCTTATAACTTGGTCACCAGCAGAAAACCACAGGATTCTGTACTACTGTGTGGCCATTCATCCAGTCACAGCTCTCACATATTAATAGTCAGGATATTGATGTCAGGAATTGAAGTCTTCAGTCATGGCAACACTACTGAGTCTCACTAATGTTCTTACTGGTACATTCTGACTGAGCAATTCATTTTTTGTCCAAGAGATTTTCAGCTTGTTTTAGACATACATCCTCATATGAATTCAGAAGTCCTTCTTTTAATACAGAAATTCTCTTTTCTTTTACTTTTCCTCAAACATCAGCGTCCCACATTAACTGTTCTTCAATCCACATCTGAAGGGACCCCCTCTAAAATGAAGATTGTTCTATGCCAAGGTACTTGTCTACTAATGGAGGTTGGATGCTCTGCAGTGTTTGAGCTTTAAAAGGCTTTCCCCAAAGTAGACTCACTCTGACCACCTGCCACTTCAGCCTCTCTGTGTCTTCATAACAGTAGCTTTTCTTTGCAATCATTCTTATTTTTGTTAGATGAATCAAGCTTGTTTTAGTAATCATTCTCATTTCATACATTTTGCTGTTTTTTGTTTTGTTTTGTTTTGTTTTGATTTTTGGTTTTTTGAGATAGGATCTCTCTGTGTAGTGCTGGCTGTCCTGGAACTCACTCTGTATTCCAGGCTGTCCTCAAGCTCACAGAGCTTGTCTGTCTCACAGAGCTGCCTCTGTCTCCCAAGTGCTGGGATTAAAGGCATGGGCCACCACCACCTAACCACAGTTTGGGTTTTGATTGATTCTAAATTTTAATTAAGATTTTTGTAATTAGTTATTTTATGTGGATGTGTTTGTGTGCATGCCTGTCTGTGTACTGCATGTGTGCCTGATACCCTCCAAGGCCAGAAAAGGGCATCAGATCCCCTGGAACTGGAGTTACAGATAGTTGTGAGCCACCATGTGCTGGGAGTTGAACCTGGATCCTTTGGAAGAGGAATCAGTTCTCTTAAGCACTGAGCCACTCTCCAGATGCCAAATTAGCTATTTTTAAAAAAAATATTTATTATTTATACAGTATTCTGCCTGTGTGCCAAATTAACTATTTTAAATTAATTTTAAGGTTATGGTGGCAAAACTTGGTTTTATCATGGTAAATATGTAATGAATGCTCTCTTTGATACTGTTCAGGTATAGTCGTGCCTGGAAAAGCAGTTCAAATGTGTGTGCAGTATGAACGGACAGTTTGTATGAGGAAAATCCTGTAAGGTGTCCTTTTATTAATGAACATGAAACATCTCTTCTGTTGCTTTCAGGGGGACATGTGTTATCTTTACATGAACTTTGTCAGGTTATTTTGTTCAATCTTGAAATTTCTTAAAATTTCATAGGATTGGCTCACTCTCACCCTCCACCCCTAGGACAGGACTTCCCGGTGTAGCTTTGGTTTATCTGGAATGCTATATAGACTGGGCGGTTTTGAACTCAGAGATCTGGCTCCTTCGTCCTCCTTAGAGCTGGGATTAAAGGTGTACGCCACCATGCCTGTTTTAGGATTGCCTTTTTAGTTCTTTGATATTATTTTTGTCATCTGACTTTGTGGCAACTCTCAACTATTTCCTGCTAAACTTGTGACACAATTACCTGGCCTTTTGTTTTACTTCTCTAATGCACATAAATAACTATGAAAGTATTATTAAGTTTACAAGCTATACCGAGGGGATGGAAGAAGCAGCTTTATCCAGGTAATACAAATATGACAGTGGTGATTTCTACTGAAAGAAAGTGAATAGAGCAAAACCTGTAAGTCAGATCACATATGCGCCTGCTGAGACTCTAAAGCGTAGGTCTTTGTGCCCTGGAGCATACTGCTAAGAGTTTCATGTAACAAAGTCAGTTAATCAGAGCTAATGTTCTTTAAAGAGTTCTTACATAACTACACTATCACTATTAACCTTTTCCCTAATGTTTCATTTTTATATTTATATACACATACTTATATGTGTATGTATGTATTTTGTGGGTGTGATAGTTTCACTTTGTAGCATTGGCTGGCCTAGATCTGGAACTTGCTTGCCATGCAGCCCAGGTTGGCCTTAATCTAGTAGTCTTCCTGTCTCAGCTTCCTGAGTGCTGGATTTATAAGCATGAACCACCATATCCAACATTCTCTCTCTCCTTTCCTCCCTTACTCTACCTCCTTCCCTCTCTCCCTCCTCTCCTGTCTCTCTCATCTTTCTCTTCCTCCCTCCCTCTTTCTCCTTTTTGAGACAAGGTCTCACTCTGTTATCTTAGGCTGGCCTGGAGCTTTATTTGTAGACCAGATTGACCTCAAACTAATAGAGATCCATCTGCCGCTGCATCCTGAGTGCTGGAATTAAAGGCATGTGCCACCATACCCAGCCATATTATTTTTTAAAGTGTGTTTTGCTTGCATGTGCTGTTGTATTACATTGTATTACATTACAGCATATGCATACAGTACCTGAGGAGGTCAGAAGAGGGCATCAGACCCACTAGAAGTGGAATTGGATTGTTTTGAGCTGCCTTGTGGGTGCTGGGAACTGAACTTGGGATCTCAGCAAGAACAGCCAGTGCAAGAAACATCTTAACCATCTCTGTAGGCCCATATTATTTCATTTCTGATAATTTTCTTTAACAGTGCTTTTTAAGTCAAACAGGTTTTTTAGTATACTTGCAGAAATAAGAATTGTGTCATTCTTCAAAACTACCAAATGCTATAGATGCTAGCATTATTTCGTTCACTTTGTAGTTTTCATTTTATTATAAGTTTCTAAATCTTTTGAAGTTTTATTTTTATTTTTATATGCATTGGTATTCTGTCTGCATGTTTGTGTGAGGGTGGCAGATCCTTTGGAATTGGTGTTACAGACAGTTGTACTTGGGTCCTCTGTAGAGCATCCAGTGCTCTTAACCATTGAGCTCTCTCTTTCTAGCCCTAAATAAACTTTTTTTTACATTTTGTGAAACAGGATCTTTCTGTGTAGCTGTGGCTGACCTAGAACTTGCTCTATTGACTAGGCAGGCCTTGAAATTGCAGTACCCCCTGCCCTGTGCTTGGATTACAGGTGTGCTCACACCTGGCTAGTGAATAATTTTAGAATACTTGATTTTATTCTACTTTTTATTGGTAAATAGCAAAACTTTTGATACCCAAGATAAAGGTGTGTTAGAGCAGACACAGGACCGTGTATTTGCTGACCCATGATAGGAACTGTATGAGTGCCTTCTGCTCTGTTGGGCTCTGGAGTCTCTGACAGGCTTGAAGGGGTAATTGTGGGAGGATCACATTGTTGGAATCGTGTCTAATGCTGTTTTTATTTCTCTGTGACACTGAAAGTTGGTGTTGGTGTTAGGAGATCTGCATATTCCACATCGGTGCAACAGCCTACCGGCTAAATTCAAAAAACTCCTGGTGCCGGGAAAGATCCAGCACATTCTTTGCACTGGAAACCTTTGCACCAAGGAGAGCTATGACTATCTCAAGACTCTGGCTGGCGACGTCCACATCGTGAGAGGAGACTTCGATGAGGTGCCATTTCCCTTTCCCTCCCATCTGTGCCCTTTTTCTGCTACTTTGCATAAACCTTCTCTTTTAGACTCTAGTTTTTTTCATTCTTTCTTCCCCACCCATTTGACAAGTTATCCTAGGAACTAAACATGCTATGGTTGAACACTTCTCTGAGCATACATAATGCCTCAACATCACGCTTACTTGTCTTCCCAAGTATAAAATTACAGGTGAAATATCCCTCATTTTGCAGCAAGAAGTGTTATGACTTAGGCGTTCTTAGACTTGAGGACATTTTCACATATGTGATGAATTGTTAGGGTTAAGAGCCAGATCTAAACATCACATTCATTTCATTCCTTTATACCTTATGTGCATAGCCAGAAGATACAAAGTGAATTCCAGGCCAGCTAGATCTATCAAATAAGATCTTGTATGGAGGAGGAAAAATTTAATAAGAGTAATAAGTTTCAGCTTTGCTCATTAGTTGTTAAATAATGTGACTCTTAACAAGTTACTTTTTTCTTCTGACCCTCAATAAATTATGGTTGGAATTGAATTCATAAGAATAAACCTGATTCCAATATGAAGAAATTACTTTGTGCTTCTAGGAATCTTAAGCTTTTCAAAAAGTATTTAATTTGGTTGGTGCTTTTAAAGGGTTTAGGACCACTGAGGTGGCTCAGTAGTAAAGGCACTTGCCACCAAGCCTGATGACCTGGTTTGATTCCGAGGACCCACATGGTTGGAGACAACCTGACTCCAGGTTGTCCTTTGACTGCCACAAGTGCACACATGAATTGACACACACAAAATAATTTAAAGATCTATTTTTAAAAAACGTTTCTTTATACCAAACAAAATGAACACACAGTGTTCTTATTTAGCAGATTTAAAGATGATTTAGGGTAAATTATGGAGGTGGCATGGTGATGAAAGACTAGGGAGATAGGAAAGGACAGCCTAATTGTTTTGGGTTTTGAGGTTTTTGAAACAGGGTTTCTCTGTGTAATCCTGTCCTGGAACTCACTCTGCAGACCAGGTTGGCCTCAAACTTACAGGATCCACCTGCCTCTGCTTCCCGAGTGCTGGAATTGAAGGTGTGCACCACCACCGCCTGGCGACAGCTTACTTGTTAATTAGAATATAGGTCTAGTGTATTAAAAATATATTAAGGTTTCTTATGTTAAAGACGGTTTAATTAGCAAAGCTAAATTTCATTCCTAATTTGCTAAATGCACAGACTCTAAAGCCATGTAACCAGGCTTTGCTCTCACCTCAACCACTTACTGCTATGTAACCTTGGGCAAGTTATTCCAGCTTCTTTGTACCTTAGTTTCCTCATCCATAAAATGGGTATCATAACTATTAAAGCCTGGGATGCAATTTAAATAAATCTCAGCTTATAAATTGTGTGCCTTAAGTTGTGAAAAATCACGTGTAGGGATAATTACTCTAAATTTTTCATTACAGTATTTGTGCATCCATGCACGTGTGCCGCAGTGGTCGTATGAAGGGGAAAGGACACCAGCTTGTAGAAGTCAGTTCCCTCTTCACAGTGTGGGATCTGGGTTTAGAAACCAGGCTCGGAGCAAATGCCTTTACCTGCTGAGCCATCTCACCAGCCCAGGAATAACTGTTCTTTAAAGCATTCCTTAAACAACACATATTGTATAGAAATTAACTCAATACAGTGGTTTCTTGGCAGCTTCCCGTTTACATCAGCTGAACTGTGTTTTAAGCACCATTGCAGTGTCACAGGCTGAGGAGAAACAAATTATAAATATGTTTATTGTAGGATGTTGTCTGAAGATACCTATGAGATTGAATATTTAAACAAAAAGTTTCATTCTGTCTGAAACATATGTTTTCTGTGTCTTTTCTCTATCAGAATCTGAGTTATCCAGAACAGAAGGTTGTTACTGTGGGACAATTCAAGATCGGTCTGATCCACGGACACCAAGTTATCCCATGGGGAGACATGGCTAGCTTAGCACTGCTGCAGAGGCAGTTTGACGTGGACATCCTTATCTCAGGACATACTCACAAATTTGAAGCATTTGAGCATGAAAACAAATTCTACATTAACCCAGGTTCTGCCACTGGGGCATATAATGCCTTAGAAACGTAAGTGCCACAACTTAGGCATTTAGACCTTTAGAAGAGGCAATAACTGCATATGTGACATTTCCTAAAGAAAAATACAACATTTAAATAAGAGCTGGTGTGGTGGTGCATCCCTTCAACCCCAGCATTCCAGAGGTAGGCAGCAGATCTCTTTTAGTTCAAGGCCAGCCACTGTTACACAGTGAGACCCTGTGTTAAAAAACAGAATAAATAGGTAAATAAGTTCTTAATTAGCACTTTTTCATTTTTTTTAATTTTTAACTATTTTTTATTTATTGTGACAGTGTCAGATCCCTTGGAATGGGCATTCAGTTGTGAGCTGCCATATGGTTGCTGGGAATTGAACCCGGGTCCTTTGGAAGAGCAGACAGTGCTCTTAACCACTGAGCCATCTCTCCGGCCCCAGCACTCTCATTTTATTGCTGTTCTTTTATTTTTATTTTTTATTTTTTTACTTGTGACAGGGTTTCTCTCTTTTCCTGTCTGTCTTGGAATTCACTATGTAGACCAGGCTGGCCTCAAACTCACAGAGATCTGCCTGCCTTTGCCTCTCTGAGTGCTGGGATTAAAGGCGTGTGCCACCACTGCCCACCTACTGTTGTTTTCAGTGTGCAGGTAACAATCATATTTCTCCTTGTGTGCAATACCTTGAATTGAAATTTACAGTGCTATTATTTTAGTATAAAACACTGACATTGTTTATTTTTCTTTCAGAAATATTATTCCGTCATTTGTGCTGATGGATATCCAGGCTTCTACAGTTGTCACTTATGTTTATCAGCTAATTGGAGATGATGTGAAAGTAGAACGAATTGAATACAAAAAATCTTAAAACCAGGCCTGTCTTGATCATTTTCTCTTTTGTTTTTCCTTTCCTTGTTCAAATCAAATAATTAAACACAAGAGGCACACAGTTGTATCACCTTTGTAATATTTTGCACTAAAAATCTTCTCTGTTAATACATAATTGCTCTAAGCTTCTTGTAAACTAATAAAAATATATTTAGTTTTCAGTATATGGTTTCTATTGGAAGAGGTCCGCCACACAATACAGGACCATGTTAGGAAGTTCACCTTTGTAAATATCTACCTAGTTGGAATTTGGGCTTCATTACAAAACTAGTGCATGAAGACAAAGAATTCGGACTTTGTATATGTTTTCTTTTCTCTGGTAATAAATGTTTACCTTCCATTTAGACTTTCTTGAAAACCTGTGTTTAATTTAAAAACCATACACTTGAAATCTCAGCACTCAAAAGGCAGAGACAGGTAGATCTCTTAAGAGTTGTATGCCAGTCAAGCATGGTGGCACGCACCTTTAATCCCAGCACCTGGGAGGCAGAGGCAAGTAGATCACAGAGTTCGAGGCCAGCCTGGTCTACAAAGGAAGTCCAGGACAGCCAAGGCTACACAAAGAAACCCTGTCTCAGAAAACAAAACAACAACAAAAAGAGTTATATGCCAGTCTGGTCTATATTGTCAATGCTAGGCCAGCCAAAGTTACATGGGTAAACCCTGTCTCAAAAAAATAAACATAAAAATGAGAAACCAAATGCAACTGCAGATGTTTTAGAGTAAAGGTGTGTATAACTGCAGATGTGTTTCAGAACTACAGTGGTTCTGAACCTGTGGCTTGAATGACCCTTTCACAGAGGTCACCTGAGACCACTGGAAAACATATTTACATTACGATTCATAACAGTAGCAAAATTATAGTTATGAAGTACCAATGAAAATAACTTTATGGTTGGGGTCACCACAACATGAGGAACTGTATTAAAGGTCGCAGCATTAGGCTGAGAACCACTGTGGTAGCGTGAGGCTTGTGGTGGCATATGCCTGTAGTCCCTGATCAGGAGGCCTAGGCAGGAAGGTCTGGCACGGGGTTAAACATGAGACTGATTTTGCAGCTTCGAAGTGCTAACAAATCAGCAGTGTGTTTTTAGTTTGTTTTTTGGAGGGTGCAGAGGACAGGGTTTCTCTGTGCAGCCCTGGCTGATCACTCTGTAGACCAGGCTGGCCTCAAACTCAAAGATCCACCTATCTCTGTCTCCCCGGTGTGGGGGTTAAAGATGTGCATTACCACTGCTCAGCTATGCAGTGGTACATGTAGCTTGAACCTTGTTGCATGTGTGTTTATCTGGGTTTAACAGCAAATTTCTTTTTGAGACAGGGTCTCACTATATAGCCCTTGCTTACCTGGAATTCAAAGTGTAGATCAGGCTGGCCTGGAACTCAAAGAAATCTGTCTTGTCTTTGCCTCCCAAGTGCTAGGATTAAAGGCGTGTGCCACCATATCTGTCTTATCCATAGGTTTTAAATTTATGTTTAATAGCAAATATTGAGCAACCTACTTGCAAGTTGAGACCTACAAATGCTCTTCAGTTTTCCTAATATAATCAAGAAAAACCTTATGGAATATTTAACTATTGCTATTTTAGAAGTGATTGTAAACTGAAAGAAGGAATAATCCATTGCCATTTTTTTAAAAAAATTCAGTGGCCTAGAGAGATGGCTCAGCAGTTAAGAACACTGGCTGCTCTTCCAGAGGACCCAGGTTCAATTCCCAGCATCCACACAATGGTTCACAATTGTAATTCCAGCTGTAAGAGTTCTAACGCCTTCACACATACACACGTGCAGGCAAAACACCAATGCACATAAAATAAAAATAATTTTTAAAAACTCAGTTTTATGTGTCAACTAAAATTTTAATTGTTCATAGCTAAAAACATGCATACATTACACAGATATCACTGGTACACAAAAGTATGTTGGACAAAGAAGGTTGCTGTAAATTTCCCAACAACCAAAACAACAAACTCGCGACTAGCACTGTCCTATACATGGTTCTCAACTGTTCCTTGTCTACCTCCTGCTCAGCATCTGAATATTTGCTGATAGCTGAACTTGATATGGAGGACTAGACTGTCAGGTTGAGATGAGATGTGTCCTGTTCTTGAATGGACATGGACTGCATGCATTTATTCAGTAGATCATCTTCCTTTGTTTCTTCATTCATGCATGGTTGATAAACATTTGAAGAAACTATAGGGAAGATAAACATTTATAATGTGTTTTGGAAATAAAATTATTTTTTATTATTTATTTGTATGGGTGTTTTGCCTACATGTATGTCTGTGTACTGTGTGTGTGTGTGTGCCTGGTACACACAGCAGAAGAGGACATCAGATCTGGAACTGGAGTGGTAGGTGCTGGGAATTGAATGCAGGTTCACTTTTTTTTGTTTTTGTTTTAAAGATTTATTTTATGAATGAGTGCACCTCTATACCTGAAGAGGGCATGAGATCACATTATAGATGGTTGTGAGCCACCATGTGGTTGCTGGGAATTGAACTCAGGACCTCTGGAAGAGCAGACAGTACTTTTGACCGCTGAGCCATCTCTCCAGCCCAATGCAGGTCCTATTTAAAAGCAGCTGGTGCTCTTAACTGCTGAGCCATCTCTATAGCCTCATTCATTTATTTTTTTAGACAGCACCTTACTTTGTAGCTCTGGCTGGCCTAGAACTTGATATGTAGACCAGGCTGGCCTCCAGCTCACAGAGATTCAGCTGCCTTTGAAGCTTGAGTGCTGGGATTCAAGGTGTGTGCCACCACTCACATGGCTGGAAATAAAATTCTAAGCACTACCTTTATTAAGCTTTTAGCAAAGACATAATTCCCTACTGTTTTCAACTTTATTACCCTCCCACTTCCCCCAGTCTCTTTCTCACTGTCTAGACACAGCACCAGATTGTAGCAGCTACTGCATAGCACACTTCTTAAACAAACTATTCCAATTGATTTTCAAAGTCTTGGTTGAGAAGTTAGGAGTTGAAGTGGTTACATTTTCAGTGTCTCCATACCCTTTAGTTCTTCCTCTTGGCTTGAGGACCTCGGCAACATTTCCTCTGCTGGGGTCTCCGTAGTCTTTTTAGGCCAGACTTAACCTCCTTCCCTTGGGTTAGGACTTTCTTTGCACATGCTTGGCAGGCATCTAACAAACACTTCTGAAGCTGGCTGTGATGGCACAAGCCTATCTCAGCACTTGATTACTCAGAGTCAAGTCTGTGCTGGAGAGAGACCCTGCCTAAAACCAACAGTAACAACAAATTCTGAAAGACTAGGGAGCAGGTTCATAGGAAAAGCGCATACCTGGCACAGGAATAAAACATTTTAACCTCATTCTCCTTAGTGAATTTTGAGTGGAAACAAGCTATTTCGTGTTTAGTTTTGGGTTTGAGGTAGTGTATTACTGTGTAGCTCTGACTGGGTTGGATTTGCAATATAGAGCAGGCTGCCCTGGAACTCAGAAATTCCCTGCTTCTGTGCTGGGACATCTGTCATGTGCCACCATGGTTTTTATTTGAACAATAGAGCTCATTACACATAATTTAAGTGACTGTATTTGCTTTAGTATTTTTTTTAGGCAGTTTTCAAAAGTGCAAGGCAGGGCATGGTAATCCTGTCCACCTATAATACTAGTACTTTGTGGTGGAAGCAGAAGGATCAGTTCTAGATTGGCCTGGGCTATATGAGGCCTTGTTTCAAAAACAAAAATCCAGCCAGGCATTGGTGGCACACGCCTTTAATCCCAGCACTTGGGAGGCAGAGGCAGGTGGATCTCTGTGAGTTTGGAACCAGCCTGGTCTATAAAGTGAGATGCAGGACAACTATGGCTATACACAGAAACCCTGTGGGGGCGGGGGGGGAGTGGAATCCATAACTGTGTGTGTGTGCGTGTGTGTGTGTGTGTGCACGTGTGTGCTTGTGCGCTGCACCTGCCTGTTTAATTCTGCATTTACCTGGTAGCAAGAACAGTCTGCCTGGTCTTCTAAAAATCTTCAGTGACTTGCATTTTGTTTTAGATGCATATCCAATTTTTAACCTGTGATAAAGGGAAATATTTTAATTGGAGACAACAAAGTGAACACTGCTGTCAAACTCAAATTGAATAGAAGATTCTTTTTTACTGCCTGCTGGCATTGCCAGACCCTTCATTCCCCAGATTCTTCTGTGATCTATGAGCCCTGAAATGCAGCACTATTAGCACACAGTTTGGGCACTGAAGCTTTTGTGTTATTGTAAGCTGTGGGTTTTGTTTGCTTTTTGCGACACAGTTTCATGTAGCCCAAGCTTCCCTCAGATTCACTAAGTAGGACCAAGATGCCCTTAAACTCCTGATCCTATCAAGTACTGGCTTATGGCACTATGCCTGCTGATGCTGTCCTCCTCCCTCCTGGCTGTGCTGTGCTCTCCTCTGAAGGAGCACTATATATGCTTCTGGGGGCCTTTGCATTCTTTGGAATCTGAATGAGAAGGACAGTTTATCTCTAGCTGATCCAGAATTTATTGTTTTATTTAGTATGTTTGAATATGGGCATGGGTGCTATGATACATGTGTGGAGGTCGGAGGACAGCTTTGGAGAATCTGTTCTCCCGGATTCTACCCTGGACTCTAGGGCTAAAACACAGGCTGTTGGTCTTGCATAGCAAATGCTTTACCTGATGAACCATCTTGCTCTGATCAAGAAGTGTTTACAAACCCACAAATTATACTGTGAAAAAAAGTGGTATGCCTGGGTATGGTGCACACCTGTACTGCTAGCATGTGGGTTGGCATGAGTTTGAGGCATGCCTGGGCGATATATTCTGTCACAGAACTTCAAACCCCTGAAGTGTCACATCCTACTCATCTCAGTGAAGAAGTGGCCTCCCTCATCTGAGTTTAGCAAAGTGAACTTATTAAGAAATGGGAGTTTTAATCTCAGGAGGATTCCTCCTCACACAGAACTGGGTCCATTTTTTTTTTTTTCGAGACAGGGTTTCTCTGTGTAGGCTTAACTCTCCTGAACTCACTTTGTAGACTAGGCTGGCCTCAAACTCACAGAGATCCACCTGCCTCTGCCTCCCTGAGTGCTGAGATTATAGGTGTGTGCCACCGTGCCTGGCTCATTTTTTCCTTCTTAAATTCAAGAAACAAACCCTTCTTTGTGTCTCAGTGGTCGCCAAAGGGAATGTATGATCATTTCAGGTGCTGCAGCTGCAATGCTCAAAGACCCTCCTCTCTCCAGATGATGTCGCCATGTAGTACAGGGGGAGGTCTGTTTCTGTGAATAGCGAGAGCTGATATGGCTTCTGTGATGAGTGAGGACACCTGAGACACAAATCACCTATTAGAAGACCCTTTTACTTCTCGTAGGACCTGACAAGAAACTGAGTGGAGGTGCACCTGCCTGGTTTTTGTGAAACATTATGAAACAAATGCATGTACTGCTTCTTCATTAAGGTCCTCAGATAGCTGGAGTTACAGATATTAGCAACGCTGCACAGGTGGTGCCTCTGGCCTGAGGTAAGTTCTGGGTGCTGAAAGACAGAATGAGGGTTTATTTCTGTCCTGTAGGCGAGTACAGGTCCTTGTGCTCACAGATAAGCACACGGCGCCATCTCTTCTAAGGGAAAGATGTATATACAAGCCATGCTTAACAGCTTAGTGACCTTTGCCAGGAAACACCAAATCCCCCCCAGACCCTTATTAAGGAAAGACCCTTGAGCCTCTTTTCTCAGTTAATCTGTAGTACCCATCTTCTACTTTTGATGTAGTCATGTCTTAAGCACATGAGACTGGGTAAATTATCAGCAGGAAACATTTTCCTAAATTGTGCTGTGCCTGAAATAAACTACTCGAGGTCAGACTCTTGATGTTTGAGCCAACACTAGATACAGAGCTGTGTTGAAGTGATCTCATCTCTCACAGACTGACATCCTGCTGGCCTTGGTGGTTGCAGAGACCGCCGCCCCTCCCGCCCCCCCTCCCCCCGCACGGTAGAATACAGGTCAGCAGTCTTCTAACTGAAAGGATGGATGTGAGGGCTGTCCCACCTCATCTCCGTGGTTATCACCAAAAATCCAGCTCTCTCAACTTGGCCAAAGGAGAAGGAAATGGCCATTTATTAAAACAGGCAAATGGCTCTAGCTACCACCCCACAATAATTCAGATACCCTTTGAGCTTCAAGAACCAAAGGAACGAGTTCCATGAGGGAACCTAGAACTAGGGAAAAACCTAAAACTAGGAAAGTGGAGATGGGGGGAGGATCTGCTCTTTGTCAACACATTTACCTCCCACCTGCCTTCTCAAGTTGGACATTTTGCTCGTGTGTGTGTGTGTGTGTGTGTGTGAGAGAGAGAGAGAGAGAGAGAGAGAGAGAGAGAGAAATTTTTTTAGGTATAAGATAGTACCCAAAAGCAGCTTAGTTTACTCTGTCTCAGCTAAAGAAACATCTTTTCCAGAAGCAGGAGAGTATTTGTAGCCTAGTGCAATGGCACATGCCTGTAATCCCAGCACTTGGGGAGGCAGAGGCAGGTGGATCACTGTGAGTTTGAGACCAGCCTAGTCTACAAAGCGAGTCCAGGGCAGCCAAGGTTACACAGAGAAACCCTGTCTCAAAAAAACCAAAACAAAAAAAAAAAAAAAAATCAATAGGTGTAAAATCCTTACTGCCATTTTCTTTACCTGCTCGCTTCTCATTTTATAATCCTTGAGTGAAGTCTCTGGATCTGGGTTTTTATCCCTGGAGTGTCTTAGTGCCACTTTGAACTTCCTAAGTAGCTCTGAAGTACCATAAGCCTGGAGGGAACTCTTGTGACAGGGTCTCTGTAATCCTTGAAGTCATTCCTGAATTTATCCAACATACTTACTGTGTTTTGGGGTTGGGTGGGTTTGTTTTTTTTAATTTGTTTTTTGAAACAGGGTTTCACTATGTAGCCCTGGCTGCCTTCACTTTTTTTTTTTTTTTAAGATTTATTATGTATACAGAATTCCGCCTACATGCCAAAAGAGGGCACCAGATTTCATTATAGATGGTTGTGAGCCACCACGTGGTTGCTGGAAATGTAGGACCTCTGAAAGAACAGCCAATGCTCTTAACCTCTGAGCCATCTCCCCAGCTTCAGCCTTTCTATGTAGACTATGCTGGCCTCGACTCAGAAATCCAACTGTTTCTGCTCTCCAGGGCTGGGATAAGGCCTATGTCACATGCCTACTCTTTTTGTTTGGTTTTTGAAGACTGAGGACAATTTTTTTTTTTTTTTTTTAACTTTGAGGAAAAATAAATTGGCCAGTTAAGTTGAAAATCCTGGCAGCTACTGCTGGGAGGAGGGAGATGGAGAAAAAGTGATGCCTTTCAAGTTGAGTGTGGAGGTCAGAGATGCAGTGAGAAAGCCTGGAGTGCCAGGGAAAGCATACTTGGGCTTTGGCCAGTATCCAAATGAACGAGCTAGAAGGACAAAGGAGCGGTCAGGCTCCACAGTGTTACATGGCTGCTGCTCGGTAGGAGGCTGCCTTCACAGACTCCTTGACAGTGTGGTGGGTATATGTGTAGTCTGCGGGGCTTTAAATTCTATCCAAGTCATTTACCTTCAATCACAAGTTCTGGACCTGTAGCTTAGTAGCTGAGTTTGCTTAGCATGCACGAGGCCCTGGACCTAACATCTGGCATCCTTCAGAAACATTTCAGGAGCTGGCAACATGGCTCAGCAGGCAAAAGGGCTTTGTTGCCAAGCCTAACAGCCTGAGTCTGACCCCTAGGATACATGTGGTGGAAGGAAAGAACTAATTCCCACAAGTTGTCCTCTGACCTTCACACAATCAACTATAGTTTAAACTTTAAATTCTGCTCTTACCTTTAGAAAAGATGCATCTGTCATTGATTTAGGGATATGAATTGTTTGGAGTTGAGTAGTTTTCCATAACTCCTGCAGCTTGGCAATGTGTGAGTACACTCTATTTCCCTCTTTGATTCTATCTATAGGCAAAGACATTATGTGACTTTCTGAGGCAAATATTATTAATACATATTTATAACTACCAGTGATTATCCCCTCCTGAAGCAATTATAGTATTTTAATCAGCTAAATTTTGAGAGAATGTATAAATATGCCTTTCTGTTTAGAGCACACAAACATCTGGAATTGACAAGTCTCACATAAACCCAGAATCTCTCATTAGCAGTTCGGTGCAAATGAAAATGAGATGCAGGCCTCAAAAGATTATTGGCTCAGCAAGTCTGGCAATCTGAGAGCAGTCCCTGAACTTTAACGGAATGAGAAGTGACTCCACAAAGTTGTCCTCTGACATTTCCTACACACACCCCTATGCCACCAAGGCCAGTAAACTCTAGCTCCCCCTAACCCTGCAAAATTAGTAGGAGGCCTTTAGGGGCTTATTTTTCTCCTAACTTCATCAAAAAAGTGTTATTTTGAAAATACTCCTCCCCCCAAAAAATAAAATATTCCCTATGAAATAGTTTATGGTTTTTGAAGCTGTTCATGCAGGATTTTCCCTTTAGTCCAAGTGTAAATGATGTTTCCAACCAATGTTAATTCTGAACATAGATCTTTTAGAATTCATTGATCCTTTTCTTCTTTGTTTGAATTGGTTTTGGTTTTTCGAGACAGGGTTTCTCTCTGCAGCCTTGGCTGTCCTGTACTCCCTTTGTAGACCAGGCTGGCCTCAAACTCACAGAGATCCACCTGCCTTTGCTTCGCCCAGTGCTGGGATTAAAGGCATGTACCACCACACCAGGCTTTCATTGATACTTTTAAAAAAATCGTTATATATTAACAAAAGATAAAGAACTGATCTTTGAAACTCTTAGAGGAAGTTTACTGGAATGTTAAGGTCTATTTTTAGGGCCTCAGCTGAGTAGCTGTCTAGCATGCACAAAGTTCAATCTAGTAAAGTCTTCTTACATTTGGGAGTCAGGGAAGAAGGCTTACTGGCAATCGTGATGAAGTCAGAGAACAACTCAAAAAGGTCAAGTCAGTTCTCCCCTTCTACCATGTGGGCCCTGGGGGAACTGAACTCAGGTAGTGCAGCTTGACAGCAAGTGCCCTTACCTGCTGTGCCATCTCGCCAGCCCTTTGAGCCTTTTGTTTAAACTCCATTGTTTAATGAGTTACAGGTAAACTGGCTCTCTCAAGTCTGTGTGCATTACCTGCTTTATGCTGCTCACCAGGGCCTTTGGAATTCTGGTGATAAGAATGTCCAGCTGATCTGTTAGAAAAGAACATGCATAATATATAATCTGGCAGCTTGATAGCCACTAAAGACTGAATGTCTAATGACAGAGACAGCCTCACATGCTCTTTCTTTACTTTTCCTGTTTTCATCAATGTCTTGCAATTTTTCTCCTCCAATTTGGCTATAAGAAAAATGAACCTGAGTGGTCAGATTTGTATCATACTAGGATGAGAGTTTTCGTGTGTGTGTTACTGGGGGAACCCATGGCTCACAGATGCTCAGCAAGTCCTGTTTTTACTTTACTAGAAGGTCCTTAAATTTGGTCTCATTTTCATAGCTATTTAGTCTAATTTTTACAGTGAGATCAAGTGTGTAGTTTGGTTCCTGTACTATCCACAGGATATCTTTTTTATTCTTTAATAATGTAATGTCAGTACTGAAAAGAGTAATTATGTTATGCTGGAACTATTAAGTTGACCTGTAAAATTTCCAATCTTGCACCGGTTTTTTTACTGTTCTCAAAAATTAAATTGCTTCCTGCAGTTTCTCAGTGACTTGAGTCCATAGAACCAGCACACTTCCAAACATTGTGAAGAACAGGAAAGAAAAACGGGACCCCACCACATCTTTAAGAAGTCTTAGCACCAAATCTATATGTGCAACAAAATGTACATTTCCTATAAGAATATACTTAGTAAACATATATTTATCTCCTGGCTACAGACTCAGCAAGAGCCATGGTTGTAGACCTAGTTGAATGCCAATTATCCTGCTGCTCTTGATTTTAAGGAGGGGGACACAGAAGCAAGGCCTCCAGCTGCCACATCAGATTGTCACCTGTCCTCACCGTCCAGGAAATAGTTAAACCCTTCCCAGGCCATGGTGGTCCACAGCAGCCATCCCAGCACTCAGGAGGTGGAGGAGGACGAGGAGTTCAAGGACAGCCTGAACTACCTAAGTGTGCATCAGGAAACCAACCCGCCAAACAAGTCAAGATCCACTGTTTCACTGGCCCATAGCCCCATCAGACAGAGAGGCGGCCAGCGTCGCAGGGACTGCCTTGGTAGCCGGAGACCGCAGGGCCCTCGGCTCCCGCTGGGTTCGCAGCGCCCTCTCGCGGCAGAAGACGCGAGTGGGCGACAGTCGCTGTCCTGCTCCGAGGCCGCCTCACAAGCCCTTCCCTTAGGCAGCCAAGTCCCCGGAGGCCGCTTCCTCTCTCGCGCCTCCTCAGCAGGAGCTCTCGGGCCTCACCCGTCGCCGCCTTCCGTACAGGCCAATGCGGGCGGCTCCGCGGCCCCGGGCCAACGGCTCGGCATCCCGTCGGCACGCGTGCACCACACCCACCGTGAGGCCACGGCCCCTGGCTCGACCCTCCGACCCTGCCCTAGTGGCTCCGGGAGGGTGCCGAGAACAACCCAAGACCCTGGAGCTAGACCCGGGAAGGAGAGCTCAGGTGACCAGGCTTCTGCACCTTGGCATCTCTGAGGGATGCGTCAGGGCAAGGCCAACACACGCTCCCTAAAGCAAACGGGGCCTTCCACCTCAGTATTCTAGACCCTTGGCGGATCTGCAGACCGTGGGCTGTCGCCCTGGGAGTCAAACCCCAAACCGGTGCACCGGCCCCCGGGCGCGGAGCGTTACGCGCGAACCGCGGTCACCCGGGCAACCGCCTCCGCCAGTGGACCAACCGCCAACGGCCCGCAGCTCGCGCTCTGCGCACGCGTGAGTGAGCTCGTGCCTCCGCCTTCTGGTTTTTTTTTTTTTTTTTCTCCGTGCGCGTTTCACAGGTGATTCGGCCCTTGGGACACCCCGTAGTCCGGGGTGTAGCGACAGACAAGTGCTCTGAGTCGCGATTGGCTCGTACCCCGGAAGCCAGTGGCGTCTCGCGGAGGCGGAGCGGAGTGTGGCCGACTGCGGTGAGAGCACGGGCGGCCGGCATGCCTCGGTATGCGCAGCTAGTCATGGGCCCCGCGGGGAGCGGGAAGGTGAGCCTCTGGGACCCGGGGAACCCTGGGTAATTCGCTTCCGCTCTCTCGTTTGGACCTTGTTTTGTTTGGGAGTAATGGCAGCGTTAATCGTTGCTGTGGGGCTGCAGAGATGGCTGGGCGCTTGGGAGCTTGTTCTGCCCTTCCAGAGGACTTGCGTTCTGATCCTAGCACCCACACAGAGCTGTGACTCCAGCCTCAGGCCTCCACGAACGGTGCACTTATGTGCGTGCACCCACACACAGCACATACTTTAACAAAAATAATAGTAACGGGAGACTTTTCTTCAGGAACTGCCCTGGTCGATCCAGGGGTTTTTATAACTGAGCTTGGCCCTGTACTCGGTTAAAGAAAACGAGACACAGAAAGGTTAACTTTTTCAGAATCATACAGTTAGTTCTGGATAGAATTTGGTCCCGTTTTCGTCTAAATCTAGAACGAGCCCTCTGCCACACGCCTAGAATGGGGTCTCTTCCTTACTGTTCCTCAGAAGTTGAGGATCTTGGGTTCCATTCTAGAAGGTGGGGGAAACGATGTGTGATCATCATCTTTGCCTCTCTCTTTCCTTCCGTCCTGTCTGTCTTTTCTTTTCTTATTCTTATTCTTATTTTTTGTTTTTCGAGACAGGGTTTGTCTGTATAGCCGTGGCTGGACTCACTTTGTAGACCAGGCTGGCTTCTAACAGAGATCTGCCTGCCTCTGCCTCCCTGAGTGCTGGAATTACAGGCGTGCCACTGCGCTGGGCTATCTTTGCCTTTTGTACTGTGGTTAGTGTCCCTACTATTATTCCTTTAATATGTATTTACAAGGAAACATTGCATCACAATTAAATATGTATATGTATTAAATACAGATACAAATGTTTCCTTGTAAATACATATTAATAGTAATAATAGCAATTATTAGTAATAGTAATGCTTATTAATATTTATTTTATATTTATATTTAATATTGATATTTATTTATATTAATATATTTATTAATAGTAATAGTAATTATTATTAGTAATAATAGTGGTAATTAATAGTAATACTAGTAGGGACACTAACCACAGTACAAAAGGCAAAGACAATGATCACACATCAAGTGTGAGGAATCCCTAGAATCTGTGGCGGTTTTGTGTCCCTTCAGTATGTAGTAAACCCGTCATTCTGGGAACAGGAGATGTACCTGTGACTCCTCTGTTTGGGAAGGCACATAGCTGACCTGTCTATTACAGTGCATCTTGATCCACGGAGGAGATGACCCAGATAGAACAGTGTGTCAAAAGGGAAGCATGGTGGAGGGCATTTCTATAATGTAAGTTAACGTTTTAGACTGTGTTAAGGTTTCCTGAGCCCCAGCCATGCCTTGACCTATAGCTCTGTTCTCACTGCCGTCCCGAGTGCTTTTCCTGAAGGTGAGCTTTGGCCCAGAGAGCGGAGGAGTGTGTGGAGGGGTGGAGGGCGGCACCACCCTGCCCTGCGTGCTAACCACACACCTTGTACCATTGCAGAGCACCTACTGTGCCACCATGGTGCAGCACTGTGAGGCGCTCAATCGCTCTGTCCAGGTGGTCAACCTGGACCCCGCCGCAGAGCACTTCAGCTACCCTGTGATGGCCGGTAAGTCCTGGTAGAGCTGCCTTCTTGAGAGGGCACTGAGAGCTGGCTGCTCAGCCCAGAAACTAAAGATCAGTTACTCACAGCCTAAACCCTGATTTCGTGATTGATGCGTGCATTGAGGCTGAGGGTCATGTGATGGGTGTTTGTGGGTGTGGATGTGATGGCATCCTTTTTTGGTCTTTCACTGTGAAGCTTAAAGGTAGGTGGGCTCCTGCCTTTCTGCCCTTCCCTGTCGTCTCTCTCTTCGTTGCTTACTCTGATCAGTCCATGGTAAGATGGTTTGTATGCAGTAAACAGCCCCAATGGTAGCTTGAATGCAAAGGTGAGGCTGGGGCTGTGGGTGTGGCTCAGTGGGGGTGGAGGGCTTGCCTGGGCACATGAAGCTCTGGGTTTGACCCTCAGCACCCCGTGAAGCCCAGTGGGGCGGTACATGTTTCTATCATGGGGCTCAGTAAAGCAAAACAAAACAATTGTTTTTCAGTAAACAATAATAAATCTGAAGTCGAAACTGCTTATGTAGATGGAAGATACAAATGTTTGGGCCAGCAGCCAAAAACCCAAAAATCTTGACACATTAAGCCCCAGGATAGCCGACCTCGTGATGGAAGGGAATTTGGTTGGAGAAGAAGGACTGAGGCTGAGTCCTGAAGCTGCATGTTCTTCAGAGGCTGTTAGACGCAGCGTATCAGGAAGCTTCAGAAAGGACAGGAGGGACGTTTGCAAGAAAGAGGTGTTGTTGACATCAGGTCCGGCCAAGCACTTGTGTAAGACAGTGACAGAAAGTGTCTGTTGGATGTGGGTGACAGTGGCAGCTCTGACCAGAGTTAGGGGTGGAGCAGTGCGGCTGAAAGCAGCCGGGGTTGGACTGAAGAGTGGCAGGTGCCGCAGTGTGGACACTGCCACGGAATGGTTTTTTAGCTTGAGGTGTGAAATAGTCTCATGTAGCCAGAGCTGCCTTCGAACTCCTTATGTAGCCAAGGATCAGGATGAGCTGGAACTTCTAAAATCCAATTGCTGGAATTGCAGACTTCATGAGGAGAGTGTGGCCCTCTAGTAGGTGGAGTGGGCCAGCAGGCTGAGCAGATGGGAACCACCTTCTCCTCTCTCTTGAAACAAGGCAGACTATTGCTTTGGGACCCTCTGAGCGAAAGCACCGAGGCTTTCTTTCTTTCTTTTTAAGATTTATTTATTATATATACTGTGTTCTGCCTGCATGTGTGCTGCAGGCCAGAAGGGGGCACCAGATCTCATTATAGATGGTTGTGAGCCACCATGTGGTTGCTGGGAATTGAACTCAGGACCTCTGGGAGAGCAGTCAGTGCTCTTAACCTCTGAGCCATCTCTCCAGCCCATCCCTGAAGCTTTTTTTTTTTTAAGCCATTTGTTTATTATTTTTTTAAAGATTTATTTATTTGTTATGTATACAGTGTTCTGCCTGCATGTGTGCCTGCATGTCAGAAGAGGGCAGCAGATCTCATTAGAGATGGTTATGAGCCACCATGTGGTTGCTGGGAATTGAACTCAGAGAACTCAGGAAGAACAGCCAGTGCTCTTGACTACTGAGCCATCTCTCCAGCCCCCCCCCCCCCCCCCCCCCCCCCCCGCCCTGAAGCTTTCTTAAGTGTAGAGTTGCATTAGAAGGACCTTGGGCTCACAGAATCCAAGAGGGAGACCGTGTGAGACTAGAGTCCAGCCCACAGTAACAGGAGGCGAGGCCAACTTCCTGTATGTTTTCTTTTGATTTCCATAATGAATGAGAACCATCTGTATGCCAGGATGTTTAATACCTTTCTGTAGGTAAGTCATACAGCTCCCAGCCTTCCACCCCAGGGTGAGTGTTCCCATCCCCACCCCCAACTCAACAAGGATCAGGAGTTGTTAACCGGTTTCTTGAGTCATCAAGTTATGAGGTGCAGTTGGTGTCATTTTACTTCTTGGTGTAGGTAATACATAGCCGAACGGTTCAAAATGTGAACGACACAGAGGAGGAAGAATGCAGAAAAATCACGAGTCATGGCTCAGCAAATCAAGCCTGCTTCTTCAGGCAGCCAGGGTTGCTGGCTTCTGACGTGTCCCTCCATAAGCAGCTTGTGCGTCTGAATCCAGCCTGGCTGTGTATAATGTGTTGGAAGTAGGCCTCTCTGTTTTGTTGTGCTGTGTTTTGTCTTTTGCCTTGAAATAGGACCTAGCCATATAGACCCTCTTTCCTCACTCTCCAAGAGCTAAGGTGGCAGGTGGGGGCCATCACTACCAGCTTTTTTCTTCAGTATACCCGATTCTGACAGGAAGTCTGTGCCTTGGATTTTTCACTTAATGATACAACTGGGAGATTATTTTGTAGCAGTGCTTAAAGAGTTTCTCCTCCCTTCTGGTGTGGCTTTAAACACACTAATCCTAGGATTGAAGCGACAAGTGCCTCTCTCTGAGTTTGAGGCCAGACTGGTCTACATAGTAAGACTGTCTCAAACCAAACATTGCCCGGATTTTTGTGACACACACCTTTAATCCCACCTTTAATCTCAAGAGACAGGAGGGTCTTTGTGAGTGCAAGGCCAGCTTAGTCTACAAAGTTGAGTTCCAGGACAACCAGGGTCCTATTACACCGAGAAACTCCCTGTCTTGGGGCGGGGAGTGGGGGAGCTTCCCCTCCCCTTTTTACATCTGTATAGTATTGTACTGGGTAGTGTCTGTGTGGTGATGCTCAGTCAGGGGTCTTGCTTTCTCTCCACCGTTGACACGAGGTCTCTGACTGACTCTGGGGACAGTCCTCAGCAACCCTTCCTTCTGCGCCCACAGCACTGCAGTTACAGACATGTGGCCATTCCTAGGTTTTTACATGGGTGCTGAGATCACACTCAGGGCCTCATGCTCATGCACCAGACACTCTCAGTCACTGAGCCACCTTCCCTTTATGTGCCTGTTAATTACTATTAGGATAAAGTTTCGCAGGTACTCACTCTGGTCCCTGCCTGGCTCTCCAGACATCCGGGAACTGATCGAGGTGGACGATGTGATGGAGGACGATTCTTTGCGCTTTGGTCCCAACGGAGGGTTGGTATTCTGCATGGAGTACTTTGCCAACAACTTTGACTGGCTGGAGAGCTGCCTGGGCCACGTTGAGGACGATTACATCCTGTTTGACTGCCCAGGTACGTCAGCGACAGGAATGTGCTGTGCGCCCTCAGGCTGCTTGTGTCCTTGTGGGGACAGTAGTGAACGCCTGCACTGAGGAACCCAGCTGGCTCCACTTTATCCCTCGAGTTTATCACATGCTCGCTGAGAACAGCCTTGAGAATAAGGGGGCCAGGGCCATGGAGCTTAGGGTCCAGCGGCAAGCAATTGGGATAAACAGTGACCCCGTGATTAACATTTGTGCAGGGTACCCGCAGAAGGAACATAGACTGTCCTGCAGAAGAAGGGTTTAGGAGGCAACTGCTCAGTTGTCCTTTAAGCTAGGTTGTAGGACAGAGGGTCCAGACAAGCAGCAGTAGGGAGATTGGGTGTCGGGTGGCTGTGGCTCCTCGAGGTAAGGGGCAGGTTAAGTGCCACTAGCTTCGGAAGGTGAAGCACACACTAGACTGAAGCCTGAGGTGCTTCACTCATTTGTGGCTCTCCCTTGCTTTTAAACACATGGACCCCCACAGAAACCGTGTGTGTGTGTGTGTGTGTGTGTGTGTGTGTGTGTGTGTGTGTGTGAGAGAGAGAGAGAGATAGCTGAGTATGAGTGTGGTTAGTCCCGAGAGAGAGAGAGAGAGAGATAGCTGAGTATGAGTGTGGATAGTCCCAAGATGTACACCCCTTTGTGCTTGGATTTTTATTTTTCTGTACTGAGGGTTGCACCCTGGGCTAGTTCATGCCAGGGAGGCAGGGAGGTGCCACACGGCCACCCCCCCTCAAAAAATAAATAAAGCCTGCTGCTGTCCTCGTGCTGTTACGATTGTCCTGGGAGTGTGTGGTGCCCCCTGCACAGCTGAGTGCAGAGCATGGAGAGGTGGCTCAGTTAAGAGCGCTTAACTGCTCTTCCAGAGGACCCAGGTTCAGTTCCCAGCACCTATGTCGGGTGGCTTACAACTTCTATAACTTCAGCACTGACACCGTGGTCTGGCCTCCACAGGCACCTGGAACACATGACATACAGACATACATAAGTCAAAGCAATGAAACTCTTTCAGGAAAAAATGCAGAAAAAACCAAAAATCAAAACTGTGAAGCTGAGTCTGTGGGGGCTGGCGCAGCCATGGAGCACTTGCCGAGCATGCACAGGCCGCAGTTTGGTCTGTAGTGCCACAGACAATACAAAGCAAAATGCCTGCTCATCCTCAGATCCCAGCAAGATCTGAGGCTTCACACTCAAATGAGGCATGCGTGCACGGTGTGCCCCTTTCACTGGCCCCCAGCACCCTCTGGGGACGGTGCTGCAGTAACCGGGCTCCTGACTGACTGCTCTGGTGCTCCCCTTGCAGGTCAGATTGAGCTGTACACCCATCTGCCCGTGATGAAGCAGCTGGTCCAGCAACTTGAACAGTGGGAGTTCCGAGTGTGCGGAGTGTTCCTTGTCGATTCTCAGTTCATGGTGGAGTCGTTCAAGGTCTGAGGATGAATCTCTTGTAGACTTTTCAGTCCTGGGTAGAAAGCACGCAGCAGTCTCTGCTCACTCTGTGTGAGTCTGGACGTTTCACAGGCTATTCCATTTATTTAGTATCTCCAGTTATCAAATTATTATGTGAATATATGCTCAACTAAGAGAAAGATTTAGCTGGGTGTGGTGGCTCCCACCACCCGAGCTCAGGAGGCAGAGCCAGAAGAATCGATTTGAATTCAAGGCCAGCTTGTTCTACAGATTGAGTTTCAGGTCAGCCAGGGCTCCCTGTGTGTCTCTCTCTCTCTCTCTCTCTCTCTCTCTCTCTCTCTCTCTCATATACATACGTATGTATATATATTTCATATACATATGAACTATGTATATAGGAGAACTGATTATGAAATAAAAATTGAGGCAAATGGGCATTGTATTAGTGTATTAAAAATACTGAGCTGGGTATGTGGCTCATGCCTCCAATCCCAGCACTCAGGAGGCTGAGGCAGGAAGGTTGCTGCAATTTCAAGGCCAGCCTGGGCGATAGAGTTAAGATAGTATCTCAAATATAAAAGTTAAAAATAAACAGAAGAATCTATTTTTAATTTTCTGAGGACATTTTGTCCAGTTTATGAGTTACAGACTTTTCTCATTAGTAGTCCTGAGGGATTTTAGTGGGAAAGCAGGTTAATGTCATGGTCAAAATCAAGAAATGTGATTAACGTAGATTGAGTGATTGATGGATCTGGGACAGAGTCTTTCTGTGTAGCAAAGGCTGGCTCAGAGCTTTCTCTCCATCTGCTCAGCTGGGATTAGAGGCCTGCCACCCGTTCTGGTCATGTAGATGAGGTCACATCTTCCCTTTCTCCTTTGAGACTTGGTCTCACCTTTTTAGCCAGCATCTTCCCCTGGAAGATCACCGTCTTGGGTGGTGTGCCAGTATCCTTTGTTGGCAATAACTCATCTTTTCTGTTCTCTTTCCTTCTCCAGTTTATTTCTGGCATCCTGGCAGCCTTAAGTGCCATGATTTCTCTAGAAATCCCACAGGTTAACATCATGACGAAGATGGATCTGCTGAGTAAGAAAGCCAAGAAGGAAATTGAGAAGTGAGTTCAGCGCTTTCTGTGCCCAGCAAGACGAGCCTTCTGTCCCTCTGAGACAGGCTGTAGTGTAGGTCTCTTTGCTCCTGCAATCCTCCTCTCAATTGTTGCCCTTCTTACCTTAAAGGTTTCTAGATCCAGACATGTACTCTCTGCTCGAAGACTCGACAGGTGACTTAAGAAGCCAAAAATTCAAGAAGTTGACGAAGGCTGTGTGTGGGCTGGTAAGTATCACCAGTGGTTCCTTTTAGGCCGTCAGTTGTTCCTTGGTGTCTGTTCTCGGCCACCTGTGTGGGCAGTGCAGCCCAGCTCTGTTTCCTACAGAAAGCAGGAGGGACAGGAGGGACTTGACTGTTGTTAGTTCAGGCTATTGGACAGCTCAGAGCTGTCACACTTCCACCACTTCAGGTGAGTGTGCAATTGAGACAGATAGCAGTGAAGCAGCTCCTGGTTCCACAGGAACCAGCTGTGTGATAGCTGGTCGGAGGTCAGCAAGGTCAGCCATATCAGGTCCCATCTGTCCCCAGCGCTCCCTTTCCCAGTCCAGTGCGTGTGTTTACTTGTCTTTTACATTTATTTATTTATTTCTGTGTGGGGCGTGCACACACGAGCACTTGCGAGTGCATGCATGCATGCCTGGGTGTCAGAGGAGTCTGCAGGAGTTGGTTCTCTCCTTCCATCATGCGGATTCGGAGGCTCAAACTCTTAAAGCTTGGCAGCAAACACCCTAGCCCCTAAGCATCCTGCCAGCCCAGCACAGAGTAAGCCTTTCTTGAAACCTACACTCGTAGATCGATGACTACAGCATGGTTCGCTTTCTGCCATACGACCAGTCGGACGAGGAGAGCATGAACATCGTGCTGCAGCACATCGACTTCGCCATCCAGTACGGGGAGGACTTGGAGTTTAAGGAACCGAAGGTAACCTGGGAATCCGGGCGTGAACTCTCGAGGGATCTCCCGAGAGGACTGTATGCATTTTCTGTTCTGTGTTTCCTTTGTGTCAGGAGCATGAAGAAGAGTCTTCCACCATGTTTGATGAATATTTTCAAGAACGGCAGAATGAGTGAAGGTGACTACAAAGCTTCCATCCCACCTGTGGCTGAGTCGGCAGAGCTCTCGTCTCCTGGAGGATGTGACAAAGGGAAGCTGTTTGTTTCCATGTAAAGAGCACTGGGCCCTCAGAGGAAGTGGGGGAGTGAGCGAGTTAGGTAGGGAGCGAGTGAATGCGTGTGATCAAGAGCGAGCCAGCACGGATTATGCTCTGAGCTCTGAAACTGCTGCTCTCTCAAGAGGACATTTTATTCTGACAGCATCATTTTGGATTTAAAAAGAAATCAAACTAGAACTTAATGCACAAAGACTTGTATATAAATCAACTTACCCCCCACACACACATCACCTGTGAGGGTGCGTGTGCGTGTGCAGTTCGAGCCAGTTTAACTTCATTCTTATGATTGGATTTTTGGTTTTTGAGGGGTTTTCTTTTGACTTGTATTTAGAGAAGTACGAATTATTGTAACAAAATATGTATCTACATCCAAATGAAAAAGAATTGGAAGGATAGATGTAAATTTTATTTTCCCAAATAAAACATATTATTTATATAATTAAAAATTAAAACTGTGTTATGAGATATGTATATATGAATGTGTGTATAGGAGAGAAACGGGCCCTCTTTACACTCTTGTTTTCCAGGCAGACTTTGAAATACACATCTCAGAAGAACTCTTAAAAGGTTAATTTCCCTGGGGTTCAAAGTGTAGGCAGTGACTGTTTAGAAATCTAGTATCTGTCTGTGAGCGTGGTGGCTTATGCCTGTAGTCCCAGTATACGTGAGGTTGAGGTAGGAGTATATTGTCATGAGACCAAGGCTGCTCTGAGCTACATAGTGAGACCCTGTTTCAAAAAAGAAAAACCCCGAATTTGTTTTTTATGTAGTCTCTGATAATTTAAAAACTTAGATATTCTTGAATACTGCATACCCTAAAACAGAAATAATTTTTCATTCTTGTTTGTGTTTTTTGGGACAGGGTCTCTCTGTGTAGTCATGGCTGTCCTAAACTTGCTCTGTAGTCAAGGCTGACCTTGAACTCAGAGATCCGCCTGCCTCTGCTTCTGCCTCTGCCTTTGCCGGGTTTAAAAGCCTGTACCACTGCACCGAGCAGTAATTTTTACTTTTAACTTACTGCCACATTGAATTCTGTTGAGCTTTTCAGAGTCCATTGTCAGCAGGTGTGATGCAGGTCCTGGGGAGCAGCCAGCTGCCTGGTTTTGCTCTAGCACCCCTCAAAGGCCGGGCTCTGGCAGAGGGAGGCTGGATCCAATTCCCAAAAGTTGGCTCCTGATCTCCTTACAAGCTTGTACACACCAGGTTATTAAAATGTAATGTTCTAGACATGCAAATTCTAAATGCTTTCCTTGTAGCTTATTTCCACCTCCCTAAATGAGGTAAATACTGTGGTCTCCATTCTTAGGTGAAGAACAGAGGCACAGAGATGTGAATGAACTTGCCCAGAGTCACACAGCTAGTTATTTTGGAACTAGGATTCAAACCCAGAGCTGTTAAACAAAGATTGGCAGTTACACAGTACAAACTTGCTTTAAAAATGTAGGTTTTTAAGTATATATATATTCTTTTTAACTGCTTTGTTTCTGGGTGCTTCTTAACTCTGTCTTAACAATATCTCTGTTGGCTCAGCTCAGGTTCTCCTGGCTCAGCTATCACCAACCGTCTTCTCACTCTGCCTGCTCAATCCACTCTCAACTGCCTCTTACCTTCGCTCTGCTCAGTCTCTTCTCCTCTCTAGCCCTACTCAATCTTCTTGCATCAGCGGTCATCTCTGACCCTACTTTTTTGTCTCCTGGATCCTACTCCTGCTTACTCCTCTTTCTTCCCCCTGTCTAACTCTTCCTCTCTCTCAGCCTCTGCTGGCTTTTATATCCTCTCCTGTTCCCAGAAGTCCAAGAGCCAACTGACACTGAAGAGCATAAGGTCATTTAAAGGGCTAGGTACATAAAATATTTCATATTATACAAGCCAGGCATGGTACATACCCAAAACTTGTGAGATCAACATGGGCTACATAGTTAACACCTTGTCTCAAAAACATAAAAAGTGGTTAGCCGAGCCAGTTGTGGTGGCACATGCTTTTAATCCTAGTGTTAGGGTCTGTGAGTCTCAGAAGAAAGACCCCAGACTCAGATGGCATGCAAAAACAAAGAGCATTTATTCTTCAGAGGACTCCAGCATGCTGGGGTCACCACTTTCACAAAATGGCAGCAACCCAGAAGTGAACATGAAGGCTCCCAATGTAGTGAGGTAACCTTTATGCTGATTGGCTAGTGGTAACTCGGGGTCCGGGGGAATTTGGGATTGGTCAAACATTTGGGGATTTTCCAAGGGATCCTTTGAGGCTGCTGAATCATGGTGTTTGGCTCAAACTCAAGTGTTGACTTTGATTGGGATTGGCTTGTGCCCATCAAAGCTACGTGACTCCAATTGGGACTGGCTGGCTCTTTGGAATTAAGACCTCTTACCAGCGCTTGGGAGGCAGAGACAGGGGGACCTCTGAGTTTTGAGGCCAGCCTGGTCTACAAAGTGAGTCCAGGACAGCCAGAGCTACACAGAAAAACCCTGTCTCTAAAAAAAAATTAAAAAGTGGTTGACTGGGTGTGGTGGTCGCATATACCCCTAATCCCAGTACTTGGGAGGCAGAGGCAGGTTCATAGCAAACCTGGCCTACAGAGTGAGTTCAAGGCTGGCCAGAGCTCTGTACAGACACGCGATTATGTAAAATGATTGTCAGTCGTATGTTTATTGTCATCTTTTCAGACACCTGGCATCTTATAATACTTGACTTTCATGTCTGCTTAGTCCTTGCCATGATAGGGTAAGAGAGTGGGAATGATATGATATACATTTAGTTGGTGACAGGTCAAGGTGTAGGCCCAGGGTTCTCTGCCCTTTATCCCTATGGTCCCTGACTGTTTGCACATAACAAGGAAGACAGGGACACCACAGGTGGCCATCATAAAACTAAACAACAACAAAGAAACAAAACGGGGTGATGGAGCACACACCTGTAATGCCAGAATACAAGAGGAGGGAGATGCATCATGAGTTTATATATATTTAAAGGGTGAGGAGTCGTCGAGATAGCTCAGGGTGTTTCCGAAAACCTGAGTTCATCCCTAGACAAGAAATGACTTCCTCACGAAGTCACTGTGTTAAAAATACACTAGACAGGCTGGAGAGATGGCTCAGAGGTTAAGAACACTCACCGTTCTCCCAAAGGTCCTGAGTTCAATTCCCAGCAACCACATGGTGGCTCATAACCATCTATAGTAAGATCTGGTGTGCAGGCAGAATGTTGTATAAACAATAAATAAATAAATCTTTAAATAGATAAATAAATAAACTAGACACGGCAAAAGAGTAAAGGGAACTGAGTGGTATTGGATTTGAAGCTGAAGCTAAGGAATAAGGAGAAAATAGAAGGTGATTAGGTGATTATTAACTTCTGAAACGGATTCCTTAATTCCAGAGACCCGTCGTGTCTCTGCGCGAGCGCTTTACGCATGCGTACAGTCAGAGCCTCGTGCTCGCGCGCCCCCTGGCGTCCCTTCCAGTCAGCGCATCCGCAGCAACCAGCCGGGGACTAGAAACCGGAGGTGCGTCTCTTCACTTCGACCGCCTCTTCCGGCTCACTTCCGCCCACTCCACCCAGGCTCGTTCCCCGGAAACAAGCGCTTTACCGGGATTCTACTTCTGTGAATCGAATCCGAACGCCGCCAAAATGCCGGTAAGGCTTCGAGCCCCGGGGGCGGGGGCCTGAGGAGAGGCGGGGGCCCCGGCGCAGAGGCCGGGCAGGGAGAGGAGACCTTCGCCCTGCTAGCCCCGGCCCTGTGCCTCCAGCCACGGCTCCTTTCCTCGCCCCGCTGCTAACCCCCTAGTCCTGCAGTGTTGTCAGATCCCACCCTGGAGTCTCGAATGCTAAGAACAACGGCTTTTAATTCATTTTTAAATCTAGGGTCCAGCTTCTCCTTTTTTCTCCCCCTTGTCAGTGCAGCTTCCTCCTCCGGCTCCGGCTTTCGGCCTGCTGCTGATCACCTGTCAGTCTTCACTTCCTTCGTGCTCCCTGCTGTAGCTTCTATCCTACTCCAGATCACCTCCGCATCAGCGCTTGTTTCCAGGAGTTTCCTTTCTCCTGTGCATTTGAGTGGGAGGATATTGATGATGGTCTCGGTAGTCCTAACACCTGACCGCCAGTCTCTCCCGGGTTCCGTTTTGCAGATTAGTAAAAGGATGATTGAATAAAGTCCACGTTGGATAAGTGTCACGGAACTCTCACTGGGAAGCCAGACTTTCAGCAGCATCGACTAAGGCCCACTCAGGGAGCTCACATTTTAACGGGTGGACAATACCATGTAACTATAAATAGGTAGTTTCAGATCTTAACAAATGTTATGAAGAAAATAGACGGATGACAACAGTAGCCTTCTATGGTGGCACTTATCTCTCATCCCAATACTTGGATGCAGAGACAGGAGGATTGCAAATGTCAGGCTGAAGTGGACCATGTAGAGTGCTAGGCCAGCTTGGGCTACAAAGCTATATAAGCCTGTCTCCAAAAGAGGGGTGGGCGAGAGGATGGGGAAAGTACTTGTGGTACAAGAGGTGGGGTTGGAGGGCAAAAGACGGGCAAATCCTCTGAGCTCATTGGCTAGCCATTCTAGCAAAAAATCAGCAAGTTCATGCTTGAGTGAGAGACACTGCCACACACACACACACACACTAGTGGGGGCTGAGGAGGCGGCTCGGGTGTAAGGTGTTTAGTGCACAGCGTGAGGACCTGAGTTTGAATGCCTGGCGCCCAAGGAAACAGTCAGGGGAGGCAGCTCCTGTCTGTGATTCCAGAGCTGGGAAGGTGCAGAGCGCCCTCAGGCTCCTTGTCTCGAAAATAAAGTGGAAAGCAGTTAAGAAAGAAACCTCTGGCTCCCCGTGTGGACATACACCACACACACAAAAGCTAGAGGCAGTTGAGGAAGATACCCAACCTTGACCTCTGTCCTTCCCACACAAGAACATGCATGAACATGTGTAAAACAAAAACCCAGTGACAGGGAGGACAAGAGGCTGTCGAGGTTTATGAAAGCAAGCATCACTTTCAGCTGTGTGTTTTGGCAGCACTGGGGAACTGAACCCAGGACCTCATGGCATGCTATGTAGACCCTCTTTTACTGAGCTGTATCCCCACATCCCTTTTCCCTTTTATTTTGAGACAGGGTCTCATGGAGTTGCCCAGGCTGACTTTGAACTTGTGATCTTATTGCCTCAGCCTCCCAAGAAGCTGGGCTCACAGGCCTGCATCACCATGTTTAGCTTTGTAAGATGTATGGGTCTTAGAGTTACTGACTGTTGAGATGAACGTAGAGACCCAGAGTTACTGTCCAGATGAGGCCTGGACTCTCAGGATGACACTGTGGAATAGATGTCCACATTGTTAGTGCTTTGCGGAAGGAACCGGCCTCAGAGAAGTTAAGTGACTTGTGCAGTGTGGCTCATGTGTAGTAAAGCCAGAGTTTAAAGCAGAACTGAAAAGCAATTATTCATTCCAGCCAGGCCCAGAAAGCTCTGGACTTAATCTATGATTTCCTATTTTATGTCTTCTTTCTCTGTTAGCCTGAAACATATATATACTTATATATGTGCATGTATACATATGACTTCATATCAGGGCCTAGAGAGTTGGCTCAGCAATTAAGAGTGCTTGCTGCTGTTGGAAACACAGGAACAAAGCAAAAGTAACTTGCTAAGGTCATTTTCTTTTTAGCAAAAAAGGATGCACCAGGACCTGGACCCACCCTGAGCTAGCAAGCACACTGGGGTGGGAAGTTCGTGCCGTTTTTATTCCAACGCAGGTAGTGACTGGGTCTTTTCCCCAGTGTCTGGGTCCAACCTCATAGTCTTTCATGATTGGCTAGTAGGGGATGAGGAAAAGGGGGAAAGGTTAGCCCTTTGGGCTGCCAGGTTCTAGTAGCAGAAGTGTTACCAGCTGGGGAGATTAAAAGACATGCATAAGGCCTGGAGAGAGATAGCTCAGCGGTTAAGAGCACCTGCTGCTCTTTCAGAGTCCTGAGTTCAATTCCCAGTGCCTACGTGACAGCTCACAACTATTTATAATGGAATCTGATGCCATCTTCTGGTATGCATGCATACATGCAGATAGAGCATTCATTCATAAAATATATAAAAAAATAACTTTCTTTTAAAAAAGTACTTAAAAGCCTTACTAGGTCGAGCAGATTTATGGAATATTGGCCCTTGAAGGGCTAGCTTCCATTGACAGGGAAGAATCCCCAACATTCTCACACAGTTCTTGAACACTGGAATTTTGTTCCCAGCATCTATATCCAGCAGCTCACAGCTGCCTATAATTCCAGCTCCAGGGAAGCTAACACTCTCTTCTGGACTCTGTGGGCCCTGTATACACATAGACATCGCCATATTCAGACACATAGTTAATAAACTTTTTTAGTATTAAAAAAAATTACAATGGCAGCTAAGCTTGGTGGCACACTCCTGTAATCCCACCACTCAGGGAGGCAGAAGCAGGCAGATTTCTGTGAGTTTGAGGCCAGCCTGGTCTACAAAGTAAGTCCAGGACAGACAAGACTACACAGAGAAACACTGTCTCAAAAAAAAAAAAAAAACAAAAAATTACAGTCACTCATTCTCTCTTGCACAGAAAAAGGGCTGAGCAAGCATTTGATAAATGAATGAATGAATTTGTTCACAGCAGACATAAAAAGCAAAACTAGGAACCAGCATATGCAATTGCTCATCAATAAGATTTTCTCTTTTAGTTCATACCTATTCACCAAAGGTGTAATGTATCTAAATCATTTTACAGGTTTAGAAACAGGCCAGTGGGAATTGGGGTAGAGCTTAGTTGATAGGGCACTGGCCTAGTGTGCCTGAAGCCCTAGGTTTCATCACCAATACTGTGGTTATCTAGACTTGTCATTCGGCACTGGGTAGGTAGAGGCAGGAGGATAAGTTCAAAGCCATCCTCACTTACATAGTGAAAGGCCATGACACCCTGTGGGAGCTGAAGGGGGTGGGGTGGAGAAACAGGCTCAAGGAAAGATCATGCTGTCGTGATTGGAGATGTGAAGGCAGGAAGTGGCAGATTTCAAAACTAGGGCTTGGGTCCTGGCTAGCTGGGGGGTGGGAAGCCTGTCCTGTGTGGGCTCTGTAGTGGAATGCTCCTGCCAGCTGCTTGCATCACGTCCCTGGAGGCAGCACTGGAGGAAACACATCCCCCCACAGCACATTCCTAGCCTGAGGATATAATCCCAGGAGGCAGAGGCAGAGGCAGGCGAATCTCTGTCAGCGTGAGGTCAGCTTCGTCTGCCTCGGAAGTCCCAGGCTAGCTGGGGCTGCTTAGTGAGGCCCTGTCTCAGAAAGAGCAGGTGCTGGGGACAAGGTTCCGGTGGCGCAGCGCTCGCCCCTCAAGCATGGGGACTTGAGTCCAGTCACAGACTCCAAAGAGTGGCCAGGTGTGGTGCTGTATGCCTGTAAACCCAGTGCTGGGGAGGCAAAGACAGGAGGGTCCCCAGGGCTTGCTGGCCAGCCGTCCAGCAGTCGGTGAGTTTCAGCTTCAGTGAGAGACCCTGCCTCAAACATAAGGTAGGGAAGCAATTGACGCCACCTGACGCTGGCTTCTGACCTCTGCACACATGGGCGCCTACACGGAGACACATGCACACACACACACACACACACACACACACACACACACACATACACATATATGTATATATGAGAATGTGAACATAGACAATGAAGCCAGGCACTCAGGAGGCAGAGGCTTGAGGATCCCTGTGAGTTCAAGGCCAGCCTGTTCTGTAGAGCAAGTTCCAGGACAGCCAGAGCTACATAGTGAGACCTTGTCTTAAAAATACAAAACAGCAACAGAAAGAACATAAGACAGTAATAAAATGTAAGTGCTTAAAATGGTGAGGTAGTAGGTACTAACTATCTTTGACTTTAGTTTGGGGAAGTGGCCTTGCTTATCAGCCAGCTGACAGGATGTCTCAGAATCTAACGGTTGGTCTTCTTGAGTCAGGAGTGGCTCCCCATTGCTGCCAGCCCTCTCCTCCCAGAGCTGGTCTAGAGTGGGTGTTTTTTTGTATGTTTTTTTTTGTTTTGAGCACTGGCCTCGTCACCTGGTGACACTCGTTCTCTTTCTTCCCTGGCTTGCCACTGCAGGCTTACCACTCTTCTCTCATGGACCCCGACACCAAGCTCGTTGGCAACATGGCGCTGTTGCCCATCAGAAGTCAGTTCAAAGGACCCGCGCCCCGAGAGAGTAAGTCCCAACATGCTTTTGTTTGGGTTCAGAGCATCCAGCAGATGTGCCGGTGTGAGAGCGGGGAAGAGCTTAGCTTGGCGGCATCACCGTCGCCTGCTCTACTCCCCAGGAAACTGCCCTGTCACTTCTAACTCCTCCAGGATGTTTGGGTGAGCAGGAAGAGGAAATGTGTTTCATTCTGGCCACAGTCCCCGTCAGTCATTTCTCGCTAACTGAGGGGCCGGCCCCCAGCCTCCTGACGTCGCCACCCTGGAAGCACCATGTGGGCATGGCGCTGTACTCAGGCTGAGAGAGGAGGCGGCTGGAGTCTGGTCTCGAGACCAGCCCAAGCGCCAGTCAAGCCCATCTCCAAAAGCAGGAGGAAAACAAACCTTTCCCCACCAAAGCTTTTGCTTCTTTCGTCACCTTTTAAGAGTCCCTTGCCTTTGATTATGAGTGCGTGTTTGTGTGAGGGCCTTCATGTGTCACAACACATAATTGGAGGTGAGGGTGATAAACCACACCTGGTTTTCACACGAGTCCTGGAGATCCTAACTGGTGGTCAGACTTTCTCTGCAAGCACTTTTACCCATTGAGCCGTCTCCACAGCCCTACATCAGTTTTTTACCCTACCCCAGTGAGAAGAAAATCTTCCTCTAAAACCCTGGTGGGCCTGGGTTTCAACCCAAGTCATAGCAAGCTGGCCTCAGTTTGTGGTGATTCTCCTGCCCGTTTCCCCAGTGTTGGGAGAAGAGGCATGTACTGTAGGCGTCTGTTTTTGATCTGTTCTATTTGGGTTTCTTATACCTCCTTTCTCCACCCTTTATCCCTTCCAACACCCCAACACTAGGTAGGAGAGAAAGAAGGTTAGTGGGGAGAAGGGCGTAGTTCCCTCTAGCTACTTCCTGCTGGCTAGGGCCATCGGGTTCCTTGGGGCAAGCCCAGTCTTCGTTTCATGAGATCTCCAACCAGGTCAAACCACATCAACAGCAACCAGGAGCGGCAAAGAGGAAGCCGCAGCCTCCCCCTTCTTCCTTGGAGTGTCACCGCCCCTCTCTGGGCTCTAGCATTTATTCCTGCTCAGGGTCCTCAGAAATAAACTGTCTGCAGCTGGCAAAGATCACGTCCCTCTCAGAACAGAGCCCACACGAGGCAAATAGTCTGCTGCTGTGGACAATCTAAAGCAACTGCATATCGCACACCGGGGATTAAAACAAAAACATGTTTATATAACATAACTGAGTTGGGGTTTTTGTTTGTTTGATTGGTTAGTTTGGTTTTTGAGACCTGGTTTCTCTTTTTCAGCCCTGGCTGTCATGGAATTCACTCTGTAGAGCAGGCTGGCCTCAGACTGTTTTTGTTTTTCAAGACATAGTTTCTTTGTGTAGCCCTGACTGTGGTGGAACTCGCTCTGTCTTGGTAATCACAGAGATTCACCTGCTTCCGCCTCTCCAGTGCTAGGATTAAAGACACGTGCCACCGCCGCCTAGCTGATTGATAGCTTCTTGGTTTGGGGGTTTTTGTTTTTTGTTTTTCGGGACAGGGTTTCTCTGTGTAGACCTGGCTCTCCTGGACTCACTTTGTAGACTAGGCTAGCCCTGAGGTAGCAATCCGCCTACCTCTGCCTCCTGAGTGCTGGATTACAGTCATGCACCATGGAGCCCGCCTTTATTGGTAGTCTTAATTCCTTGTATTTAACTTATGCAATTCCTTGTAAAATATTTAGATTATTTCTCTGTGGCATGGACTATCCTGGAACTCACTCTGTAGGCCAGGTTGGCCTCCAGCTCAGATCCACTTGTCTTATTCTCCCAAACGCTAGGATAAAGGGCATGCATGTTTAAAGCTACTATACCCAGCTGTATTTTGATTTTTTGATAATCGATCTCAGCTTTGTTTCCTAGTCTGGTGTGAGAATTTTGGAGTTACACATTTGTCACCTGTCCGTTTGTTGTTGTTTGTAGTCATCAGGATGGAATGCACACTCTGCCCTCAGCTGCACTCCAGCCCCCTCCATGTGCTTTCTAAGGCACTTTTTCAGTGTCCGGAAGCCCCTTTTCAAACTGACATGTCTTGAGATGCTCTGCCAAGCAGTGTCTGTTGTTGTGAAGCACCCAGACCCTGCAAATGTCTGGCCCGAGTTCTAGCCACAGTCTCCAAGACCACAGTTACACTTCCCACCTGTGTCCCCTCCCCTCGCCCTTCCTCTGACAGATGATTTGACTTGACTTCCTCCGAAATGAATTTGTTTTCAACATGATTGAAATAGAAATAAACTCAGTAGACTTGGTGAGTCGCCACAGTTGTTACTTGATTCTGAGAAAAAGGAGCAGATGGAAAAGAGACAAGAACAGCTATTATAAAAAGTTACAGCCTAAAGAAAAAGAAGGTTGGCCTACAAGCTCTTTGTCACATTGTTAGAGAAAACACATTTCACCCAAAGACACAGCCAGCCCAGGATGGAGAGAGTTCTAACCACCTTCCAGATTCTTGAATCCTCAAGAAAGAATGAGACCCTGAGGAGTAACTGTTCCTCTTCCCAGAGGGGCTCAGATGAACTCTGGAGCAGAGGCATGGCCCCGGGATAAAGCTCGTGCGTTAGCATGTGTGAGGCCCTGGGTTCAAGCCTCAGCTGTAGAAAAATTGTTTATGCCTTTGTGTGCCAAGCTCTGTTCTAGTCCCCACTCCTCTGCTCTCCCCTCTCAGATGCCTGGGAAAAGTCTCCTTTTCTGAGGAGCAGAATCCGGAGAACATGAGGCTAAGGCTAGCATTCCCCTGGGGTCCCTCAGCTAGAGTGTAGCGGAGTTGCCCAGGCTGCATCCTCAGGGCTGCTCTGTTACACAGTGTGAGAACCTGGCAGCCCCGGACAAGAACTTCAGTGCACCGCTGCAGCCAGCTGCTCCAAATCAAACGTAGAAAGTCTGACCTTTCAAACTGACAGAGAGAACAGATTGCCAAAGAAATTGTGCAACGAGATCTGCATCCGTCACAGTGCTTCTGGTTTTCCTCAGCCTGTGGCCACTTAGAACATGCTGTATTTAAGCCACAGTTTTTGTAAAAAGAAAGAAGGGAAGTATCTGAACCCCAGTGTTCCTAAATAATTTGAGTATTTCTCCTGCTACTACAGTGTGTGGGTTCAAATAAAACTATACTGAATACTTTTTTACTCTTCAGAACACTTTGTCAGACTGTGTTGGGGCTGAAGCAATGGCTCAATGTTGAGAGCACTTCCTGCTCCTCCAGAGGTCAGAGGTCACTTCCCAGCACTTACATGTGGCATACACACAGACACTCATAGAAGGATTTTGTTTTGTTTTGTTTCGTTTTCTTTTTTTTTTTTTTTTTAAGGAAGGAAGTTAGCCTATGTCTTAGCTCATTTTTTTTTTAATTTTTAATACCTTAGTTAATTTTTTTATGTGCATTGGTGCGAGGGTATCAGATCCCTAGAACTGGAGCTACAGAGAGCTGTGCAGTGCCTTGTGGGTGTTGGGAATTGAACCTAGGTTCTTTGAAAGATCAGACAGTGCTCTCAACCACTGAACCATCTCTCCAAGCCCCACCTCAGCTCATTTCTGTAAATGCATTGAGGTCTTAAATCGACACCAATTAGCAATAATAGTTTCTTCTGAATAACAGAACTTAAGATGACAATCTCTTTTTTTAATTGATTGAGTTTATGTTTTTTAATGAGCACGTATGATTTCTACAAAGATAGTAAAACTAAATAAAAGCCATGTTTTTTAGAAATAGTTTTGAAGATTATCTTAGTAGCCCTATTTTAAGGCCTTAAGGCCGAGGACTTTCCTATTTATTTTTTTAAGTTGTATTTTGATTTTATATTTATGAGTGGATTGTTCTTTTAGACAGGTTTCTCTGTACAACCCTGGCTGTTCTGGGACGCAGAGACCTGCTCTGTCTCCTGAGCGCTGGGGTTAAAGGTGTGCGCCAGCTGCGGCTGCCCACCGAAGTTTTTACCTGCCCTGAATGTACCAAGTTTACTTTGTGCAGCCTGGTGCCCTGGGAGGCCAGAAGAGGGCGCCATATCCCCAGGACCTGAGCCTAGGTTCTCCACAGCCGCGGAGCCGGCTCTGTTGCCCAAGCCCTGTTTTCCTTCATTCAGCTTCTGATCTTCGATAATTATGCCTGGAGACCTGTCCTCACAGCCTCTGGGAGTGCAGTTTGCTTTTGGTAATGTCTCTGCCTTCCTTCTTGTTTCCTGGTTAGCAAAAGACACGGATATTGTGGACGAAGCCATCTATTACTTCAAGGCCAACGTCTTCTTCAAGAACTATGAAATTAAGGTAATTTCCAGGGAATGCTTAGCTCTCAAAAGGTGGCAGAAAAATCTGCCTTGAGGTCAAGTTTGCAGTGAGGCTTAAATGAAATGAGATGAGCATGTAGAATTTGAGAACAAAGCCTGAGAAGTGCTGTCTTAGTTCCCTTCTCTCTCTCGTTATTATTTATTGTAGGCTGGGTGTGGTGGTACACATCTTTAATTCCAGCACTCAGGAGGCAGAGACAGGCAGATCTCTGAGTTCGAGGCCAGCCTGATGTACAGATTGAATCCAGGGCAGCCAAGACTACACAGAGAAACCCTGTCCTGAAAAAACAAAATAGGGGGGGGGGGCGGGGGCAAGGTTGGGTGGGCCTTGGAGAGATGGCTCAGAGGTTAAGAGCACTGGCTGTTCTTCCAAAGGTCCTGAGTTCAATTCCCAGCAACCACATTGTGACTCATAACCATCTAGAGTGAGATCTGGTGCCCTCATCTGGCCTGGAGGTGTATATGCAGGCAGAATACTATATAAATAAATAAATCCTAAAAAAAAAAAAGAAAGAAAGAAAAAGAAAAACCAAACCAAAAACTGAAAAAAGGTGTGTGTGTGTGCTGCAAAAGGTTTGCTGCAAAAGCAATCGAGGCAAGAGGATTGTTGTGAGTTCCAAGCTCAAATTGTATTTGCAAAAATAAATAAATAAAAGCAATGCCCTCCCTCCCCCACTGTAAAAAAAAAAACAACTGGAATACTTTAGAGTCCGAAACTACATACTGGATTTTGGGCTGTTTCAGATTCCTGGTGTTTAACCAGTGGATTCTGTGCAATATTCCCAAATCCAGACCATCCCAGCGTCTGGAACCCTTGTGGTCCCAAGCATTTCAGGGGTGCTCTGCCGTACTGCTGTGTCATGGACCTGGGATGGAGGGGAGGGAAGCATGAATGGCCTGGCCCTTCTTTGGACCACTTCCTCCCTTCTCTCCCTTATGAGGAAGGTGGTCAGGGGAGGATAGAGGGTCCAGCAATCGAGGGGACAGATGGCCCAAAACAGATAAATCTCCTGAGCCACTGTGGTGAGCCGGGCACAAAGAAGGGCAAGGAACGTTGGAGTTTCTTTGTTGTTCTTTTGCTTTGGTTTGGTTTTTTTGTTTTGTTTTTAAGACTTACTTATTATGTATACAGTGTTCTGCCTCCATGCCAGAAGAGGGCACCAGATCTTATTACAGATGGTTGTGAGCCACCATGTGGTTGCTGGAAATTGAACTCAGGACCTTTGGAAGAGCAATCAGTGCTCTTAACCTCTGAGCCATCTCTCCAGCCTGCAAGGAGTGTTCTTGACAGTGTCGTAAACTATGTCTTTGTCTTTGTCCTCTGTGCTCAACTCTGGGATATCAGGAGTCAACAGGATATGACTTTTTTGTTTGTTTCTTTATTTGTTTGAGACAGGGTTTCTCAGTGTAGTCTTGGCTGTTCTGAGGTCAATTTGTAGACCAAGCTGGTCTCAAACTCACAGAGATCCACCTGCTTCTGTCTCCCAAGTGCTGGGATTAGAAGCATGTGTCCAGCTCAAAGTTGTCTTCGTTTTGTTTTGTTTTTTGAAGATTTATTTATTTTAGTATATGAGTGCTCTGTCTGCATGTACACCTGCAGGCCAGAAGAGGGCATCAGATCCCAGTATAGATGGTTGGGAGCCACCATGTGGTTGCTGGGAATTGAACTCAGGACCTCTGGAAGAGCAAACAGTGCTCTTAACCCTGAGCCATCTCTCCAGCCCCAGGACAAGACTTTACCCAGTGCTGAGTAGTGTTTCTGTAACTAACAGTCAGCCTGTGCTGTGTTGGTGAGAGGTGTGACAGGGACAGGCTGGGCGTAGTGCTCATCCCAGCTGGTCATTCCCCACCTTACACAGGGTCAGGAAGGGGCTTAGCTGGGGCAGCCACTCAGCTGGGTTTGGGAAAAGCAGGCACCCTGTGTTTGCCATCGGATAATTGCGGCAGGGATGCTCTGAAGAGTCGGTCTCATGTGGCCATTATGTTGTTTTCCCTTGTAGAATGAAGCGGACAGGACCCTGATCTACATCACACTCTACATTTCTGAGTGTCTGAAGAAACTCCAGAAGGTAATGAGATTTGGTTCTTCACCCATGAGGACGGCAGAGATAGGTTTTCCCTTGCAGCCACCCAGGGATGCCAAGACCCAGCGACAGGCTAAAGGCCTGTCTGTTGCGGGTCTCTGAAGCCCCCGGGGACCGACATGAAGGCAGGGGGCTGTGAGGGTTGTGTGGAGACCTTTACCCTCTGACAACAGCTGAGCACTTGTGTCGGGGTGGAGTGGCAGCACCCTGCCCTGCTTGTCCGCCCTTAAAGGCTCCTAGTCCTTGTGTATGTCCAAGAGCTGATGTTGAAGTGTGTTCAAATTCAGCACTGCTTTAGAATTTAACCATAACATCTTACGGTAGGGCCCAGTGTGGTGCTGCACGCCTCTAATCCCAGCCCTCAGGAGGCAGAGGCAGGCGGATCTCTCTGAATTCAAGGCCAGCCTGATTTATATAACAAGTTCAAGGTCAGCCAAGCCTATGTCGTAAGATGCTGTTTCAGAAAACTAAAAAATGTTATAAAAATAATAAAAGATATTACTGTGAGCATTTATAAAGAGGAATGTGTGCCTGTATGGCGAGTTTGGTTTTCAGTGTTTGGTTCACTGTGTTCTGTTATAGTAGCGTCTGGCTGGTCTTACTCCTTAGAAGCAGTGTGCTGAGGGCTGCAGGTTTACCCACTGCAGTAGGGCACTCACAAACCCTCATCACTGTCTCGGCAGCTGCTTGCACTGAAGGATTGCAGTTTGGAAATTACCCTCTTTTTCTTATCAAATGTGTCCTTTGATTTTAGTGCAATTCCAAGAGCCAAGGCGAGAAAGAAATGTACACGCTAGGAATTACGAACTTTCCCATTCCCGGAGAGCCCGGCTTCCCCCTCAACGCCATTTATGCCAAACCTGCGAACAAACAGGAGGATGGTGAGAACAGGACTGTACACGTGAGCGTGCATGCGCGCGCGTGTGTGTGTGTGTGTGTGTGTGTGTGTGTGTGTTTGTGTGTGTAGCCATCCCGTCTCCCTGTCTTACTCTTAGTGTTGGTTTGTCTTTCATTGGTTGTTTCTTAGACATGGTTCTCTCTGTAGTCCAGGCTGGTCTTGAACTCTTTATGCTCCTGCCTCAGCCCCCGAGGTGCTGAGACTACAGGGCTCTGCCATCATGGCACGTCTAGCCCCTCCGACTCTTTGTGTCCTTTTCTTCCCTTGATTGGTATTTATTTTTTGTATGTGGTGTGGGCTTGAGCAAGTGGGTGTGGGTGTGAATGTTCTTACGGGCGTGTACTCTAGTGTGCGTGTATGCATGCCAGCCAGAGGCTGATGCCAGGTCTTTCTTTGGCCATTCTCCACATTGTATAGTGAAGCAGGCTCTTTCAGTGAACCTGGAGCTCACTATTGAGCTAGTGTAACTGGCCAGCTTGCCCCGGGATCCCCTGACTCTGCCTGAGGGCTAGGAGTACAGGCCAGCCACCGTGCCCGCCCCGCCTTCACGGGCATGTGTGCCGAAGACCGAGACTCTGCTCCTGGAGCCCGGCAAGCTCCTCCTCCCCAGGCCGCCTACTTGGTGCTTAGCACATGGGTGTTGCCTGACTTTCACAAGAGAGCTTGCTGGCAAGGTTAACACGCAGAGACTGTTGAACCAAAGTTAGGGTACTCAGCAAGGTAGCTCAGCCAGGAAAGGCGCTTGCGGCCAACCCTGACTGTCTGAGTTTGAGTGCTGGGACCCACATGGTGGAAGGAGAGACCAGCACACACACACAAATGGACGTACAAAGGAAACCATTTGGACATGCTTTCTTCCCCTAAGCTGTCTAAATGTATACAGACACCTTGCCGAGGTCAGTCTCTAGGCAGGCAGGCGGCGCGTTAGCATGCCTCCTCAGGTCCAGGTTTCTTTGTGTTTCAGAAGTGATGCGGGCCTACCTTCAGCAACTCAGGCAAGAGACCGGCCTGCGGCTCTGTGAGAAAGTGTTTGACCCCCAGAATGACAAACCCAGCAAGGTGAGGTGCTCTCCTTCGCCTGTTTGATTGGAACATGACCCTTCGTCCTGTTGCCTACTGAAGTCTACTGTCTAAGAGCATTCACTTCTGCCTGACCTGGAAGACTCACACCCAGTAATGACAAGATTCCAGTCATGAGCAGGCTCTATGCGTGGGATGTATAGTATTCCTTGGTAGCCATGGATCCACAGTCTGTGGGTGTTGGCCCCTTCTGTAAAATGGCATGGTGTTCGTATACAAGCTGTGTGCATCCTCTGTGGGCCCCATATGCGCTGGTTACCCACACCCATGCACATGTGAATGCCATGTAAATGTAAATGGTGGCTCTGTCGCACTGTGCAGGGACAGCCACAGGGAGCGGTCTGTGTGTGCGTTCAGTACATGGCAGGACCCCCGGGTGGTGGGGGTGGAACATGGCCCAAGCGGGCCTCGAACTGACTGTGCAGCCACGGGTGACCCCAGCTCCTCCTACCTCAACCTCTAGTTCTGCATTACACAGTATTGTCTGTGTGTGCCTCACAGGCCTTCCTCCCTGTGGGCGGACGCATGCCTCGCGCCTATGGCGGGCCAGGTGAACACATTTACCGCTCTGCTGGGACCTCCTTTGAGTTCATTGTAGGACGCCAGGCTGTTCAGGCACTGCTGTTTGTCATAAAGTAACATTGTGTTGTGCCCTGACTCTGAGCACCCACTCTGTCTTGTGCCTTTGACAGTGGTGGACTTGCTTCGTGAAGAGACAGTTCATGAACAAGAGTCTTTCGGGGCCTGGCCAGTGAGAGGAGCCTCGGCAGCCATCGCCTGCAGAGCCGTGGGCAGCATCGCCTCGGGATGTGCACAGTCCTTTGTGTCAGTCATAATGTGTCATGAAGAGAGGAGAGGGCCTGTCTTTGCCGGAAAAGCTCTTGATCAAGAATTTGGGGGGAGGAGGCTGGGTGGTTTGAGTTTTTGGCAATTTCAAGCTGGAACTTAATATGTAATAGATATAACTCCTTATGTTAGACATTGAATTAAAACATTTTTGAGATAAAGCTTACACAGCTATACATTTTATGGGAAAGGGTGTGAGTGGTATATTTGTGGCGCTTGTTTTTCTGTTTATGGTTTGCTGTGGTTTGTCTTTCTTTTGAGGCAGCTTCACTGTGTAGTTCCAGGCTGGCCTGTAATTCATTGTCCCCTCCAAAGATGTGCCTTTAGCAGTGACCTTCCTCTGCTTCGAAGTCTCCCTGCCCCAACTTGTAGACTAATCTAATCTACTCTTCCTAGACTTGTTTATGCAGGTATTTTATGTAATTGAATCCTGTAGTGGAAAATCCAGCCTCTGAGTCTGGCTTCTTTCTCTTAGCACAGTGTCTTCAACTTTCATCCATGTGTCATGCACCCATGTAGTGCATTCCTCTTTAGGGCTAAGTAACAGTCCATTTTGGTGCTGATCGTATTATGCTTGTTCATTCATCACCCAGTGGACATTTGTGTTGTTTCTGTTTTGGAGCTCTGACTAAACAGTGCTGCCAAGAAAAGTCATGTGCACATTTTTAATGTGGACACAAGTTTTCATTCCTCTTGCTTATTATATCCCTCAGGGTGGAACCGCTCAGTCACGTGGGGACTCTGTTAGTTCTCTGGAGAAGGCCGGAGTGTTTTTTCCACAGTTGCGCCGTTTCTACATTCCCACATGTGAGCACTGTTTCCCTCATCACCTCACCAACACTTGCTCATCTTTGCTTTCCCAGTGGCTGAGAGCCCATCCCCCCCTTTTCTTAGGCAGGGAGGAGATTTAAGGCAGGGTTTCTTCGTGTAGTTCTGGCTGTCCTGGAACTCACTCTGTAGACCAGGCTAGCCTCGAACTCACAAAGATCCACCTGCCTATAACTCTTGAGCGCTGGGATTACAGGCGTGCACCATCACCGTCCAGCCAGACTCCCAACTTTTAAAATGAGGGGCTATAGATAATTTGGCAATCACTTTAGGGAGCGTAGGAGTGGAGTGAGAAGGTCCAGCAAAGGAGGACGGCTTTTCCCTCCTAGGCCATCCTATAGGGGAGCTACAGTTGGGACTGGCCGGAAGGGAGCTGCGAAAGGGCCGTGGAGCTGTCCCCATCATTTGTGTTGTGCTGTTGACCAAGCAGAATCAGGTATATTTAAATTTGATTTAAAACTGTGCAGGGGCTGGAGAGGTGACTCAGCGGTTAAGAGAACTGACTGCTCTTCCAGAGGACCTGAGTTCAATTCCTAGCACCCACATGGCCGCTCACAACTGTCTGTAACTCCAAGATCTGACACTCACATAAACAAACACTCAGACAAACCACCAATGCACATAAAATAAAAGTAAATTATTTAAAAAAAAAAAAAACAGTTTGCAGTGATACCTGGAAAGCTGACTGGTTTTAGTTTGGTTTTGTTTGTAAATAGTAAATGTGACTGATAAGTTGGTTTATTTGTGCCCATTCTGCCTGCAGGTATGTCTTTGCACCATGTCATTGCAGTACTCAAAGAGACCAGATGAGGGCATCAGACTCCCTGGAACTGGAGTTACCAGACCCTTGTGAGCCACTGTTTAAGTGCTGGGAACTGAACCTGGGTCCTCTGGAGGAGCAGCCATCTCTCCAGCTCCTTGTAATTTAGTTTTTGGAGACAAGGCTCCGGGCTGGCCTTGAACTTAAGGGAGTCCTGTTTCAGCCATTGCTGGCATGTTCATAAACCCCCTCACTTGCCTGGGTCTCAAGTAACTCACAGGGGCCTGAAACCGTCTATATAGCATGGATGACTATGAACTCCTCCACATCCTCCTGCTTCCTCCTCCCAAGTGCTGGATGGGAGATGTGTACCACCATGCTGACTGAGTGTACGTGAATGCCTGAGCTCCGAGCTCTGGGGCCTATCTGCATGGAGCAACAGAGCAGTTAAATACTGCCTTCAACACAGCCCAGCACAGGGCCGTGTTCAGACATGTCCAGGGCTAGACACAGGGCTGAGTGCTAGAGCTGCTTAGCTCGAATGAGCCCGTAAAGCAGAGGGTGTTGTTCTTGTGTCCTTTGTGGGAGCTTTGTCTTTTTTTTTTTTTCCAATACATTTTTCACTTGAGTCTTGGTGGCTGAGCGCACTACTGCTCTTGCAGAGGCCCCCCATTTAGTGCCCAGCCTCCACGTGTGCACAACCACCTGTAACTCCGTTACAGAGACTGTTATGCCCCAGTCTCACAGACCCCAAACCACCAAGGAGCGATTCAGAGGCAGTAGGATCTTTTTATTATGAGCTTGAGCTCACTCAGGCCCATAGCAGTTGAGAGTAGAGCCCTTAGCTCAGGGGGAGGAGGGTGATTTAAATGCAGTCCCACTGCACCCAAAGCAGTGGAATTCCAGCCTGGCAAATGTCTATTGGTTGAAACATAAAAGGGGATCCTGCATTTTAAACCCATTGGCTGTGGGAAGGTGCCAAAACCATTAACATTTCTGGTTTCCTTTGTTTGGCTGTTGCTAGGGGAGAGGGGTGATCTGGGCTGGTTTCCTAGCAACTGTATCTTTAGTGGGCAGAAAAGAATGCAGTAAGGCTGGTTCCTCCTCCGGGGTGGCTGGACATGTCTCCATGTGTCTGGCCGTTGTTTAGGCTTCTGTGTTAAGCATTAATCTAATCCAAAAAACTAATTGTTAATTCTTTGGACTCTCAACTCCAATGTCCTGCAGCCTCCAACGGCCCTGCACTCGAACGACGCACATAAACTCAGGCAGGCACACACCTAAATGAAAAATAAAGCCGTAACTGGCCCACACACTTTTAATCCCAGCACTCCCGTGGCAGAGGGAGAGGCAGGGGCATCTAAGTTTCAGGCCAGCCTAGTCTGCAGAGGGAGTTTCAGGCCAGTCAGCGATGCATGAGACCCTGGCTCAAAATAAATTTTAAAATTCTTACTTAAAATATGATTCTTTGGGGCTGGAGAGATGACTCAGTGTTTTAAGAGCACTGGCTGCTCTCCCAGAGAACCTGGGTTCAATTCCCAGCAACCACATGGCAGCTCATAACTCTCTGAAACACCAATTCCAGGGGTCTGGCACCTTCAGACATACGTGCAGGCAAAACACCAATGCACATAAAATAAAAGTAAATAAATCTCTAAAAATTGGATTCTTGGTTTGGGGGTTGAAATTTGTTACAGATGGAGCAATATGCTAAAAGGAAAGCCGAGGTGATGAATTTTCAGATCAAAAGTTCGGTGTTTTCCAATTTCCCCACCCTCTCATATTCTGATAAAAACACCATGTCCTGCGGGACCTGGCCCCTTAGCAGCAGGGAGAGCATGGCTCTAGAGCAGGGGTCCTGGCTTCAAAAGCTGTCCTGTGTGGGAGCCTGTAAATGCTAGTGGTGTTTTTTTTTTTTTTTAATTTTTGTTTTGTTTAGTTTTGAGACAGGGTTTCACTGTGTAGTCCAGGCTGGTCCCAGACTTCCCATCTTCCTCCCTTGGCCCCCTAAGCACAGGGATTTCAAATGTGTGCCATCATGCGCACCATCTGTTTTGTTTTTTAATATAATTGTGGTAATTTTTAAAGTACATGCTAATAATGTTTATTATTAACCCTATAAAATATATTCTATATAAGATGTAATATAATATTTATTATTAATCCTATAATATTGTAATATTATCATGGCAGTATTATCTAACCTGCTAACATAATCAATAATGATACAGACACCTGTATTTTAGAATAGCCTTATTTTGCCTGGGACTGGGCAGATATTAACCCTCTAAACTATTCTCATCCCTGCTTTAATCATTCCTACCTGGGCTACTTCCCATTCATAATCCCAAAATACTTGCTCATCAAATGGGCTGTTTTCCTCCATCCATGTCGATTCAGCCTATTGTGCCTGATTCGAGAGACCCCAAAAGACCACTAGGAGTGGAGTCCATTGCAAATCACACAATGATCTTTATTCAAGCTTAAGCTTGGGCCACCAATCTCCCCTGACGCAGCGGGTTAGAAAGTGAGGCCCTGAGTCTCGGGGGGGCAGAGTTTTTAAAGGGAAAAACGGCAAGCGGGGAATTCCAAGCCTTGCAGTTACATGGAAGAGAAAGTTTTGGGTGGGGGTTCAGCAGTCAAGATGCTCTTTAGGGAAATTGTTCCAAGCCACCTGGCCAAACAGCAGATATCTAAGATATCTGTACGATAGCCTGCTGGGTGAAGTGGAGGACCCATTAACACATTCTGTGGCATTCAGGACAACCTGCAGGGTAGAGGGCCAGGTGGCCCTTCTCAGAACCCAAAGGTGGGGGTCAAGTCACTCCAAGGTCAGTCAACTTAAGAGAGAGTCTGAGAAACAAAATGGAACCCCCCCTACCATCCTCAGTTCCTTCAAGCCGTGTGCTTCCATGCTAACTCATGGTGTCTCCTTCTTCTTCCTTGTCTCTTTTCCTTTCCAGTGACCCTCCTGTCCCCCCAAGCCCATGAACTCTGGCCACACCTCATTCCCCTGCCAGTTGTGTTGACATTTTATTGATCAAACAGGGAGGCATGGTTTATGGTGTCATTTCGGTTACATGAGTGTCTGCTTGTGAAAAACAGCAAGCAGACCTCAGGGGGGCGGAAATAACTAGCAGGCAAATAGAAAGCACCAGACCATGCTGTTACGCAGCTGACAGAACAATTTCCAAAAGATTTAAAATGCAATTTACATGAGGTGTAATAACAATGAATTTTGAAGTATAGAGACGAGTGTGGTGGAAACCTGTAATCCCATCATTCTGCAGAGCTGAGGCAGGAGAATTGCCTTGAATTTGAAGCTAGTCAGCTGTATAGTGTGACTTTGTCTCAAAGAGCTGGAGAGAGCTCGGTGGTTAAGTGCACTTGCTGCTCTTGAAGAGCAGGTTCAGTTCTCAGCAGCTCACAGCGACTCCAGCTCCAGAGGATCCACTGCCTCTTCTGCTTCCGGAGGCCCTGCGTGCGGTGCACAGACATACATGCAGACAAAACACCCAGAACTTTTAACCGGCTGTGGTTTCCCATGACTTTGATCCCTTTACATGGGAGGCAGAGGC